ATACATTATTCAAGTAAACGCAAAAGTGAAATGGAGTAGAAGTAAAACTGAATTGGAGTAGAATGTGAAATGACGTTAACATGGTTACCATGGTTACCAGCTGACGTTAACATGGTTACCAGCTGTACCTTGTTTCCTCTGGAGCTGCGAGTAGTGAAGCAGTCGATAAAGCTGAGTTCTCTGTCGTTGAACTGCCACTCTGCCCGCTCAGTGAGCACCAACTCCTGTGTCCCATCCTCCTGTGAAGATAAGATGTTATGTTGGGTTCAGAGTCAGCATTTATCAATTTATCAAATATCAACTTAACCTTTTTCACTTTCGACTAGGAACTAAAAAATAAAAATACAGTTAATATTTGCGGCCAAGAAGTTGTAAAGACATTACCTTTGTGACAATAGTGTAGCTAGGTTCAGGAGGGACAAATGCGAGTTTAGCTGCTATTCTAGACGGTATGGGAGGACAACACAACAAGCAGCAGATGTCTGCGAGGCTGAACCCGTTCATACCACTCATAAATTCATACTTCCAACTTGCGACATAAAATCTAGAATAGAGAGTAGATGTTAAAGTTATATAGGAAACTATAGAAAGTGCTGTAAAGAATGCTGCAATTAAAATGGTCAGGGAATTCGCAGTTGTCTTTGCAGTAATTATCAATTTCGACGAATGATTTACTACAGGTGACTCAAATCGAAGTGAATCAAATGACAGTGTCCATATTCTACCCTGCAAAATGTGTTGATGAGGCATAACTCTTTAAAAGATACCAGGAAAAATCTAATGAAAGAAGCAGGGTACTCAGATGTTTAGATAGAACACCCCTTATTCCCTGTCAATCCAAATGACTTCCGTGTTAGAACCAATACAACAGATATATAGTAATAAATTAATGTTATTTTTATACAGCACCCAAAGGTTTAATAATTTAAATTTAACCCTTATGCTCAGCTGTAAATGATACTTAAATTAACGAGAGTGTGCATCTTTGCCTTAGACAGAGGTGAAACAAGAAACTGTTCAGAAAACAGGCGTTAATAACTGTAAATAATATCGTGACTAAATAAGGCAGATGCACCTAACAAGTAGGGTTAGCAGGTTTTCTAACAGAGGACTTGAGGAAAGGATGATGACTGCAAGAAATCACAGTATGAAACTCATCAGCCTATCAAATATAAAAATCAGGATAATAAAAATGAAATTCCCTAAAATATTAAAAATTCTATAAAAATTCTATAGAAATTCTTTAGACTCCAAATGTACAAACAATCTGAATACTCCAATACACAATAAAAATTGATTGAAAAAGTTTACTGCAGAAAAGTAACTGACGATAAAAATTATATCTGAAAATCCAATGTACAAGAAGAAAACAACAATTTCAAGAAAACAACATACAGTCATACCAAACAATCTCGGCAACATAATAGTAGAGACGGTGAAATAAAGAGTGGAAAAAAGATGCTCTAGTGATGAGGCATAACTCTTTGAAAGATAACAGGAAAAACTTAACGAAAGAAGCAGTTTCCAAGACCCAATCTTGATAAAGGTCTCCTTTATTAGAATTTTGTTTTTTTAGTAAAACAAAATGCAGCATATGGATGAGACAACCTTACATTAAACATGTTGTGCTCAAATACTGACTGAAGTGCACAAGCAATTATTTAAAGTGTACCACCATCTATACCTGAGTGCTGCTTTCGACACTGTAAAATTGTATACAATATAAAATAGTACAGTAAAATATCTACAAAATTTACATGCAAATCTAGGAGACCTCAAAGCTCGTCTCCTGGGGAATGAGGTTGTAGGAAACGTCTTGCAGTTCAAGATGCTGGGCTGTTGATCTTCCTCTGATTCCCCTCAGTGCAATGAGTGTACTTCTTAACAGATCAAATCTGAATCGTGTTCTGATATGATTTTTGACTTGGCTCTTGGCTTCTTTTTTGTGGTCAGCTATCATCTCAGAGACACGATCTACAAACACACTGCAGAGCGGTCCCATACCTCCGGAGGTTGTGAAGACTAGAGGGACAAATGATCCTTTCTCTGACTGAAGTACTCTCTCTTCATACAAATCTTTCTTTTCTTTCTCATGATCTCTATAGATTTTATCTAGTGGCTTAAATGTATTTGTGTCACAGTTAGGATGTGTGACCCTTCAAAAACAACCCTTCAAAAAAGTCAATATATTCCCTATCTCAAATATTAGGAGAAACATTTGAATATTAACCTTGGCCTTGTGGCTCCAAATTCAAATCTAAACTGTTTATATCTACAAAGTTCTTTCTTGCACCTCTGTCCCCCCCCCCCCCCCCCCCCCCCCCCCGTAGAGAAATCACTGTTGTTCTTAGGATTTCGAAACGAAGGCGCTTCCTTATGTATCCAACAGTGAACAGCATCTGAATACCTTTGCCCTGTGTGGTATTCCATCTTGCTAGCAAGCTTCTTTACTAGTCTTTCAGCTTCACCACCCATTCCACCAGATGTTGAGAAAACTAACGTCGTGAAGCTTCCTTTCTCTACTTCCAGAACCCTTGTATTGTATCATAGCAAATTAACATATTGAGATTGGGATTGAGGGAATGAAATCAAGGTACAAACACTCCTGCTAACTTTTAAACTGCTTCATGGGCTAGCACCTTCATACCTGTCAAAAATTGTCAAGTACAATTCCAGTGGTGGCAGAGATGTGTCTCTTCATTGCCCTATAAACAGTCCACCCAGAGCCTTCTCTTCATCTGCTCCAAGATTATGGAACAATATTCCTCTAGAAATCAGGAAATGTGTGAACATCATGAACTTTAAGGAAAAACTAAAATATCACCTGTTTAGAAAGTCCTTTGATATATATTGAGTAACTACATTACTAGAAGATCTATTAAATTTACATTCTATAGCAGGTCAATTTTACGCTTTAAATTAAATTATTTTAGATTTTTAAGTTCTAAGGATTTTCGGGCAACATTTAAGATAATAAATTTTTGGTGTTTCACTGCTTCTGCCTACAAAATTGTAGTGTAAGTCAGAAAAAGAGGCTTTATCCCGGGACATGCCAACATTTTTTGGATTGGCACCCAGGAGAAAAGTAAAAGTAAAGTAAAAATTATGACATAACATCATCACACATGTCTACAACGTATCAAATCACTATATGGAAAAATATAAAGAAAGCACCCGTTAAAACAAAGAGTTTGAACGGGTGATACTCGTAAAATATTTGTTCCATAGGAAAACAAATTTAAGGAAAAGAAGTTTAAATTTTGGTATTTATTAATAACAATCAAACCATATCATATCATAAAAATAAAGCCGCACGTTGGTTGACTGCCTCAGTAAGGTAAATATTTTAAACTTGAAGGTGCCCTGCGCATTTGCAGAACCTCGTGCGGCGATCACATGATCACGAGGACCTGTGAGCGCGAGCGCCAAATTTAATTTTATTTATATTAATTAATAATTATAATTAATATTATATTATTATAATTAATATTATATTATTTCATATATTAGGACCATCGACGAGTCCAGCTCGGCGCACGTCCTAGGTGTCATACGTTGTATGACCCGCCGCGCACGAAGTGCGCGGCTCCCCAAGTATCGCTTCACTATAGTGAAGCGACCGTGGGGGTCACCACGTGATACAACGTCCTAGTAGGTTATAAACTTCACTTAACCATGTGCTTTCGCGCCGCTGCGGGCGCGCTTGTTTCACAAGGTGGGCACTCGCCACTGCAAGCACAAGGGCTAGATAGAGCAAGTTATAAATTTACAAACCGAGTTGTACTCTTTGACGGTCTTGAAACAAATATTTTACGATATTACCTGTTAAAAATTCAGCCAATCAGAGTACAGGAATTCGCACAGTTAAAATTTACTGGGCGGCGCTCAGCCTGTCATTCCGCCGAATTTTTATTCAATATTCAGTTTATGAACATAATAGCCTGGGGTCCCCAGCTAAAGTTAAAGTTTGAAGTTGCAAACTTTTGATCGCGCGCCGAAATGAGACTTTTTCTGGAGATATTAACTCAACATCTATTCACATAGCCATGTATATACGCGTAAAATATACTTAGGCGGTCGCGCGCTACTGCAAGCGAGAGGGCTCTGGTTAGAGCAACAAAATCTACGTTGTCTCAAATTTCCCCGGGGAGGGGGGGAGGAAACGATATTTTCACTAGAGGAAAATTTTGCAAAAAACCAAAAGTTTCTAGTATCTCTTTTATTTTCGAAGTTAGGCCCCAGCCAATAAGTTTTCCTTTGTATCATGTTTTGTAGGTTTATAACCTACCAGGACGCGCGCCGAGTTGGACTCGTCGACGGTCCTAATATATGGAACAAATATTTCACGAGTATCACCCGGTAAATCACGTTGTGACCCCCACGGTCGTTTCACTATCGTCCTGACGATACAGGGGGAACCGCGCACTCGTGCGCGGCGGGTCATACAACGTATGACAAGGTTTCCTGGGGTAACGAAAAGGTGGTGCCCAGCCTGTCATTGGCTGCGCCATCGACCATAACTTAAATTGTTAATGTTTATAAAAATAAATGATTACGTCTGAGCTGCCGCTGGTGTCCAGGTAACCATTCTGTTGACGGATATGTTACTATCTAAATTTCTTCAAAGTAGTAGTGCGCGCCGCTTGCTTTACTGGGCGGCGCTCAGCCTGTCATTCCGCCAAATCTTTATTATATGTTTATGAACATAATAGCCTGGGGTTTGCTCTAACCAGAGCCCTCTCGCTTGCAGTAGCGCGCGACCGCCGTAGGCGGCAACTTCTGAAACAAGCGCGTCACGCAGTACGCGTATACACATGGCTATGTGAAGCCTGGGGTCCCCAGGTAATGCTTGCTTTGAAGCAAGTGATACGAAGTAGCGCGCACTGGTGACTGGGCTAGTCCATTAACAATGGACAGCCATTTTGTGGCTATTTACCGCGAAATTATGCGCAGCAAGGTACGTCATGGTAAGCTATCTCTTTTCCTTTCACATTATTTAGTGCCAGTGGTACTGTTGACTGTACTGGTAAAATTTCTTCAAATTTTAAACCCGTCACCAGTCATAAAAATGGCCCTGTAATCCACCCCAACATGCACTGTGCGTGGTGAACTTTGTTGTTTGTAATTTAATTGTATGTACAATCATAAAACATTGATTTTTAGTGAAATAATTTTTGGTAATCATATCTAATATTGATCATTGATTTATACAAAATATAACAACGAGTATTATTAACATAATCATAATTTTTCTCATACCATGGACTCAGCACTTATTGCCGAAGTTATACTTGCGTCCCCCCTTACAGTCAACAGTGCTGCTTGAAAAACTACAGCAGTGTTTGCAACTTAAAAACTAAGTGAGGTAATCTTAAATCTGACAAAATTGTAACAAAATAATACCGTTAATTGGTTTCGGCGTTTCGCAAAATTAGTCCATATTCGGTCTTCCACAAGCACAGAATAAGTAATAACATATACAATATATTACATATATTACACATAAAAAGCTGTGCATAATTCATAATTGATCAGAGTCTAAGTTAATGATATGTGACCAAAGGAGTTGGGATGACGCACTCTAGAACGGCCGAGTTATAGGATGATACTTATAATAGTTATTAATTATAATATTAATAGCTTTACTCGCATCTTCATCGCATACAACAGCAGAGTCCACGTAAAGCCCACTTGGAGTAGTGAACATTCTCGTTGAATATGTCTGAAAAGATTAAGTTATAATACGGGAACAACTTACATTTCAGGAATACGGCCACAGTAAAACAGCTTGGGGAAAGGGAAATCGCCGAACAGTAAATCGACTATTGTCATCGAGGTGTACGGCAAATGGAGGGTATGACGCGATCTCAGTCAGATTAAAGTACTCGGGGTAGGGCTTATTGTTCAAGGTTCACATTACATGGTTTCCTCTCCACACAGTATCGGTTCTTCATTAGTGGTTACGGTTCACAGTTATGCACAAGCGCTCAAGTAAGGGGGAGATGAACGAAGTAACGAGCCTAACAAGCTTTTCGAGATGAGAGACCCAATTCTAAGCCTCTCAAAGGATCTCGTGATATCAAACGAAATATTTACTGGGCGGCGCTCAGCCTGTCATTCCGCTGAATCTTTATTTATTATTGTTTATGAACATAATATCCTGCATGGGGTCCCCAGGTAAAAAAATATGTGGACATTTTCCCAAATTTTTGGGAAATGGGTTTTAATGTTTATTTAAATAAGAAGTTAAGAGTGTTTTAGAAAACAGTGTGGGAAGAGCTTACCTAAGAAGAAGAGAGGTTTGTCGTCCATAGCACGTGTAGAGTAGACGGGGCACTGGTACAGACAGTGAGTCCTGTCCGTCTGACTCGGTCCTGCTGTCACGTGGATAACCGGGAGCTGGGTGAACTTGGACTTGGGGGCCACATCCTGCATCTGTGGGGACTTAATATTTAGTGTTAGTTGAGGGGGTAGTGTTAGAGGTAGTGTTAGGGGGCCACATCCTGCATCTGTGGGGACTTAATATTTAGTGTTAGTTGAGGGGGGCCACATCCTGCATCTGTGGGGACTTAATATTTAGTGTTAGTTGAGGGGGGCCACATCCTGCATCTGTGGGGACTTAATATTTAGTGTTAGTTGAGGGGGCCACATCCTGCATCTGTGGGGACTTAATATTTAGTGTTAGTGTTAGGGGGCCACATCCTGCATCTGTGGGGACTTAATATTTAGTGTTAGTTGAGGGGTAGTGTTAGAGGTAGAATTAGCAATTAACCGCTACTTTAACTTATAACTGTATTCTACTTATAACTGTATTATCTTGAACTCCCTCTCCGGAAACTGCAGGCTTGTTCAAAAAGGAAAAAGCATTTGCCCGTGAACACAGGGATTATTCCTATTAGATATTTAATATCACTTTGTTCAATCACATCATCAATCATCATGATGTAATTCAAATGTATCGCCATAATATTTAACAAATTTAATTTTAACGCGTTTGTATCCGTTATTCAGGCAGAAAAGAAAGTTCAAATTAGGTCACTAAAATTAAGTTATTAATAAAGCTTATCAAGTTATCGAGAGAAGAGTCTGTTTGGTAAATGGCTGTCTCAACAACTGCCGTAACTAATCAATAGCATATTATGGTCGATTACCACATTCTATAAATATAACAAAACATATTTGCATACATGCAAGGAAGTGTCTGTGAAATACCGAATATATGTATTTTGGGCTCGGATATCTGAGAAGACCAGTCTGATGATGTGATTACGTGATGTTAAACTAGAGGGAGTGTGTTAGTTACTGTCCAGTGGTGGTGTTTGACGTCACACTTCTCCTTTTGGTTGGTGACGACTGCCGGATTTTGTAGGCTGGGTGTAGAGGGTGGGGGAGTTGCATCACGGCGTCAGGGTTTGGTATAAATGTTCCTCCTGCACCGTCTACCTCACATTTAACCGATCTTTTCTATCGACTTGTTTGTTTTGCACTAGTAAACCCATCTATTTTAATGCTCGATAGTATTTCTGTGAAGACCAACATGACTCTACGAGTATTAGTTTTACTTCTCTCCCTCTCTGTTGCTGCCCTCTCTTACGAGTACGATGATGATCAAGAAAAATCCTGCTCTTTCGGAGGAATGAAATACCTGTGTGAGAACTACGAGATCTGCTCTGAGTTCGGACTGATTGACGAGGACGCTAAGAATGCTCTTTGTGGAGCTTATCTTGATGAACTCAACTTTAGCCCAAGTAATGGTCCTGTCTCCACCTCTGATACTAGAGCCGAGACTGAGCGACCCACAAAGGAAGAAGAGTACCCCACTACATATGTATACACCAGTGAGAACGCTGTCACCACTGGAGACTCCTATTCGTCCCCTCAGCAGACTACTGAGGCTGATGATACCTTCACCACCTACCCTTATACTACAGAGGCAGAAGCTGAACCCACCGTAGACCCTGAAGTGGTGAAACAGCCCCCAGTCATAACCATCGCTCCAGTCAATATTACTGTTGCTCCTGGTGGAACTGGTAGATTTGATTGTGAAGCAAAGGCTGCCATGACCCCTCAGATTACCCTTACCAGGAAAGACCAGTTGTCCAGACCCAACCTGGAATCCTTCAATGCTTTTAGCAGCGGTCATGTCAGTCAGACGACCATCAACTCTATCACAATCAACAATGTGGACGAACCTAATGAAGGCTGGTACACCTGTCTTGCCTGCAACAGACACGGCTGTGATGAAGTGGACGCCTACCTGACTGTACTGGATCTGTGCGAGGGAGTGACCTGCCCCGGGGAGAAACAGTGTGTCGGGAACTACGCTGCTGGACACGGACATACCTGTGAGTGTCCTTCATACTGTGATAGAGCTGACATGTTCGCCAGTGACTTTGTCTGCTCTAACTATTGTGAGGAGCAATTCAACGAGTGCCTGATGAAGGACGATGCCTGCAGGAACGACAAGTTCGGAATTGAAGTCATGAACAAAGGAAGATGTGGCAAGATCGAGAACCCAGAGATTTTGGAAGAGGAATTCGCTCATGGAGTCTTCGAGCTGGAGGAAGGTGATGAACTGATTCTCGAATGTAATGCTATAGGATTCCCTGAGCCTGAGATTGTGTGGTACAGACACGACGAGATTGTAGGACATGGCAACTACCTGATAAAGTCTGTCTCTGTTGCTGATGGTGGGGAGTATACTTGCGAGGCTGTGAACTGCATGACCACCAAAGTTAGTAAAATTCTAGCTGCTGTCGTAGTCAAAGAAATCCCTCCTCCTCCCCCTGCTGTTGTAACCACTGCTGCACCGGTTATCACATCCACTGAACCAGCTTCCTTCGACAACATCATCGTGGAAACCCCTAGAGCTACTTGTGCGGTAAGTTCTAGCTTAAGTGTTATGATAAAAATTATAGTTTTCCAGTGTTGTCTTTTATTACATGTTTGTAAATTACGCAAAATATTAATTTTGTGTTTACCAAAGTTCAAGTTACATCTTCGTTAATTATTTCAAAGACAGTCCCATCCAAACTTTCAATCTGACCTATCTCAATCCTACAGGTATACGGAGACCCTCATTTTCTGACCTACGACAAGAACGCCTACACCTACATGGGACTGTGTGACAATGTCCTGGCTATGGACTGTGAGTCTGCACGCTGGTTCGTCTACGGAAGAATGAGGGCATGTGGAAAGACCGGGGGTTCCTGCTTGGAGTCTGTCACCGTCTTCGTTGATAATGATGTTCTTGAGCTCCAGAGAGGATGGTTGGTGAACAGAAACGGAAAGAAGCTCGTCACCAAGAACAGGAAAAATAAAGAGATCGTCGTGAAAGGAAAAAAACAAGATTTCACTTTACTATTTGACGGAGCTATGCTCACTCTCACCGCTATCCTCGACACCAGAGCAACCGCCGTCCCTGGAACCTACGAAGAAGACAAGCTTGTTGTCCGTTGGGATGGCTTCGTCTCTGTTCAGATCCAGTCACCCATCAGCACCAGAACTTGTGGAATGTGTGGAAACAACGACGGCCGACCTGAGAACGACATGAAGAACCGACATGGCAAGATGATCGACAACGTCAACGTGTTCGGAAAGGCTTGGCAGATCGATCCTATGGGAAGATGCCCTGAAACCCAGAAAGCAAGAACATCTGAGGAGGTGTGCGGAGAGAGGTACCAGGAAGTGAAGACGGAATGTGAGCGAGTGTTCAGCATCACCAAGTTCCAGGGTTGTATTGCAGCTGGACACGACACTGCCCAGTGGATAGACAGTTGTGTCTACGACGAGTGCGAGGGACTTATGCAGAAAGAGGAGTTGCCTCCTAAATGTGTGGTGGCTCAAGCTTACGCTACTCAGTGCGGTAACATGTTCTGGGAAAATGGAGACCCTGTCCCAAGGATTAACAACGATATCACCAACTGGGAGATGGAAGCTGGATGTCCCGATGAAGCAAAGAGGTACCAACCCATCCTGGACACGGGATGTCCTCAACCCACTCTCGAGGAGGAACTCGCTGGAACCTTCTAAATCAACTAAAACCTACGATTGATACGAACTTAATTTTTGATGAACAATTGTTTAATACCGTGAAATAAAACTGCATGAAATTGTTAATCCTATTTGATAATATATAATTTTTTATAAAGCTAACACATTGTATGCTATTTTAAATGAATTGTATTTTCTGATGATATTGCTAACGAAATTTAATTTACGAAAAAGAAGGGGTAATTTATAGTTATTTGTATTTATTTGAAGGGGATTTTGTTGTTGTGCTTTGTATAATGGTTTTTCAGAATTACACTTAATAAATTTGTTTACATTATTTCGTTTTGACCCACGTCCCACAATTTATATTTTAAATTCATCCCAAAATCAATAAAAAACATCACAAATTGTGCTTTCAAGGTTTTCAAATGAACTGAAATAAAAACAACAGTCCTTTTTTAACTTGGTGAAATTTAATAAAGGCTTATCCAGGCTTAAATTTAGGGTGTAATATCATAATTTTCAGCCTTTTTTTCTGAGTAAACTGCAGCGAGGACAGTTGGTATAATATATTGCCACGTTCAACATCACAATAATAATTAATAATGTTTAAACACTTGAGTCAAGGAAAAAACTATAAATTCAGTTAACAACACTTATATCAGGATATAACACGTCACGAATTTAACAGCAAGCATTTCAGGCTTATTATTCAGCTTTTACTCTGTGCTAGCTGTAGTGGGTGGTCGAGTGCTAAAACTTAAACTTTAAACTGCTCTAAAAGATGTGCTGACTAGTTACCTGGTATTGTAGTATAATATTCTGAAACATTGTAACCAGTTTAACTTCGAAACAACTTTTAATTTAAAATCGAAAAATATGCTTATTACTATTAAGAATGAAAAGAAATTAGCAATTTCATATGTAATAGTAATACTAAATACTACCATTCTGATAAGTTTTATATCGATATCGCAACATTTCTAAGTGGATTGGTGCACTATCGACAAAATGGTCCAAATATAAGTTGAATTCTTTAAGAAATTCAATCTTGAGAAAATTGTTGTAACTTGTAGATGATGTCTGTAGTTGTGACGTCACGTAGCAGCCGGTGACGTCACGAAGCAGCCGGTGACGTCACGTAGCAGCCGGTGACGTCACGTAGGAGCGGGTGACGTCACGTAGGAGCCGGTGACGTCACGTAGCAGCCGGTTACTTTTACTCGGGAGGAGAGGATGGGTCTAAAACTACAAAAATCTGGCTAACATTTTATGTGAACCTTCCCTGATATTAATAATAAGACAATCTAAAAGTGTTGCAAATTAACTGTTAGGACTATTGTCACTGCATCCTGGGCACACTGTGCTGCATCATAGTAGTGCTCACTTGTTACTATCCTATTCACTAATTCACACCGTTTATAAATGGCAACGTTTGACTAGTACGTCAATACAGCTGACCAAACATCAAAACATGTCAATTGCTTACTGCTTATTCTTTTAATTTCAATTTCATCATCGTCCATTCATCAGTCATCACCATCCTTAAAACTTGACGTGAGAAACATTGTCATAATGAAGAGACAAGTCTTAAACTTCCAGTCTTCAGTATTCTACTGTCGTTGCAATGAAACAGTCCTTCTGTTTCATTGCATTCAGGGTACGCGCTCTGATCCGAGTGATTAAAAATTTAACCAGGAGGCAGACCATAACCAGCCCAATAGGAGCAAGATACAGTAATCCAACTTGGCAATCTTTACTTGACCGACGAGATTAAGAAGCAGATTAGCGTTGACTATCTGCCTAACTAACACTGTTCTGGATATTATACTGCAGCCTGCCTACCTGCCTACTGCAGCAGTTACAGTGAAAACTGGAAGATACCCTGCTTACGGATAATGCAAAGTTTGTGCAGGAAAAGGCAATCGTTCAAAACCAAAAAGTATTAGTACATCACGTCAACACGTGAGAAACCTTGTCATAATGAAGAAAACTTCCAGTCTTCAGTATTCTACTGTCGTTGCAATGAAACAGCCCTTCTGTTCGCCATCATAACCTTCCCTCCACCTCCTGACTTCTAGATATGATGATCAGTGCATTCAGCATAACCCACCCCCCACCTCCTGACTTCTAGATATGATGATCAGTGCATCAGTCAACTGTGGTACTCACATGTGACCAATCAGTGACCACTGGATGATCAGGGTCGCGCTCTGATCCGAGCCATTGAAAATTAAACCAGGAGGCAGACCATAACCACCCCAATAGGAGCAAGATACAGTAATCCAACTTGGCAATCTAATATCATCACTATCTCGTTCCGTTTTAACTTCAGCCATGGCTCGAGGAAGTCACACAAATCATGACCAAGGAAAGCAAGCGCTACATTCTTCCACATAAGGATTCAGCGCCTTGGAAAATCCGGTCCAACTGTATACCAAACATCAGTAACACACAACAACACTAGGAAACCGAAGAACAGAGCAATCGCTATCTTCAGAACTGCAACTTTGATGGAAGGGGAATGATATCTTTACCGTTTTTAAAACAGCAAGTATCATGTTCAAGAGAACCGATGAGGCGTAGCCGAGAAGGGACATCATGGTGTGTATCACTATCACCAAACATACCGTAGCAGAAACGCGGTAATCTTACATTTGAGGTGTGTAGAAATGTTTTCTGCCGAAAAACCGAACCGAACCGAAATTTCGGTCGCTAATTTTATAAGGACAAAGTTTTGAAATCAAGTTAACAGTATTGAGTGATTTGTGTTCTCTAATGCGTATTGCGCACATTTTAAATCATTTTCTTTGTACAGAAACACTTATGCATTATGCGCAATGCACATTGCGAGGCTTGTATATGTGCCGAAGTACTAATGTTCATATAAGTTTTATGGAAACAATAAATAGCAGACTTTAACAGGTAGTACTTTTTAATAACGGTTCAATAATACATTTATCAATTAAAAACATACAAAATTACAAATACCCCTCCGGATAAATCTCATTATTAATAAATCCCCAAATATGACAAAAATGGTCAATGTTTGCTGTTTAGTATAAAACAAATTCCAAATATAATGTAAAAGCAAAAAGTTAGAAATGTCACTAAAATATCGTCAACGATGTCAAACAATCAACTCTCAAAAATACAATAACAAATATCCATATCAAATAAATCTCAAATAATCTTTAGTTTTCGGTTGATTTAGAAGGTTCCAGCGAGTTCCTCCTCGAGAGTAGGTTGAGGACATCCCGTGTCCAGGATGGGTTGGTACCTCTTTGATTCATCGGGACATCCAGCTTCCATCTCCCAGTTGGTGATATCGTTGTTAATCCTTGGGACAGGGTCTCCATTTTCCCAGAACAGGTTACCGCACTGAGTAGCGAAAGCTTGAGCCACCACACATTTAGGAGGCAACTCCTCTTTCTGCATAAGTCCCTCGCACTCGTCGTAGACACAACTGTCTATCCACTGGGCAGTGTCGTGTCCAGCTGCAATACAACCCTGGAACTTGGTGATGCTGAACACTCGCTCACATTCCGTCTTCACTTCCTGGTACCTCTCTCCGCACACCTCCTCAGATGTTCTTGCTTTCTGGGTTTCAGGACACCTTCCCATAGGATCGATCTGCCAGCTGTCTCCGAACTCGTCTACATTGTCTGTCATCTTACGACGACGAGTTGTCATATCGTTCTCAGGTCTGCCGTCGTTGTTACCGCACATTCCACAAGTTCTGGTGCTGATGGGTGTCTGGATCTGAACAGAGACGAAGCCATCCCAACGGACAACAAGCTTGTCTTCTTCGTAGACTCCAGGGGTGGCGGTCGCCCTGGTGTCGAGGATAGCGGTGAGAGTGAGCATAGCTCCGTCAAACAGGAGGGTGAAGTCTTGGTTTTTTCCTTTCACGACGATCTCTTTATTTTTACGGTTCTTGGTGACGAGCTTCTTTCCGTTTCTGTTTACCAACCATCCTCTCTGGAGCTCAAGAATATCATTATCAACGAAGACGGTGACAGACTCCAAGCAGGAACCCCCGGTCTTTCCACAGGCCCTCATTCTTCCGTAGACGAACCAGCGTGCAGATTCACAGTCCATAGCCAAGACATTGTCACACAGTCCCATGTAGGTGTAGGCGTTCTTGTCGTAGGTCAGAAAATGAGGGTCTCCGTATACCTGTAGGATTGAGATAGGTCAGATCGAAAGTTTGGATGGGACTGTCTTTGAAATAATTAACTAAGATGTAACTTGAACTTTGGGAAACACAAAATTAATATTTTGCGTAATTTACAAACATGTAATAAAAGACACACTGGAAAACTATAATTTTTATCATAACACTTAAGCTAGAACTTACCGCACAAGTAGCTCTAGGGGTTTCCACGATGATGTTGTCGAAGGAAGCTGGTTCAGTGGATGTGATAACCGGTGCAATAGTGGTAACAATAGCAGGGAGAGGAGGAGGGATTTCTTTGACTACGACAGCAGCTAGAATTTTACTAACTTTGGTGGTCATGCAGTTCACAGCCTCGCAAGTATACTCCCCACCATCAGCAACAGAGACAGACTTTATCAGGTAGTTGCCATGTCCTACAATCTCGTCGTGTCTGTACCACACAATCTCAGGCTCAGGGAATCCTATAGCATTACATTCGAGAATCAGTTCATCACCTTCCTCCAGCTCGAAGACTCCATGAGCGAATTCCTCTTCCAAAATCTCTGGGTTCTCAATCTTGCCACATCTTCCTTTGTTCATGACTTCAATTCCGAACTTGTCGTTCCTGCAGGCATCGTCCTTCATCAGGCACTCGTTGAATTGTTCCTCACAATAGTTAGAGCAGACAAAGTCACTGGCGAACATGTCCGCTCTATCACAGTATGAAGGACACTCACAGGTATGTCCGTGTCCAGAAGCGTAGTTCCCGACACACTGTTTCTCCCCGGGGCAGGTCACTCCCTCACACAGATCCAGTACAGTCAGATAGGCGTCCACTTCATCACAGCCTTGTCTGTTGCAGGCAAGACATGTGTACCAGCCTTCATTAGGTTCGTCCACATTGTTGATTGTGATAGAGTTGATGGTCGTCTGACTGACATGACCGCTGCTGAAAGCATTGAAGGATTCCAGGTTGGGTCTGGACAGCTGGTCTTTCCTGGTAAGGGTAATCTGAGGGGTCATGGCGGCCTTTGCTTCACAATCAAATCTACCAGTTCCACCAGGAGCAACAGTAATATTGACTGGAGCGATGGTGATGACTGGGGGCTGTTTCACCACTTCAGGGTCTACGGTGGGTTCGGCTTCTGCCTCTGTAGTATAAGGGTAGGTGGTGAAGGTATCATCAGCCTCAGTAGTCTGTTGAGGGGACGAATAGGAGTCTCCAGTGGTGACAGCGTTCTCACTGGTGTATACATATGTAGTGGGGTACTCTTCTTCCTTTGTGGGTCGCTCAGTCTCGGCTCTAGTATCAGAGGTGAAGACAGGACCATTACTTGGGCTAAAGTTGAGTTCATCGAGATAAGCTCCACAAAGAGCGTTTTTAGCATCCTCGTCAATCAGTCCGAACTCAGAGCAGATCTCGTAGTTCTCACACAGGTATTTCATTCCTCCGAAAGAGCAGGCTTTTTCTTGATCATCATCGTACTCGTAAGAGAGGGCAGCAACAGAAAGGGAGAGAAGTAAAACTAATACTCGTAGAGTCATGTTGGACTTCACAGAAATACTATCGAGCAGTAAAATAGGTGGGTTTACTAGTGCAAAACAAACAAGTCGATAGAAAAGATCGGTTAAATGTGAGGTAGACGGTGCAGGAGGAACATTTATACCAAACCATGACGCCGTGATGCAACTCCCTCACCCTCTACACCCAGCCTACAAAATCCGGCAGTCGGTGCGTCACGAGACCACGTGACTAACACGTGACCACATCAAGCTGACGTAAACAGGTAACACTACTGTTTATATGTGATAAAATTACTCCCATATTTTGCTCTACAGCCTGTATTTCGGTCACGTAATAAGACACAACCTCGTACGACCATCTTATCAATACCACATTATCCTGACTTCTGCCTAACTTTAAACATAATTATATCAAAATATTAAATTATTATGTAATATATTAGGATATTATGGGCATATGAAGATATAATAAGCCTATGTGTTAATATTATAATGTCCTAAAATAGGACGCGGACGGCCGCCGGACGCGCATTCGGTCAAATGGATGATGACAGTTCTGTAAACTTGTTAAAATTTGAATGGCTCATGTGCGATAAAATGATGGGATGACTATATTTGTATTTGTAACGCCATTACTCAACCCAATTCAAGAAACGATGGTTCCATGGTTACATTCGTTACCCCTTATATTAATGTAAAAAGCCTTCTTCAAAATGTGTGCAGATCCTTTTTCTTTAGACTACTAACGAATCATATACATGAGACTGTTATCTCTTGTAAGCAGGAATACCGACCACCAAATAATCATGAGCCGAAACCTACAATCTGCAGCGTCAAATATTCGTCTAAATCTAGTTTCACGGTTGTTCCAACGATTGATTTCTGTGGAATTACAAAGGATCTTACCATAGGTACCATAGTAAAACTACTAGTTACCATAGTTACCTGGTCAGTTACAAAGGATCTTACCTCGTTAATGGTTCGTTCCCAGCTAGCGCCGTAGAGAGATATCCCGTAAACAAACATCCCCTCGTGAGGAGACTCCCTTATCTGAAAACAAGGCAGAAGTAAGAAGTAGGAAGTAGGAAGTTAGCGGAAGGAGGAATATGATAAATTATATATATTCTGCCAGCCAGCTCCCACTAAGTTGAAGGTGCGAGCAATTTCTTGACTTTATTCTTTGTTAACTCAGTAGTAGTGGTTAACTCTAAGATGAAGGGGGGAACTGTGAAAAACCCAATTAAACTGACGATATTTCTAGAGGAAGGGTTAATAAACCTGTTTATTGTTAAGTTTTATTGGATGAACTTGTGTGTTACAAATTGGAGGTGAACCCTAGTAACCCTAGTAACCCTAGTGAACGTGTCCACTATAACCCTGCTCTAGTGGATGAAACCAAAATATTCTTACTGAGTGAGAGTTGTACTGTTGGAATTGTATTGCAATCTGAAATGAGTGAGGAAATAAACAAGATTACAGTGTGAAATGAGTGAGGAAATAAACAAGATTACAGTGTGAAATGAGTGAGGAAATAAACAAGATTACAGTGTGAAATGAGTGAGGAAATAAACAAGATTACAGTGTGAATGTGAATGACTGATGATGCAAAATCGGAAGCGAAATTGTATGAATAAACTAAAAACAAATAACTTAATGTTCATAAAATTAGCATACTCGGAAGCTCTGCAGAGTCTGAATCCCTAAACTTACATGATCCTTGTCCCTATTAGTAATCTCGGTCTGGAAGTTGAACACCTCGAAATTATTGGCAGCTCCGTCGTACGTTTGTACCGCCTCGTGCATTATAGTCCCTAGCAGACCCTCAGGGCTGGAGAAGATGGAGATCCACAAACAGGGCACTCTCTCCCGACCCTTGGAATACTTGAAATGCCATTAAAATTCTAGAGAGAACGGACGGGAATATGCGAATGTGTGTTAGCCAGAGTTTTACGTGAAGGTTTGTATCAAACTAATAAATAGTTGAACAATTTATCAAGCGTATGAAGATTAATAATCTAGATGTATACTGTGTACGTTTACCTCCAAAAATATCAGAATATCTGGAAATTAAATCACACATCTTAGTCTAAAGAACAAACTGAACGTTTGAGATTTGTTACTTTCTTACTCTAAACATTATGATATGAGAGTTTTGTGAGAATGTGTCAGTATTAAAGTGAGTTGTTTTGTGAGAATGTGTCAGTATTAAAGTGAGTTGTTTTGTGAGAATGTGTCAGTATTAAAGTGAGTTGTTTTGTGAGAATGTGTCAGTATTAAAGTGAGTTGTTTTGTGAGAATGTGTCAGTATTAAAGTGAGTTGTTTTGTGAGAATGTGTCAGTATTAAAGTGAGTTGTTTTGTGAGAATGTGTCAGTATTAAAGTGAGTTGTTTTGTGAGAATGTGTCAGTATTAAAGTGAGTTGTTTTGTGAGAATGTGTCAGTATTAAAGTGAGTTGTTTTGTGAGAATGTGTCAGTATTAAAGTGAGTTGTTCTGTGAGAATGTGTCAGTATTAAAGTGAGTTGTTTTGTGAGAATGTGTCAGTATTAATTACAGTTGTTCTCACCTGTAGAGCACGTTCCAAGTGACTGCACCTCTGCACAATATCACCAATCCAGGTGAGAGTGTTGGTGGGGTTGGGGGATATGGACCCGGCCAGGTTCTGCCAGTGCCGGGGAACTCTCTGGTACAGCAAGTCGTGTGCTACTGATATTACCTGGGAGTTTAACCTCACTTATACAGTACTATTTAAAGGATCTTTTAGAGTTTCAGAGTCGTAGTGTTTAAGAGGGATCACATCATTATGAGACCGAGCTAGAGAGAATCTCTCTCTCTGTTCTGGTCAACTCCTGCTAGAGAGAATAAACACTTCGTGCTCAAGTTTCCGAACGGTAGAGCTGCTGAACGTGTAATTGCCAGAATAAATATTCCACTCTGCGCTCATTTCAACAAACAGCACATAATGCTCGCCCTTTTATTCAGATACAAGAGTATTGGTCGCTATTAATGACAGTATAAACTAACAGTAGGAGAGTTGATGGCAGGTTGATCGATAGAAGTCTTTATCGCGGCTAAAGTAGATCTTATCTCCTCTAAGATACCCTGCATCATACTCATCTCGTTGGTCATGAAGTAGGTGTAGGGAACAGATCCTCCCAGCTTCTTCAGTCGGTCCATTACGTAGTCCTGGAGAATGGAGATACGAGGTTATTATACAGGACTAACATTTTAAAAATGTCTCGTACGTCATGTTTTTAGTAACATTGATTTTCACATCATATAATGATTGAATCAGGCAAAAAAGAGCTAACCTTGTGCCATCCCTTTGGTAGTTTCTGCAGCAGAATATTAGCTGTCTCAATGAGGTCGATGTCTTTACCAGTTTTAACACTGAGAGGGGACCTGTCCCTGCTCTTGATGGTAGCACTGTTAGCACTGCCCCTAATTGGGGTGCTGCTGGCGGCTGGTAGTTCTGCTTCCGCCTGGAAAGTGGGTAGTTAAAATCATCTGTAATAATAACACAAACAAATCAGTCAGATTTAGTACATATTATAGTGTTAACTGTTAAAGTGGTGATTTGTTAGCTATAACCCCGTTCTACTCACCTCCTTCGTTTCAATCTCATAGATCTGAGCTAGCTGAGTAAAGAAATACTTCTCTCCCGGCGCGTTACTGTCAGTCATACTGTGCATTAGACATGCTTCAAATGTTTCAGGAGGAGGGTGGTTCTCTATTTGGGACACAACTTGTGAGATCTGGTTACTCCGGAGAGGCTGGAAGCAGCAAGTTGGTAACTTCCACTTAGCTGAAAAGAGAAATGTTATTTATCAACAAGGCGACGCTGATCTTCAGTTCTTACAATATAGCTGATATTTATCATTATATTTCTTAATAATTTATCGAGAATTATATTTCAGAATGTACATATTTCTATTATTCTTACGCTTTAATAATCTACCCATTTGTAAAATATAGAGACTTACTCTTAGGAATTTCATAATCCTTCTTGCAGGCAGCCGGACAAATGAAGTGGTCCAACATAGAGTTGATGACTTGTTTATCCAGCGGGTCGTGAACCTGACCTCCGTATATTACCTGGAATGATGAAAGTTAACATATGTTTGTTGTCTACAATATGTAAAGCTTAGTGCATTCCTCGTTTAAGATAACCTTCTTCACTAGATTACTTTAAAAGTACGGATGAGAATTAAATTAATTCCCGTAACTATGGTAACTAGTAGTGTAACTATGGTAACTAGTAGTGTAACTATGGTAACTAGTAGTGTAACTATGGTAACTAGTAGTGTAACTATGGTAACTAGTAGTATAACTATGGTAACTAGTAGTGTAACTATGGTAACTAGTAGTGTAACTATGGTAACTAGTAGTGTAACTATGGTAACTAGTAGTGTAACTATGGTAACTAGTAGTGTAACTATGGTAACTAGTAGTGTAACTATGGTAACTAATAGTGTAACTATGGTTACTAGTAGTGTAACTATGGTTACTAGTAGCGTAACTATGGTAACTAGTAGTGTAACTATGGTAACTAGTAGTGTAACTATAATGGTAACTAGTAGTGTAACTATGGTAACTAGTAGTGTAACTATGGTAACTAATAGTGTAACTATGGTTACTAGTAGTGTAACTATGGTTACTAGTAGCGTAACTATGGTAACTAGTAGTGTAACTATGGTAACTAGTAGTGTAACTATAATGGTAACTAGTAGTGTAACTATGGTAACTAGTAGTGTAACTATGGTAACTAGTAGTGTAACTATGGTAACTAGTAGTGTAACTATGGTAACTAGTAGTGTAACTATGGTAACTAGTAGTGTAACTATGGTAACTAGTAGTGTAACTATGGTAACTAGTAGTGTAACTATGGTAACTAATAGTGTAACTATGGTTACTAGTAGTGTAACTATGGTTACTAGTAGCGTAACTATGGTAACTAGTAGTGTAACTATGGTAACTAGTAGTGTAACTATAATGGTAACTAGTAGTGTAACTATGGTAACTAGTAGTGTAACTATGGTAACTAGTAGTGTAACTATGGTAACTAGTAGTGTAACTATGGAAACTAGTAGTGTAACTATGGTAACTAGTAGTGTAACTATGGTAACTAGTAGCGTAACTATGGTAACTAGTAGTGTAACTATGGTAACTAGTAGTGTAACTAGTGGTAACCTCCCCGAGAAGGTATCTGAGAGCAGTCCAGGAGACAGCCCTGTTCTGCGGGTTGCTAGGAGCTGGAGATGTTCCGTCATTAACCGTCAGTTTCTCCTCGTTAAACACCAGCACAGCCGCTCTCAGACTCTCCCACAACTCAGCAGTGGTCCAGGAGTACTTCCACCCATTGGGAGCCAGCCTCCCTCTCAGTTGGAAGAGGTTGTAGATCAGACACAGGTTGTGAAGTAGGGGGACCCAGTCCCCTCTCGTACCTGGAGTATAGTGTGTTATATTGTATAATGTGAAGTAGGGGGACCCAGTCTCCTCTCGTACCTGGAGTATAGTGTGCTAAATTGTATAATGTGAAGTAGGGGGACCCAGTCTCCTCTCGTACCTGGAGTATAGTGTGTTATATTGTATAATGTGAAGTAGGGGGACCCAGTCCCCTCTCGTACCTGGAGTATAGTGTGTTATATTATATAATGTGAAGTAGGGGGACCCAGTCTCCTCTCGTACCTGGAGTATAGTGTGTTATATTGTATAATGTGTGAAGTAGGGGGACCCAGTCCCCTCTCGTACCTGGAGTATAGTGTGTTATATTATATAATGTGTGAAGTAGGGGGACCCAGTCCCCTCTCGTACCTGGAGTATAGTGTGTTATATTATATAATGTGAAGTAGGGGGACCCAGTCCCCTCTCGTACCTGGAGTATAGTTGTTATATTATATAATGTGAAGTAGGGGGACCCAGTCTCCTCTCGTACCTGGAGTATAGTGTGTTATATTATATAATAGTGTGCCAGAGAATCATTTAAGGGGCTTGTCCCTTTAAGAAGCTCCTTGTGCAGGAAAATACTGCGAGGATAAGGTCCCGATTTGATATATCATTGGAGCACAGAATATGCCACCAACAGTTTCTCCGTAACCCCCTCTGAAGCACTTACATGTACTAAGAACATCAGGGGTGATCCAGGAGAGAGATCTGATCATGCCGTCCTTCATGAAGGCGGACTGTCCCTCTATAGCGCGAGGTGAGTCAGTGCAGATCTTCAGACAGGACTGCAGAACGGCTGAGGGGAAGTCATCAACCGGCTCACAACTCAACCACATGCGGAAGTTACTGTTCATTACCTGAGAATAAGACTAGTTAGAGAAGGGTACCTTACTGTTCATTACCTGAGAATAAGACTAGTTAGAGAAGGGTACCTTACTGTTCATTACCTGAGAATAAGACTAGTTAGAGAAGGGTACCTTACTGTTTATTACCTGAGAATAAGACTAGTTAGAGAAGGGTACCTTATTGTTTATTACCTGAGAATAAGACTAGTTAGAGAAGGGTACCTTACTGTTCATTACCTGAGAATAAGACTAGTTAGAGAAGGGTACCTTACTGTTTATTACCTGAGAATAAGACTAGTTAGAGAAGGGTACCTTACTGTTCATTACCTGAGAATAAGACTAGTTAGAGAAGGGTACCTTACTGTTCATTACCTGAGAATAAGACTAGTTAGAGAAGAGGACCTTACTGTTTATTACCTGAGAATAAGACTAGTTAGAGAAGGGTACCTTACTGTTCATTACCTGAGAATAAGACTAGTTAGAGAAGGGTACCTTACTGTTTATTACCTGAGAATAAGACTAGTTAGAGAAGGGTACCTTACTGTTCATTACCTGAGAATAAGACTAGTTAGAGAAGGGTACCTTACTGTTCATTACCTGAGAATAAGACTAGTTAGAGAAGGTTACCTTACTGTTCATTACCTGAGAATAAGACTAGTTAGAGAAGGGTACCTTACTGTTCATTACCTGAGAATAAGACTAGTTAGAGAAGGGTACCTTACTGTTCATTACCTGAGAATAAGACTAGTTAGAGAAGGGTACCTTACTGTTCATTACCTGAGAATAAGACTAGTTAGAGAAGGGTACCTTGCTATTATTACCTGAGAATAAGACTAGTTAGAGAAGGGTACCTTACTGTTTATTACCTGAGAATAAGACTAGTTAGAGAAGGGTACCTTACTGTTTATTACCTGAGAATAAGACTAGTTAGAGAAGGGTACCTTACTGTTCATTACCTGAGAATAAGACTAGTTAGAGAAGGGTACCTTACTATTTATTACCTGAGAATAAGACTAGTTAGAGAAGGGTACCTTACTGTTTATTACCTGAGAATAAGACTAGTTAGAGAAGGGTACCTTACTGTTTATTACCTGAGAATAAGACTATTTACTTAGTTAGAGAAGAGTACCTAACTTTGATTAGGACTGGCCTCAAGAACCAAAGAATAGAATAGTGAGCTAGTTAATTCGAATTCTTCAGATCCGGAGATTCGTTAATCTAACCAAAACGCACGCATATGTAATATGGTCCTAATATGTCGTTTTTCTTGCAACAAGAGAATTGTCACCCAAAGGCTTTTAAGAATAACATAATATAAGATAATAATCCCACCTTAGCTCCGTTAATGGTAACAAGTAGGCTGAGTAAAATATCCGGACAGTTGTGGACAGCGTGCAGATGGACCCACTGTCCTGCTTGCAGGGCTTTATTTACTATCATCTGACACTGCTTCAGCTCCATGGCTCCTGACTTGCCCACGTACAGGGAAATGACTTCTTGCTGAAATAATTGCCAAGTTAAATAATGACCATGCTTAAACCCTAATAATACTGGGGTGCTTGGAGCTCATTTATTACTGGGGGTTCGGTTGGTTGAAAGGACCCATCCTTAACAACTTTGGTTCTAGACGGTATTCAGCCACCACAGGAAGTGGAATGCTTTAGTTATAATACTGAGTTCTCTCGTTATGTTTTAAAGGGTCAGATAAGGAGCGGTCGTTGATCTGATTTACTCCTCGAATACTGGGGTTGAATCAACCCATCCCTAAGAAACGAGTGTTGATCTGATTTACCCTTAGAATACTGGGGGTGGGTTGAATCAACCCATCCCTAAGAAACGACTGTTGATCTGATTTACCCTTAGAATACTGGGGGTGGGTTGAATCAACCCATCCCTAAGAAACGGCTGTTGATCTGATTTACCCTTAGAATACTGGGGGTGGGTTGAATCAACCCATCCCTAAGAAACGGCTGTTGATCTGATTTACCCTTAGAATACTAGGGGGTGGGTTGAATCAACCCATCCCTAAGAAACGGCTGTTGATCTGATTTACCCTTAGAATACTGGGGGTGGGTTGAATCAACCCATGCCTAAGAAACGGCAGTTGATCTAATTTACTCTTAGAATACTGGGGGTGGGTTGAATCAACCCATCCCTAAGAAACGGCTGTTGATCTGATTTACCCTTAGAATACTGGGGGTGGGTTGAATCAACCCATCCCTAAGAAACGACGCGACTGTTGATCTGATTTACCCTTAGAATACTGGGGGTGGGTTGAATCAACCCATCCCTAAGAAACGACTGTTGATCTGATTTACCCTTAGAATACTGGGGGTGGGTTGAATCAACCCATCCCTAAGAAACGACTGTTGATCTGATTTACCCTTAGAATACTGGGGGTGGGTTGAATCAACCCATCCCTAAGAAACGGCTGTTGATCTGATTTACCCTTAGAATACTGGGGGTGGGTTGAATCAACCCATCCCTAAGAAACGGCTGTTGATCTGATTTACCCTTAGAATACTAGGGGGTGGGTTGAATCAACCCATCCCTAAGAAACGGCTGTTGATCTGATTTACCCTTAGAATACTGGGGGTGGGTTGAATCAACCCATGCCTAAGAAACGGCAGTTGATCTAATTTACTCTTAGAATACTGGGGGTGGGTTGAATCAACCCATCCCTAAGAAACGGCTGTTGATCTGATTTACCCTTAGAATACTGGGGGTGGGTTGAATCAACCCATCCCTAAGAAACGACGCGACTGTTGATCTGATTTACCCTTAGAATACTGGGGGTGGGTTGAATCAACCCATCCCTAAGAAACGACTGTTGATCTGATTTACCCTTAGAATACTGGGGGTGGGTTGAATCAACCCATCCCTAAGAAACGGCTGTTGATCTGATTTACCCTTAGAATACTGGGGGTGGGTTGAATCAACCCATCCCTAGGAAACGACTGTTGATCTGATTTACCCTTAGAATACTGGGGGTGGGTTGAATCAACCCATCCCTAAGAAACGGCTGTTGATCTGATTTAACCTTAGAATACTGGGGGGTGGGTTGAATCAACCCATCCCTAAGAAACGACTGTTGATCTGATTTACCCTTAGAATACTGGGGGTGGGTTGAACCAACCCATCCCTAAGAAACGACTGTTGATCTGATTTACCATTAGAATACTGGGGGGTGGGTTGAATCAACCCATCCCTAAGAAACGACTGTTGATCTGATTTACCCTTAGAATACTGGGGGTGGGTTGAATCAACCCATCCCTAAGAAACGGCTGTTGATCTGATTTACCCTTAGAATACTGGGGGGTGGGTTGAATCAACCCATCCCTAAGAAACGACTGTTGATCTGATTTACCCTTAGAATACTGGGGGTGGGTTGAATCAACCCATCCCTAAGAAACGACTGTTGATCTAATTTACCCTTAGAATACTGGGGGTGGGTTGAATCAACCCATCCCTAGGCCTAAGAAACGACTGTTGATCTGATTTACCCTTAGAATACTTGGGGTGGGTTGAATCAACCCATCCCTAAGAAACGACTGTTGATCTGATTTACCCTTAGTATACTGGGGGTGGGTTGAATCAACCCATCCCTAAGAAACGGCTGTTGATCTGATTTACCCTTAGAATACTGGGGGTGGGTTGAATCAACCCATCCCTAAGAAACGACTGTTGATCTGATTTACCCTTAGTATACTGGGGGTGGGTTGAATCAACCCATCCCTAAGAAACGGCTGTTGATCTGATTTACCCTTAGAATACTGGGGGTGGGTTGAATCAACCCATCCCTAAGAAACGACTGTTGATCTGATTTACCCTTAGTATACTGGGGGTGGGTTGAATCAACCCATCCCTAAGAAACGACTGTTGATCTGATTTACCCTTAGTAAACTGGGGGTGGGTTGAATCAACCCATCCCTAAGAAACGGCTGTTGATCTGATTTACCCTTAGAATACTGGGGGTGGGTTGAATCAACCCATCCCTAAGAAACGACTGTTGATCTGATTTACCCTTAGTATACTGGGGGTGGGTTGAATCAACCCATCCCTAAGAAACGGCTGTTGATCTGATTTACCCTTAGAATACTGGGGGGTGGGTTGAATCAACCCATCTCTAAGAAACGACTGTTGATCTGATTTACCCTTAGAATACTGGGGGTGGGTTGAATCAACCCATCACTAAGAAACGAGTGTTCATGTTGATCTGATTTACCCTTAGAATACTGGGGGTGGGTTGAATCAACCCATCACTAAGAAACGAGTGTTGATCTGATTTACTCCTCGAATCAACCCATTTAAATCAGCCCGTATAAAGGTATAATGAGTGCTTGTTTTACAAATTGAGTTTAATTTTGCAGAACGTTGAAGGATTGGTCAATTGCAAATATTACTCAACCATCATATCATATTATTATCATTATCTCTTTTTAAAAGTTTTATGAACAACACACGATGACCAAAGTTACACTTATAGTATTCTGGCTATCAAATGGTTTCGGAGCCCCTAAGCTAAGAAAGGGAGATAAGTAGTAGATATATCTAAATTGTAGTGTACTGCAGTAAACATAGTAATATATCTGATATTACCTGTCTCTTGCAAGCCAGATCAGTGATTAAGAACCTTGCATTTTCAGGTTCATCTCTGTAAAGAAGCAGTATGGGAGTTCTGGCTGACATAGTCTTCACAATAGACCCCAGATCTATTGAGTTATCCGAGATCACCTTCTTCCCGATCAGATCTGAAGCGAACTTTAGGGCGGCAGTGATAAACCTAACAGGTCTCACAGCTCGGATAAGCATTAGATGCTGCACTTTCGTTACCCTGGAAATGTAAATGATATTATTAGCATAGATTTGAACTTGTGGATTTCCAACCATAATCAGGATCAGAAATAATAAGGATCAGGAATTGATGGTAAGAGAATTGTATAGATTAGCAGGTGAAATGTTAATGGTAATAAGGATCAGAGAATTGTATAGACTAGCAGGAACCCGTTTAAGTTGCGTTAAAGTCGATGCCGTGGTGCCAGTAAAATGGTACGGATCCATATATATCGTCTCGCTTTATATAAGTAAGATTAGCAGGTGAAATGTGAAAGTCAGTAAAACCTCTGATCCAGTACATCAGGAAGAGGGGCTGTCTCCGGAGAATCACACTCACTGAGCTGTCTCCACTTCACCTCCGCACTGTCCTTGTTCATCCTGTCAAACACGTCGCTAAACCAGGAACAGTGGTGAGCTAGCACCTGATACAAATACATGGTATTATACATTATACAAATACATGGTATTATGTACATGGTATTATACATTATACAAATACATGGTATTATACATTATACAAATACATGTTATTATACATTGTACAAATACATGGTATTATACATTGTACAAATACATGGTATTATACATTGTACAAATACATGGTATTATACATTATACAAATACATGATATTATACATTGTAACCTGATACAAATACATGGTATTATACATTGTAACTAGGTATTATTGTATTGTAACTGCAGTGTTATAGAAATGCTTGGTGACTACTCTTGCAGTAACCACCCGTATTTAATACACTCAAAATTTGGTTGGACTATTTTCCTATCAGAGATTTGGGAGTTGGGACGAGTCACAACCACAACAACAGAAGATCTTAGTTTCATTCTCGAAGACATTTGTGACATTAATAACATTTGTGACTTTTAAAAACGTTACCTGTAAATTTTGCCACTGTTCGTCCGTCATCCACTCGAATATTTTCCTCTTGGAGGAGGGAGGACCGCCGGTTCTAGGGAGGGATTTGGCGGTGGTCTCCGAGATGGGAGCCACGAGGTACTCCCGCTCACCGGGTCCAACGTTACCCGCACTATCCTCAATCTGTAATATGTCATGTTACACGAGGGGGAACAGCAATTACTGTGCTAATATGACTTATGAGCATGTATAATGTATTATAATGTATAATTATGTGTTATTCATGCTGATAATAACACATAACACAATAAGCGTGCCAAACGTAGCGTTACGTTCATTTCGCTATTCATTACTTGTGTTGAATTTGTTCGTTATTACTAAATCATCTCTCGGACATTTACAAATTGTAATTACCTCGAGCAGGACTGCCAGAGAGAATATTCCCTTGTCGTTAGCGAACAAGCCCTTGATGTAGGTGAGACAAGCAGTAGCAGTCAACTGGTCCAGTAACATGGTGATTGTGGTTCTAGAAGATTGGGAACTGTACACATGTTACTATATGGGCCTTATTTCTAAGTTCATAAAAAATCAATATATCCTCTCACAACATGATAAATCCCCCTCTTTAGCAACACTTACCTATCACTCTGTTTAACAGAGGACTCGAACACAGGCAATATATCCTCTCACAACATGATAAATCCCCCTCTTTAGCAACACTTACCTATCACTCTGTTTAACAGAGGACATGATAAATCCCCCTCTTTAGCAACACTTACCTATCACTCTGTTTAACAGAGGACTCGAACCCCCTCTTTAGCAACACTTACCTATCACTCTGTTTAACAGAGGACTCGAACACAATCCCCCTCTTTAGCAACACTTACCTATCACTCTGTTTAACAGAGGACTCGAACACGGGTAGGAACTGGAGAAGGGACCACTGGTACATGGGGTTTATCCGGGACATCAACATAGAGGTCCTGTAGATGACGGCCGCTCTGACGGCCAGGGGTCGGTACACCTCTCTTGATTTCAGCACGTTCGCCTCGGAGTTCCTGGCGTTCTCCGGTAGGAACTGGAGAAACACGGGTAGGAACTGGAGAAGGGACCACTGGTACATGGGGTTTATCCGGGACATCAACATAGAGGTCCTGTAGATGACGGCCGCTCTGACGGCCAGGGGTCGGTACACCTCTCTTGATTTCAGCACGTTCGCCTCGGAGTTCCTGGCGTTCTCCAGATTCTCAAGTGCTTCAGTGTGGTACTTCTTCATGTTGAGGAGTTTCTTGATAGCTGGAGTATCTGCCAGGAGGGTTTCTCTGGACTCAGCTAAACATTTTAGTATCTCCGCCTCCGATTCACTGCTCGACTTCATGTACTCAGATACTTCTTGTCCAAACTTTTTCTGTGGGTGTTACTGTTAGTAGTGTAACTATGATAACTAGTAGTGTAACTATGGCAGTGTAACTATGGTAACTAGTAGTGTAACTATGGTAACTGTGGGTGTTAGGCGTTGAAGAAAACGATCGTAACATTCGAATTTACCAGATCTAACTCATTTTAAAACTATCTAGAGGAAACATTCATATATTTTGTACAAGGTGCAGACTTTGTAGGCAGACTTTGTGCGCTAAATATCCCCAGTTGGTACCTGATCCTCCTGTAACCGGTTCTTCTCAATAGCGAGGAAGTGTTGGAGGAAGAACTCCGTGAACCCGTCCAGAGTAGGGGTGAGGTTGAGGAGTCTGGTGTTGGAGATGAGGAGGTGGTTTGTGGGTTTCTTGTTGCACACGATGTATAGCTTGAACCCGGGTACTCCCACCACCTCCTTTTCTGATACCTGGCGGTAGAGATAAGGTGTTATAACAGTGTTAGTTAGAGTATGGTGGAGTGTTAGAGTATGGTGGAGTGTTAGAGTATGGTGGAGTGTTAGAGTATGGTGGAGTGTTAGAGTATGGTGGAGTGTTAGAGTATGGTCTTTTAATCTTGAGGAGTCATATTATTTCCCACTTTGTCTTATTGCAGAACGTAATAGTTCAATCTCGTATACTACATATTAGTAATAGTAGTACTATAGTACTATAACTCACGAATATCTTGATTGGGTCCTGTTTGACCAAGAAGTCAGCACTTTTAGAGATGAGGTCCTTAAATCTGCTATCTTCACTGATCAGGTTGTCGTCTGCCTCTGTTACTACTAGGATCTTTCCTGAGGGTTATCAAGTTTTACAACTAACATTCCTCTTTGGAATTAGCTAGTTTTGCGACCACAATTTCTTACCAAGTTCATATTAAATAGCCTTGGTAAGCTGATATAGAAAACTGATATAGAACTGAAGACGATTGAAACATGTTTTTTGAAAGCTCCTGCTACTATGTTACAAGAACTCTTCAATAAAGCACCCCCTCTAATTCACCTTCAGATATAGCAGTTTCCAGTGTATTCTTGAGACCGGTACTGTAGTAGGAAATAGTCACCACATCGTTCTGACCGTGCAGTGTCTTCAACCAGTGCTCACTTATACCCTCACTATCGAATATCAGCAACCACCTAAACGTGGATAACGAAGATAAGATCTTTTTAAAGGATTTGAAAATGTAAAGAATACAGAAAGTTGCCAAGAGGGAGTGTGATTTCTACTTACTTATTAACTTTACTTCTGTAAACTAACTGAGGTATGAGGGTGTGAGTAGCGAGCATGGTATTTTCCATGAAGTTCGACTCTCTGGGGAGAAGCTGGGAAGTCCACTGGTACTTGAGGGTGGGCCCCGTAATGAAGTCCACTATTTCCTCTTGTTCTATAATGTGGCCCTCTCCTCCTAGATCTTTACACGCGTCCTTAATGCAATCAAACAGAGCTTTTCTGCGCTCTCCTGAAAAGAAGAAGGACATGTTACTACTTGACTATGTGGTTAGTTTCTGTTGTACCAATAATACTAAAGTTACAGTGCTAGCAAGTGTAATCTAGATAAGATAAGTTCTTTTTCAGTCCAGAATATTCCAATATGATTTACAGGGAAAAATGGCATTAAAAAACCCCGGTACCTATAAGAGAGCCACAGTAGGCGAGGAAAGCAGCAGCCAGGACGCAGTTAGCAATAACAGTGAGGTGACTCTGGTGCTCACTCACTACCTCAGTCCATTGTTCTCTCTGACTCTTCAGCACAGAGGTCAGGGAGGACATGGCTCTCAGCTTCTCGCGGATGTTCTGACAGTCTGTTTGTAAGGACCTCTTCTTCACTACCGCTTGCTCGTATTTCTCTTGCAGGGATTTAATCTCGATCTGCAGGTTCGCCACAGCTTCTTCAGTGAGACCGTCCTCTTTGGTGGCCTGCTCTGCTGCTTCCTTCGCTAGTTGCTCTTCTTTTTCTATTTCCTGCACAATTTTAGTCATAAGATCTTAATCTAAGCTTAACATTAGCTTATAATCCATAATCAGCCATCTTAGAAGTATCAGAACTGATACGATATCAACATTTTCAAATTTTTGCGATCTTTTCCGAATCTGCATGCCTCGCAAGCGAACATTTTAATATCGTAATGTAAGGTGTTTGATTAATGTATAACATATACACATCAATTGCATTCCAGTCTTCCCCAAGAAGTCTCACCTTGAGAAGAGCCTCCAGCAGGGCTAGCATGTGGTTACTATGTAGTTACTATGTGGTTACCATGGTTACTTACCTTGAGAAGAGCTTCCAGACTGAGAGTGTGTTCCTGTGCGATAGTTACAGGTCCGTACGCGTGATGGTACGCCAGCAGGGCTAACATGTACTTGTAGATAAAACCTACTTTCTCAGACGCGTGGGTCACTGCTGCTTCGTCTAGTTTTCCTACACTTCGATCAGCTAGGGGAGATAATGTTAATTTTAGGACTTAAAATTCACGAGAATTTATAAGTAGAACCCAAAACCCTCAGAATATTCAGTATCAAAACCGCACGCTTGAGTTTAAAACTGAAACGCTCAGTAAAGTTTTATTCCTGTATATTATTCTGAAACCAAAATGTGCTTTCTATTTTCAGATTACCCACACTGAAAGATAAGATAACCATACAATAAAAAGTGCTCACAATCCCACTGAAAATAATGACACTGACAAACACCACTTCACATTGACCGCCAATACCTAATCCTGGAACCCCCATTCCTGCATCTATTGATTGTCTACGATCTAAGATAGAGACCGGTGGAGGAGCCTCTTCAACCACTAGAAGTTCCGAGTGAGCCTCTGTGAACAAACTCTTCCATTAGCACTTGAACAATTCGGACAAAACAACAATTTAATACGCGAGTTTAGGAATGAGCTGATTAATTAGGGCCCGATGTAATTGCTATGACCAGTTTACTGGTCAACTGGTGTTTCGGTGTCCCTAATTTTGTTTACACTCGGTCACTTGTCAAGGCATTTAAGGTCATTCGGCGAATTTTCTTTGAAATAAAATGATGTATATTTTGTGTAACAATTTGAAAGTTTATTGATTTAAAAAAATAGTAAAGTAAGCTTCACATACCGGCCGCCTTCTTCATGAGATTCTGCACTGTCTCCACAGTTTTAGGAGACAGACCCTCCTGCCACTTCAGCGCTGATATAGCGTCCCTTATCCCCTGAGAGTCCTGCAGAGTCCCCTGGACTACCAGCCATTGGTCTCGCTCTTTCTTGTCCTTCTTATCTGCCTCTACTGGCTTTATCACTGGCGGTACTTTAATCCTTGCTTTTGTTTTGCGCCTATCTCGAGGTGTTTCTGCTGGTGTTAGCGTCTCTTCTTCTATCTGAGATGGGAATATTACAGGGCCTGTATTTTGAAGTGGAGCAAATCGACAACATAAACATTCTGGAAATAAATAAACATAAAGGACAACATAATTGACAAAATAAACATAAATAGATATTGAGAGTTCTTACCACTGGAGTGGGTAACTCTTCGGGAAGTTTCTTCTCACACTGGAGGAGCTTGACGAATATCATCATGATACTGTTCACCATATTGGGTGGAGAAGGCATCACCCTGATGCTGTCAATAAGATTCCGGTCCAGTAATCCCAGCAGTGATTCCAGCTGAACAGGAGTTATTGTTAGTTGTTGGTCGGGTTGAATTAGGCGGTATTTGTGCTCGTGTCCAGATATAGCATTGGCAGCTGATGTAAGTTCTTTAATTTACAAATCAAGAAATTTTGTATCTTTAAAGGTGGAATACATTTTGATTCAGCGCTTTTAATTATAATTTTTGGTCAAAATTCAGAGGGTAATGGTTTGGATAGTGTTGCAGGAACCTATTTCTAGCCGAGGAAGCAGAGTTTTTCAAATTGGACAACGGTTAATAGTAAAGTATAAAGCCAAGCCTTTGAAAAAACGCGTGATGCGTGGGTAGCGTGACTAGTCGTCTAGATTTCCATCAAGACTTTATAATATCCGTGACTAAGTACTTGGAAACGGTTTTTAAACGATTGATTAGGAGGACATGTGCCGGATATAGCATGCCGTTGGTTTTTCTGGATGGTAATTTGATTGTATCAGCTGTAAGCTCCGCCGTATGGATTGAAACGGGTTCCATATCTATTTGTAGTTGAGAACAGGAGGCTTACAAATCCTTTAAAATTGCGATTTTTCCGTTTTGGAGCTGATTTACTATTCCATACGCAGTGAAAGACATAAGCGAACACGAGTACAGTTCTTTGTGGTTCTCTTTGTAACTTACATATTATTCAACTTTTCTCTTGTTGTTTTATAGCAATGATCTATTTTCTTATTTAATTTTACCACTAGTATCGATAATGATAAACAACCTTGGTCTTATGTTTTTGAAGAGCGGCAGTAAGAGTTTGTTCCTCTGTTTTGGCTGCCTCGTACTGCTGAAGAATCTTCACTCTCCTCCTCTCCCTCCTCTCTTCCTTCGTTATCTTCGGATCGTAATCATCTTCTAGGAACTCGTACATGTCCTGCTGGTCCTCCTGCAAAATATCTTTATAAAGGAGCAATACACTTTTAAAATACACTTTGAGAAATCAATCATCACCCAGCCAAAGTTTTGACACCTTTACTTAACGAATTCATATAATTGTTACAATTTTTGGATCAAACCCAAGACATGTTTATCGAAAATTGGCTAAAATTAGTTCAATTAATGGCGTACATAACAATGCATAATGCATATGGACGTTTTAAACTTATACTTTAACGAGAACAAAGTGTCCTAGAATTAACATACAGCACACCTCACCACCAATTATATATACTAATTCTAATTGCTGGTTTCATGCTGTTTCGACAACATATCGTGGAATTTTAATTCCCTAATATGTATTCACACATAGTGATTTGATAGTACGTGTTTTTGATAGAGGAACTAGTCTACTTGCTTTCTTTTCACCACCGACTGGTAACTAGTAACATTCTCCCAACAAGTAAAGGACACCACCGACTGGTAACTAGTAACATTCCCCCAACGAGTAAAGGACACCACCGACTGGTAACTAGTAACATTCCCCCAACAAGTAAAGGACACCACCGACTGGTAACTAGTAACATTCCCCCAACAAGTAAAGGACACCACCGACTAGTAACTAGTAACATTCCCCCAACAAGTAAAGGACACCACCGACTGGTAACTAGTAACATTCCCCCAACGAGTGAAGGACCACGAGCCAGTCATTTGAGTAATTAATATACAATATTCTACTCTCACTCATCTAGACGGTCATACCTGACACACAGTGGGCACACTGTGCGACACATTGTCAGAAGCGTGCACTTAGAGCTATAACTCTATAAGAAGCGTGCACTTAGAGATAGAGTCATGTTTATCTGCTGCCTTCCATCACAGTTTGGTGAGAAGTTAATTAATTCTACTGAACTATATAACTTTATAAGCATGGTGCCTATCAGGGGGGGGGGAGACACCAACTGGGAGACTCACTAGTTGCCATAGTTACACTACTAGTTACCATAGACACCAACTGTGAGACTCACTAGTTGCCATAGTTACACTACTAGTTACCATAGACACCAACTGTGAGACTCACTAGTTGCCATAGTTACACTACTAGTTACCATTAGTGTGGTTCACAAAACACTTTTTATTCCGAATAATCAGGAATCAATGTTAATCAGTTGCTCTATAGGCCAACTAAGCACCAAAAAAAAATTTAGGTTCCAACTCGGCCGGGAACTGACCCCTCCGGCCACGCCCATTTTTTTACGGTTTCTTATACACATAAAAAACCGAATATTGGGGGGTAGGAAGCTCAATCTTATCAATCTCAATTTTGGAAAAATCGTGTTTCAGAATTGAGAAAATTGAGAAAATTGAAAAATGGACATCTTTATCTCTCCAAGTAACTAAATCATACACGAGCTAAATGTATGATGAAAACATGTTTCAAACTTATTACTGTGAAATGATTAATTATCTTATATTTGAGTTTGATCCTTTTGAACAGCTGCTGAGCAATAAAACGCATGCATAATATTAAATCTATAGAAATGATTAGGTAAAATATGATCAAAGTAATCATCACGTGAACGACCCATGGTTTTGCTAAAGGGGACAGATATGATTGTTAGTAGGTAATGTATAAGGGGGAGATAACATTTTTTTTGTTTTTTGTTTTTTTCAAAAATTTACTTTAACCATAACAGAAAAAACAAAAAATTCATTTTGAGCTATTTCGAAGGAAATAGTAACTAGTAAAGGTTGAGACTAGCTAGAGGTCTGTGGTCACCGATGGAGATGGCATTTTTTGATATTAGGGTTTTACAGCCCGGAGCCAAATCCAACACTAATCAAGACACCCCAGAAAAGTTGTACAATAAACATGAGAGAGAGAAAGAAAGGAAATATGGAGACCGCTGTGTAAAGATTGAAAAAGGAACCTGCAATGGTCTTGTATTCTCTACCAACGGAGGTATGAGCCCACAGGCTACCATGTTCCTTAAAAGAGTAGCAACACTTCTGGCAGCCAAGACCAGCCGGGACAAAAGCCTCATCATGGCGAATCTAAGACGTCGTTTGAGGTTTGAGCTACTTAAAACAGTTTTGATAGCAGTGAGAGGACACAGAGGACGGTATTATGAGAAAGCAATACCTGTTGACGAACTCGACCTCAATCTTGCACACACCACCAATGATGAAGACTGGGGTGATGATGTTGATGAGGAAGATGAGGAAGATGATGAAGTTGAGAATGAGGTTGAGAATGTAGAGGGAGAGCTTTTAGAAGAGTGAGCTGAATAGAAGACAAGATTCTATTCCATTTTATTGATTATTATATTTATTGAAATAAAGATGTAATATCCATTACTCCAGGAGTGATGACAAGATATATAAAAAAGTAAAGGTTTAGACAGCCCTGTTACACAAATATATCATTAATATAATTTTCAGAGAGATTTCAGGGCTCATGTTTGTTTTTGTCCGTTCGATTTTGTCCGTTTTTAGAAAATGAGGAGGAGGAGTACTGAGAAGGAAGACGGCACTGAGGAGGACTGAGGAGGACTGAGGAGGAGGAAGGCTGAGGAGGATCAGGAGGAGGAGGTGGAAGTGGAGGAGGACTGAGTAGGAAGAAGAGGAGGAGGACAATGAGGACTGTGGAGAAGGAGGACTGAGGAGAAGGAAGAGGAGGAGGAGGACTGAGGAGAAGGGGGAGGACTGAGGAGGATGAGGACTGGGGAGGAGGAGGACTGAGGAGGACCGAGTATAAGTAGTAGGATGAGGATTGAGGAGGAGGAAGAGGAGGAATCAGGACAGAGGAAGAGTAGAACTGACAATGTGTCTTACATACAAGGACTGAGGAGGAGGAGGACTAAAGAAGAGGAGGACCGAAGAAGATGTGGAGGAGGAGGACTGAGGAGAAGGGGAGGACTGAGGAGGAGGAGGATGAGTAGGAGGACTGAGAAGGACGATAAGGAGGAGGAGAAATGAGTTCCATTCCGTCCTTCTTTTCCTCTTTATCCTCCTCCTCCCCAGTTCTCCTCCTCCTCCACTTATTCCTCAGTCCTCCTCTTCCTCAGTCCTCCTCCTCTTCAGTCATCCTCTTCCTCCTCAGTCCTTGTATGTACGACACATTCTCAGTTCTACTCTTCTTCAGTTTTCTCCCTTCTCTTCCCCCTTCTCCTCCTCAGTCCTCAATCCTCATTCTCCTCCTCAGTCTTTCTCAGTCTTTCTCAGTCCTCCTCCTTCTCCTCTTCGGTCCTCCTACTCATCCTCCTCCTCTTCCTCTTCATCCTCCTCCTCACCAGTTCTCCTCCTCCTTTACCTCTTACTCAGTCCTCCTCTTCCTCAGTCATCCTCTTCCTCCTCAGTAATTGTATGTACGGCACATTCTCGGTTCTACTCTTCTTCAGTTCTTCCCCTTCTCTTCCTCCTTCTCCTCCTCAGGCCTCAATCCTCATCCTCCTCCTCAGTCTTTCTCAGTCCTCCTCCTCCTCCTCCCCCTCTTCGGTCCTCCTACTCATCCTCCTCCTCTTCCTATTCATCCTCCTCCTCCCCAGGCCTCCTCCTCCTCAATCTATTCCATGGTCCTCCTCTTCTTCTGTCCTCCTCCTCCTCTGTCCTTGTATGTGCGACACATTCTCAGTTCTACTCTTCTTCAGTTCTCTCCCTTCTCTTCCTCTTCCTCCTCCTCCTCCTCAATCCTCATCCTCAGTCTTTCTCAGTCCTCCTCCTCCCCCTCTTCAGTCCTCCTACTCATCCTCCTCCTCCTCAGTCCTCCCCTTCTCCTCAGTCCTCCTCCTCCACATCTTCCTCGGTCCTCCTCTTCTTTAGTCCTCCTCCTCCTCAGTCCTTGTATGTAAGACACATTGTCAGTTCTACTCTTCCTCTGTCCTGATTCCTCCTCTTCCTCCTCCTCAATCCTCATCCTACTACTTATACTCGGTCCTCCTCAGTCCTCCTCCTCCCCAGTCCTCATCCTCCTCAGTCCTCCCCCTTCTCCTCAGTCCTCCTCCTCCTCTTCCTTCTCCTCAGTCCTCCTTCTCCACAGTCCTCATTGTCCTCCTCCTCTTCTTCCTACTCAGTCCTCCTCCACTTCCACCTCCTCCTCCTCCTCAGCCTTCCTCCTCCTCAGTCCTCCTCAGTGCCGTCTTCCTTCTCAGTACTCCTCCTCCTCATTTTCTGTCCGTTTTTGAGGAGGAGGAGGATGAAGGTGGGGATAAGGAGGACTGAGAATGTACTGTACAGTCTTGTGCAAGGACTGAGAAGGACTGAGGAGGAGGATGCGTAGGAGGTCTGGAGAGGAGGAGGTTGAGAAGGTCTGAGGAAAAAGATGACTGAGGAGTAGGGGGAAGAGGTAGAGGAGGACTGAGGAGAAGGAGGACTGATAAAGAGGAGGATGAGGAGGAGGATGAGTAGGAGGACTGAGAAGGACGATAAGGAGGAGGAGAAATGAGGAGGAGGAGGAGGAGGAGGAGGAGGAGGAGGAGGAGGAGGAGGATGAGGAGGAGGGATGGCCGATGGAGGATCTAAATGTTATTATCGTAACAGTTTTTGTCCGTTTTGATGAGGATGGGGAGAAGGAGGACTGAGAAGGTATTGTACATGTGATGACTGAGGAGGACTGAGGGGAGGAGGATGCGTAGGACTGAAGAGGAGGAGGTTGAAGAGGACTGTGAAGAGAAGGACTGAGGAGGATGGGGAGAAGGAGGAGGAGGAGGAGGATGAGGAGGAAAATGAGAAGGAGGAAGAGGAAGGGGAGGAGGAGGAGGAGGATGAGGAGGAAGATGAGAAGGAGGAGGAGGAGGAGGAGGATGAGAAGGAGGAGGAAGAGGAGGTGGAAGAGGAGGAGGAGGAGGAGGAGGAGGAAGAGGAGGAAGAGGAAGAGGAGGAGGAAGAGGAGGAGGAGGAGGAGGAGGAGGAGGAGGAGGAGGAAGAGGAGGAGGAGGAGGAGGAGGAGGAGGAGGAGGAGGAGGAGGAGGAGGAGGAGGAGGAGGAGGAGGCGGAATGAGAAAGAGGAGGATGATGAGTAGGAAGACTGAGTAGGGTGAGAAGGACTCAAGAGGAATCAAGAGAAGGAGGAGGAGGAGGAAGAGAAGGAGGAAGAGGAGGATGAGAAGGACTTGGAGGGCAAGAGGACCAAGGAGAAGGAGGAGGAGGCGGACTGAGAAAGTGGAGTATGAGTAGGAAGACTGAGGAGGATAAGGAGGGGAGGAGAAGGAGGACTAAGGAGGGGAGGAGGGGGACTGAGAAAGAGGAGGATGAGGGGGAGGATGAGTAGGAGGACTAAGGAGGGTAAGAAGGAGGAGGAGAAAGCATTTAAATGTTATTTCCGTGACAGTTTTTGTCCGTTTATCTCCGTTTTTGTCCGTTCTAATTTGTGTCTGTTTTGAAATTATAGGGTACCATATTTTCAAAACACTTTTACCATAACTTATATATAAATTGTCTCCTTCATCCCCATTTTGAGAGAAGTGAGAAACTGAAAGGTACAAATTGTAAGCACGCCTAACAATAACGTATATAATCGGATCAGGAATTGAAATCAAAACAAAAAGTTTAAATTTTCTTTTTGGATTGCATCTACCAGATCCATCTGGTCTTACAGTGTCTAAGTACTGAATTTTATTAAGTTTGTTGATCATGGTTGCTACCAGAGTCAATTTTATCATCTATAATGTCCTAGTAACAGCGATACATACAGATTATTGTACTCCTGTATACGTAATTTTAACAGTAATCGGAACATTATGGACTGATCAGTGAACTGAGTTAAACGGAAAAATGATTTTAAAAGATTTTAAATTTTTTCAATTTTCTCAATTTTCTCAATTTTCTCAATCTCAATTTCGGAAAAATCATGTTTCAGAATTGAGATTGAGCTTCCTACCCCCCAATATTGGAGTTTTCACCCTTAAAGAGTTCCAATACGTCTTTAAAACGTCGATACTCGAATATAAACCTGCTGACGAGATTTCGTTTAATCATGGTCTCGAAACCGTACGAGTTCGGGAACCACGCCCAGTTTGGACCACACCCATTTTACAGGTAAAAATCCTAAATTAGGCTTTTTCGACCTGAATCACCCAAGATATCCATTTCAAACCGCGATACTCTAATATAAATGTGCTTAAGGCATTTCGTTTAATTTTAATTTCAAAACCTTACCATAAGAGGAACCACGCCCAAATACTGACCACGCCCATATTTCATATTACTGAATTTAAACAAAGCATTTCAATGTTAAAACAAGATATTGAATATTAAAAGCGGTTATAATTGAACAATATAAATCTAATACAAACTCTTCAGATTTTTCTTCGTGTCGAGCTTGTTCTCCTTTCGATGAGCTTCTACGACTTGCACCAGTTCCTGGTATGACTCCTCGTCTCTTGTGATGTTCGTGTTTAGGCGGATTGCCAGAGCCAGAGCCCGCTCAGATGAGTCATTTATAGGTGACAGGTTATTCAAGGCTGTCTTCACAGTGTCGTATCCAGGAGTCATCTGCCAGTCAGGAGAAAGCAAGAAGCCGGTCTGAATGCCAAGTAGATCAAAGAGAAGTCTGGATCTATCTCCAACAAATTCTGTGATGACTGACTTTGCAGAGAAGGACGGTAAATTTGGCTTCCGGATCTCCAGGTCTCCTGAGTCTAGTTCTCCAATCCTGGACGCTAGCAGGTTTCTCGTTTCCATAGGAAGGTCCTCGTTGAAGAGAGAGAAGACTATCGATTCTTCTGTTAGGTACCACGGGTGACGAAGGAACACCGTGGAAGTGGCGACAGATATCTTCTTGTGGATCGATCTGAACTTGATCAGCCGTTTGTAGAGCAGTAGATCGTTCGAAGCTGCTGTAAAGAGTGAAGGGGCGGCGAACCAAGCCTGGATGTAGACAAAGATCACAAAGTGGGACATCTTTCCTATCTTCTTCTTGGTCTGCCAGTGAAGCTCTGGGAGTTGGTGCATGAGAAGGACCATTTTAAGGATATAATGATGGTCTGCTCCAGGTCTCGTCAGGTGAAAGGTGTACCCCTTCTTTCTCTCTATGGAACCTCCGAGGATCAGCTTAGCGAGTTCCATGCCAGAAGCTCTTTGTAGTCACCTCTTCGAAGGGTTTCGACGTTCTCTGGCTGAAGATGGGTGTTTATCCAGGCTAGAAGCTCCTCGGTGTCTGCTCTGTACAGTGAAGGAACATAAGGTAGTTGAAGGTCGTCAAGGTCTAAGGTGTCCCAGGACTTCTCTGTTCTCTCTCTCTGTTCTGGTCAACGGTTTCTGGCCTCTTACAGGACTGGTTGTATCTCCAAACAGCTCGAAGAAAGCAGCACCTACCACCAGCTCGAGGATATGATGGCGGCATGCCAACCAGAGGATCTGACGAGAGAGTAGTTCTTGCAGCAGCGTGCAGGCCCTTTGCGGACTCCGGTGTTCGTCAGTGGTGTCAGTTCTCTTGATCAGATATGGCTGGTTACTGTTATGTGATCCGTAAGAGGAACTCAGCGACTGTAGAATCTTTCAAAGATGGTTCTTCTGGTATAAGTGTGACCAGAAATGCATATAATATGAAATATGGGCGTGGTCAGTATTTGGGCGTGGTTCCTCTTACGGTAAGGTTTTGAAATTAAAATTAAACGAAATGCCTTAAGCACATTTATATTAGAGTATCGCGGTTTGAAATGGATATCTTAGGTGATTCAGGTCGAAAAAGCCTAATTTAGGATTTTTACCTGTAAAATGGGTGTGGTCCAAACTGGGCGTGGTTCCCGAACTCGTACGGTTTCGAGACCATGATTAAACGAAATCTCGTCAGCAGGTTTATATTCGAGTATCGACGTTTTAAAGACGTATTGGAACTCTTTAAGGGTGAAAACTCCAATATTCGGTTTTTTATGTGTATAAGAAACCGTAAAAAAATGGGCGTGGCCGGAGGGGTCAGTTCCCGGCCGAGTTGGAACCTAAATTTTTTTTGGTGCTTAGTTGGCCTATAGAGCAACTGATTAACATTGATTCCTGATTATTCGGAATAAAAAGTGTTTTGTGAACCACACTAGTTACCATAGACACCAACTGTGAGACTCACTAGTTGCCATAGTTACACTACTAGTTACCATAGACACCAACTGTGAGACTCACTAGTTGCCATAGTTACACTACTAGTTACCATAGACACCAACTGTGAGACTCACTAGTTGCCATAGTTACACTACTAGTTACCATAGACACCAACTGTGAGACTCACTAGTTGCCATAGTTACACTACTAGTTACCATAGACACCAACTGTGAGACTCACTAGTTGCCATAGTTACACTACTAGTTACCATAGACACCAACTGTGAGACTCACTAGTTGCCATAGTTACACTACTAGTTACCATAGACACCAACTGTGAGACTCACTAGTTGCCATAGTTACACTACTAGTTACCATAGACACCAACTGTGAGACTCACTAGTTGCCATAGTTACACTACTAGTTACCATAGACACCAACTGGGAGACTCACTAGTTGCCATAGTTACACTACTAGTTACCATAGACACCAACTGTGAGACTCACTAGTTGCCATAGTTACACTACTAGTTACCATAGACACCAACTGTGAGACTCACTAGTTGCCATAGTTACACTACTAGTTACCATAGACACCAACTGTGAGACTCACTAGTTGCCATAGTTACACTACTAGTTACCATAGACACCAACTGTGAGACTCACTAGTTGCGATTGCAGCGCTTGGAGACTGGGTAGCAAGCTACTCTCACACCCCAACTGAGCTTTTATCTTCTCCAACGCAGCACTTTTCTTGGTCAACTGCTTCAACAGTTCTTGTACCTGTTAAGATTATTTACTGTTAAGATGTTGTCTAATATAACAGGTGTATTACTTAGGCTATCCACTCCGATAATCGTAACCGATAATTATCTCCGATAATTCGTTAAAAAAAGTTATCTGTTTATCTAGATAAAACATATTTTTATCGGTATATATTTTTATAGTATAAAATTTCACTAGATATTACCGAAAATACTGCCACAATACCGTAAAATTGTAAAGAAATATTAGTGTTTTTGCCTTCCCAAGAAGTCCAAGAAACAGTCCCAAACGTCTTCTAGTATGATAGAAGAGGTAGTTTACTTAGATGTGAGCTTAAGAGGTTTATTTACATTTGTATACCTATGGAACTGTAGAACTGTATGAACTGTTGAAATCCAGAGAAGGTTATTGACATTGTTCTCTTGAGAGTGCTGGCGTTTTACCTTATAATAATTCTGGAGACGGGAACGAGCATGTTACTGTTAACAAGAGTCAAAAATACCGGCAGGGCACTCATTTGAATTCCGTAAGTGTTCTGGGCGTGAAACATTGTCTTCAGGAGAAGGAATCTGTTGCTCCAAGTTATCAACAGGATAAGAAAACGGTTCACTGAATCACTTTAAATGCTTTACTGTTTCGAGGAGAATTGGTATTTGGTGCACTACTGTTCTCAGGAGAAGGAAACCAGTAGTCTACTGTTTTGAAGAGAACTAGTGTGTTACTGTTTTCAGGAGAAGAAAACCGGTGGTCTACTGTTTTGAAGAGAACTAGTGTGTTACTGTTCTCAGGAGAAGAAAACCAGTGGTCTACTGTTTTGAAGAGAACTATTGCGTTACTGTTTTCAGGAGAAGAAAACCGGTGGTCTACTGTTTTGAAGAGAACTAGTGTGTTACTGTTCTCAGGAGAAGGAAACCGTTGGTCTACTGTTTTGAAGAGAACTGGTACACTACTGTTCTTAGGAGAAGAAAACCGTTGGTCTACTGTTTGAAGAAAACTGGTGCACTTCTGCTCCCCGGAGAAGAAAACTGATGCTCTAATATTTTCAAAAGAAAGGAAGTGGTACCTTAGCAAGATTACTGGTAAACAGTAATAAAAGTCGACAATTAGTTTTTGCGAAATTTGGAAAACATTTTGGCTTTGGCCTTCAGCAGAAAAATTATCGGTTTTATCGGTTTTATCTAGATAAAACCTAAATCTTTATCTGTTTATCTAGATAAAAGATTTCATACCGATAATGGATAGCCTAGTATTACTGTTAAGATGTATTACTGTTAAGATACTGTCTAATATATAACAGGTGTATTACTGTTAAGGTGTATTACTGTTAAGATACTGGTACCTATAAAGCGTACATATCTGAAACAGTTGGATACTCAAGGTTTAGATAAATCTATAAAATGTACACATATTAATAGTAAATAAATGTAGAGTGGTGAGTGGGGTTTACCTACCTATATCGTGTGTGAGGTTACTACTCATAAAATACCTGTATTTGAGTATCAGCCAGGACCTTCTCCCCACTAAATACCTGTATTTGAGTATCAGCCAGGACCTTCTCCCCACTAAATACCTGTATTTGAGTATCAGCCAGGACCTTCTCCCCACTAAATACCTGTATTTGAGTATCAGCCAGGACCTTCTCCCCACTAAATACCTGTATTTGAGTATCAGCCAGGACCTTCTCCCCACTAAATACCTGTATTTGAGTATCAGCCAGGACCTTCTCCCCACTAAATACCTGTATTTGAGTATCAGCCAGGACCTTCTCCCCACTAAATACCTGTATTTGAGTATCAGCCAGGACCTTCTCCCCACTAAATACCTGTATTTGAGTATCAGCCAGGACCTTCTCCCCACTAAATACCTGTATTTGAGTATCAGCCAGGACCTTCTCCCCACTAAATACCTGTATTTGAGTATCAGCCAGGACCTTCTCCCCACTAAATACCTGTATTTGAGTATCAGCCAGGACCTTCTCCCCACTAAATACCTGTATTTGAGTATCAGCCAGGACCTTCTCACCACTAAATACCTGTATTTGAGTATCAGCCAGGACCTTCTCACCACTAAATACCTGTATTTGAGTATCAGCCAGGACCTTCTCCCCACTAAATACCTGTATTTGAGTATCAGCCAGGACCTTCTCCCCACTAAATACCTGTATTTGAGTATCAGCCAGGACCTTCTCCCCACTAAATACCTGTATTTGAGTATCAGCCAGGACCTTCTCCCCACTAAATACCTGTATTTGAGTATCAGCCAGGACCTTCTCCCCACTAAATACCTGTATTTGAGTATCAGCCAGGACCTTCTCCCCACTAAATACCTGTATTTGAGTATCAGCCAGGACCTTCTCCCCACTAAATACTTGTATTTGAGTATCAGCCAGGACCTTCTCCCCACTAAATACCTGTATTTGAGTATCAGCCAGGACCTTCTCCCCACTAAATACCTGTATTTGAGTATCAGCCAGGACCTTCTCCCCACTAAATACCTGTATTTGAGTATCAGCCAGGACCTTCTCCCCACTGAATACCTGTATTTGAGTATCAGCCAGGACCTTCTCCCCACTAAATACCTGTATTTGAGTATCAGCCAGGACCTTCTCCCCACTAAATACCTGTATTTGAGTATCAGCCAGGACCTTCTCCCCACTAAATACCTGTATTTGAGTATCAGCCAGGACCTTCTCCCCACTAAATACCTGTATTTGAGTATCAGCCAGGACCTTCTCCCCACTAAATACCTGTATTTGAGTATCAGCCAGGACCTTCTCCCCACTGAAGATGTGAGGTTACTACCCATCAAATACCTGTATTTGAGTATCAGCCAGGACCTTCTCCCCACTGAAGATGTGAGGTTACTACTCATAAAATACCTGTACTTGAGTATCAGCCAGGACCTTCTCCCCACTGAAGATGTGAGGTTACTACTCATAAAATACCTGTATTTGAGTATCAGCCAGGACCTTCTCCCCACTAAATACCTGTATTTGAGTATCAGCCAGGACCTTCTCCCCACTAAATACCTGTATTTGAGTATCAGCCAGGACCTTCTCCCCACTGAAGATGTGAGGTTACTACTCATAAAATACCTGTATTTGAGTATCAGCCAGGACCTTCTCCCCACTGAAGATGTGAGGTTACTACTCATCAAATACCTGTATTTGAGTATCAGCCAGGACCTTCTCCCCACTGAATACCTGTATTTGAGTATCAGCCAGGACCTTCTCCCCACTAAATACCTGTATTTGAGTATCAGCCAGGACCTTCTCCCCACTAAATACCTGTACTTGAGTATCAGCCAGGACCTTCTCCCCACTGAAGATGTGAGGTTACTACTCATAAAATACCTGTATTTGAGTATCAGCCAGGACCTTCTCCCCACTGAAGATGTGAGGTTACTACTCATAAAATACCTGTATTTGAGTATCAGCCAGGACCTTCTCCCCACTGAAGATGTGAGGTTACTACTCATAAAATACCTGTATTTGAGTATCAGCCAGGACCTTCTCCCCACTAAATACCTGTACTTGAGTATCAGCCAGGACCTTCTCCCCACTGAAGATGTGAGGTTACTACTCATAAAATACCTGTATTTGAGTATCAGCCAGGACCTTCTCCCCACTAAATACCTGTATTTGAGTATCAGCCAGGACCTTCTCCCCACTAAATACCTGTATTTGAGTATCAGCCAGGACCTTCTCCCCACTAAATACCTGTACTTGAGTATCAGCCAGGACCTTCTCCCCACTGAAGATGTGAGGTTACTACTCATGAAATACCTGTATTTGAGTATCAGCCAGGACCTTCTCCCCACTAAATACCTGTATTTGAGTATCAGCCAGGACCTTCTCCCCACTAAATACCTGTATTTGAGTATCAGCCAGGACCTTCTCCCCACTAAATACCTGTATTTGAGTATCAGCCAGGACCTTCTCCCCACTAAATACCTGTATTTGAGTATCAGCCAGGACCTTCTCCCCACTAAATACCTGTATTTGAGTATCAGCCAGGACCTTCTCCCCACTAAATACCTGTATTTGAGTATCAGCCAGGACCTTCTCCCCACTAAATACCTGTATTTGAGTATCAGCCAGGACCTTCTCCCCACTAAATACCTGTATTTGAGTATCAGCCAGGACCTTCTCCCCACTGAAGATCGCCTCGTTCATCTTCTTGCAGCTCTCTACCATCGACTGTATTGTCAACAGTGCTTCTCTGAAAAGTTATTTATTTTTTAGACTGTATTGTCAACAGCGCTTCTCTGAAAAGTTATTTATTTTTAACGGAAACTAAAACTTACCGTTAGATTACAATAATATTGGCATTTACAGTTCAGAGACTACACATCGTTTTGAAGACAGTTAATGTTTACAGTGGCTCAGGAATAGTGCTTACTAACTCTAGATATTCGTTCCAACTGCTTGAGAGGTGAATTTCTTTAAAATGATTGGCCATTGGTGACACAATCAATAATATAACTTAATTTCAACTAAAACCCTTCTGTTTTCATCGACGGGTATTCGAGCTTTCTATTTTGAATTTAAAACAACTCCTTCATATTATGGAGCCAGGGTCCAGGGTGTGTACTGGGCACACCTGGTTAAAACACTTCCATCCCATGGCACTAAGTTATGAACATTATATACGGCTGTTTTGAACATTCCATGTCTGCAATATTCTGTCAGCACATAATCTGCCTCTTTCGGCGTTTTCGAGGGGTGGATATTTGGTTGGTGGAGCAAAGTGCGTTAAAAACTACACCTATCTCCTTGAAATAATACTATTGAATTCCTAACGTGGTATATCACTAGAATGGTGCATGTTAGGATAGTAGTGCCAATAGCCAAGCTGTTAACAGGACTAATCTGTTAGAACGTGACTTTGGTTTGAAAGCAGACGAATGAGCTGATGGAGAGGTTTATGTAACGCATATTATGAGTATATTATTGTTATAACTCATATTGCGTGAGACTAAATTGTTTGTTGGCCGTCATTAACTGTAGTGCTTTAGTCAATAGGTCGAAGTGAACGAACTTACAAATTATAATTCACAAACCATTAACCATGCCACTCGTCCTCTAAGGCTCTAATTACAGTAGGTCGTTTAGAGTTTGTTTAGGTCCTTTCAAATTTATTTTCCATAACTTCACTTGTAGCACTTTTAAACATTAGGTAACGTCCACATATTCTAGAATTTAGTTGTCTAACTTAAATAACTCAACAACATCAAAACGTTTTACTTAAACAACTCGTTACAATAATATCCCACTCACTTGTGAAGGGTTAGTTTTACTTAAACAACTCGTTACAATAATATGGTCCTGGTAACGGTTGCCATGGTAATATCCCACTTACTTGTGAAGGGTAAGTTTGAGCTCCTCTGCTGAACTCTTCTTGGTGTACAGAGCAATGAAGTAGTCGAGGAATTGCTGGTAAACTTTCGGACCCACTAGGACACCCTGGGGTTGAAAATTTTAGTTGTTTTTGAGAGATGATTCAGCCTTTTAACAATCTTGGTAAAGAATTTGGTTTGATATATACTATACAGCAGTATTCCCTCTCTCAGTATTCCCCTGGTCGTTATCTACTGCAGCAGTATCTCGGAGTGAGCGTTACTTTTTCAATAAATGGGGCCCACCCAAGCCCCACACATATTCTCACATTCAAGTTCTTAGTATATGTGGACAATCCAGGATAGAAACCTTTCGTTCTGAGTATATGAAACCTCGGGGATCTCTATCAGAAGCTTTGGTTGAACTGATTAGGTCAGACGGAGAGCTTTATTCATTCATTATACCCGCAAAAGTTCGTTACCATAGTTACACTACTAGTTACCATAGTTACAAAAGTTCGTTAATCTTCGACAAAGCTTGCTAGGTTTGCTCCGGCCTCCGACCCTTCTAGTTAGAAAGTTATTCATATTTCGGTCAAAAGGTATCTAGAGCACAGAGCAACTCCAATTCATTGGTTGAGGTTCCAGTTTGGACCCTTGTCTTCATCAAATAAGTTAATCAACATTTCTTGACTTGGACACTATTCAGCAATATGTGCTATGTCAAACCTTACCACCAATGAAATATGGCATAAATGAGCAAGATGCCATGGCAACCGTTTGAGTCTTTGAGATCAAGTGCGGTAGCGGTTACCGAAATAGCGGATGTATTAGAGAGGACGAGCAATTCAATTTATTGGAGGTGATCGTGAGCATTTTGTGAAAATACCATTATAACCATCAATTTATTGAAGATGATCGTGACCATTTAGTGAAACTACCATTACAACCATTGTTATAATGTTGCACTTGTGGTAGTTTAACAGTGTCGAATATGTTTTCATGCTGAGAATTATTTCTAAATTTAGAGTCCATCCAGGGTTACATCTAGATAATCATCTAAATGACCTCTAAATGTATTAATGTAGATATAATTCTCAGTAAAAAGTGTTATAGAAACCTAAAGAAATACTCTATTAAACTTCCTCAAGTTCTACCACCATGTGCCATTCTCCAGTAGATCCTACTTGTGCTAGTAAAATCCGGATATTAGGTGTGCTTGTGCAATTGACATGTTATTCAGTAAGCTTTCGAGTCCTGGTCTTGGCTTGACGCTTCAGTCAAGGGCTCGCGTTCAATATGGATTAATTAAATATATATAATAGAATCATTACTGTAATTCAGTTTGCCTTGATGGAGTTTAGCGAGCTGATTTGCTTAGCCTCCATCTGAAATTCTGATCTCATCTTGATGGCACCTATAGACATTGACGTGCTTTCATGTACAGACTAGTACAGAGTGTTATAGGGGAGAGGGGGAGGCCCCCTGTCCCCCCTCTTCCTACACCCCCTGGGAGAGGGGAGGACAGTCAGGTTACTCTAATGAGATTCTGGCCCCCCCCCCCCCCCCCCCCCAGGCCCACTGAGCCTTTATCAGGTTCAGAATATTTACATAAACTCTGTTAGTAACCATAGTAACCATAGTAACATTTACATAAACTCTGCGATCAAATTTAAGCGATTCAGCCACTTTGTGAATTATCCGTAAGCCAGCCAGCCAGTCAATGGGCACAGTCCCAAGCACCAGTTTCTGCCGTGCTAAATTGATAATTTCACCCTGATAATTTCCAAGATGTCAGGAATTTACTTACCGACTAAGTCGGGGGGTCGCCCTTCAGACAGTTAATAAGTCTGAATTTGCATAATCTCAAGCCCCTCCGGCACCCCGGACTCTATTGGGATACTGAATAACCAACCTCGTTGGGGATGGATTGGAGTCTTGCCAACTTGACGCACTCCAACAAGGTATTCTGCTTCTGATGAGGGACTGGGGAGGCGATCAGTTCCCAGGGGTGGGGAGCTAGCTGGGATTGAACCAGCGTGTGAATGTTCGTTATCACCTGCACTAACAGGTCCCTGAGGGGAAGCAAGTGATGTTATCACCTGCACTAACAGGTCCCTGAGGGGAAGCAAGTGATGTTATCACCTGCACTAACAGGTCCCTGAGGGGAAGCAAGTGATGTTATCACCTGCACTAACAGGTCCCTGAGGGGAAGCAAGTGATGTTATCACCTGCACTAACAGTAACAGGTCCCTGAGGGGAAGCAAGTGATGTTATCACCTGCACTAACAGGTCCCTGAGGGGAAGCAAGTGATGTTATCACCTGCACTAACAGGTCCCTGAGGGGAAGCAAGTGATGTTATCACCTGCACTAACAGGTCCCTGAGGGGAAGCAAGTGATGTTATCACCCGCACTAACAGGTCCCTGAGGGGAAGCAAGTGATGTTATCACCTGCACTAACAGGTCCCTGAGGGGAAGCAAGTTATGTTATCACCTGCACTAACAGGTCCCTGAGGGGAAGCAAGTGATGTTATCACCTGCACTAACAGGTCCCTGAGGGGAAGCAAGTGATGTTAACACCTGCACTAACAGGTCCCTGAGGGGAAGCAAGTGATGTTATCACCTGCACTAACAGGTCCCTGAGGGGAAGCAAGTGATGTTATCACCTGCACTAACAGGTCCCTGAGGGGAAGCAAGTGATGTTATCACCTGCACTAACAGGTCCCTGAGGGGAAGCAAGTGATGTTAACACCTGCGCTAACAGGTCCCTGAGGGGAAGCAAGTGATGTTATCACCTGCACTAACAGGTCCCTGAGGGGAAGCAAGTGATGTTATCACCTGCACTAACAGGTCCCTGAGGGGAAGCAAGTGATGTTATCACCTGCACTAACAGGTCCCTGAGGGGAAGCAAGTGATGTTATCACCTGCACTAACAGGTCCCTGAGGGGAAGCAAGTGATGTTATCACCTGCACTAACAGGTCCCTGAGGGGAAGCAAGTGATGTTATCACCTGCACTAACAGGTCCCTGAGGGGAAGCAAGTGATGTTATCACCTGCACTAACAGGTCCCTGAGGGGAAGCAAGTGATGTTATCACCTGCACTAACAGGTCCCTGAGGGGAAGCAAGTGATGTTATCACCTGCACTAACAGGTCCCTGAGGGGAAGCAAGTGATGTTATCACCTGCACTAACAGGTCCCTGAGGGGAAGCAAGTGATGTTATCACCTGCACTAACAGGTCCCTGAGGGGAAGCAAGTGATGTTATCACCTGCACTAACAGGTCCCTGAGGGGAAGCAAGTGATGTTATCACCTGCACTAACAGGTCCCTGAGGGGAAGCAAGTGATGTTATCACCTGCACTAACAGGTCCCTGAGGGGAAGCAAGTGATGTTATCACCTGCACTAACAGGTCCCTGAGGGGAAGCAAGTTATCACCTGCACTAACAGGTCCCTGAGGGGAAGCAAGTGATGTTATCACCTGCACTAACAGGTCCCTGAGGGGAAGCAAGTGATGTTATCACCTGCACTAACAGGTCCCTGAGGGGAAGCAAGTGATGTTATCACCTGCACTAACAGGTCCCTGAGGGGAAGCAAGTGATGTTATCACCTGCACTAACAGGTCCCTGAGGGGAAGCAAGTGATGTTATCACCTGCACTAACAGGTCCCTGAGGGGAAGCAAGTTATCACCTGCACTAACAGGTCCCTGAGGGGAAGCAAGTTATCACCTGCACTAACAGGTCCCTGAGGGGAAGCAAGTGATGTTATCACCTGCACTAACAGGTCCCTGAGGGGAAGCAAGTGATGTTATCACCTGCACTAACAGGTCCCTGAGGGGAAGCAAGTGATGTTATCACCTGCACTAACAGGTCCCTGAGGGGAAGCAAGTGATGTTATCACCTGCACTAACAGGTCCCTGAGGGGAAGCAAGTTATCACCTGCACTAACAGGTCCCTGAGGGGAAGCAAGTTATCACCTGCACTAACAGGTCCCTGAGGGGAAGCAAGTGATGTTATCACCTGCACTAACAGGTCCCTGAGGGGAAGCAAGTTATCACCTGCACTAACAGGTCCCTGAGGGGAAGCAAGTTATCACCTGCACTAACAGGTCCCTGAGGGGAAGCAAGTGATGTTATCACCTGCACTAACAGGTCCCTGAGGGGAAGCAAGTGATGTTATCACCTGCACTAACAGGTCCCTGAGGGGAAGCAAGTGATGTTATCACCTGCACTAACAGGTCCCTGAGGGGAAGCAAGTGATGTTATCACCTGCACTAACAGGTCCCTGAGGGGAAGCAAGTGATGTTATCACCTGCACTAACAGGTCCCTGAGGGGAAGCAAGTGATGTTATCACCTGCACTAACAGGTCCCTGAGGGGAAGCAAGTGATGTTATCACCTGCACTAACAGGTCCCTGAGGGGAAGCAAGTGATGTTATCACCTGCACTAACAGGTCCCTGAGGGGAAGCAAGTTATCACCTGCACTAACAGGTCCCTGAGGGGAAGCAAGTGATGTTATCACCTGCACTAACAGGTCCCTGAGGGGAAGCAAGTGATGTTATCACCTGCACTAACAGGTCCCTGAGGGGAAGCAAGTGATGTTATCACCTGCACTAACAGGTCCCTGAGGGGAAGCAAGTGATGTTATCACCTGCACTAACAGGTCCCTGAGGGGAAGCAAGTGATGTTATCACCTGCACTAACAGGTCCCTGAGGGGAAGCAAGTGATGTTATCACCTGCACTAACAGGTCCCTGAGGGGAAGCAAGTGATGTTATCACCTGCACTAACAGGTCCCTGAGGGGAAGCAAGTTATCACCTGCACTAACAGGTCCCTGAGGGGAAGCAAGTGATGTTATCACCTGCACTAGCAGGTCCCTGAGGGGAAGCAAGTGATGTTATCACCTGCACTAACAGGTCCCTGAGGGGAAGCAAGTGATGTTATCACCTGCACTAACAGGTCCCTGAGGGGAAGCAAGTTATCACCTGCACTAACAGGTCCCTGAGGGGAAGCAAGTGATGTTATCACCTGCACTAACAGGTCCCTGAGGGGAAGCAAGTTATCACCTGCACTAACAGGTCCCTGAGGGGAAGCAAGTGATGTTATCACCTGCACTAACAGGTCCCTGAGGGGAAGCAAGTGATGTTATCACCTGCACTAACAGGTCCCTGAGGGGAAGCAAGTGATGTTATCACCTGCACTAACAGGTCCCTGAGGGGAAGCAAGTGATGTTATCACCTGTACTAGCAGGTCCCTGAGGGGAAGCAAGTGATGTTATCACCTGCACTAACAGGTCCCTGAGGGGAAGCAAGTGATGTTATCACCTGCACTAACAGGTCCCTGAGGGGAAGCAAGTGATGTTATCACCTGCACTAACAGGTCCCTGAGGGGAAGCAAGTTATCACCTGCACTAACAGGTCCCTGAGGGGAAGCAAGTGATGTTATCACCTGCACTAACAGGTCCCTGAGGGGAAGCAAGTGATGTTATCACCTGCACTAACAGGTCCCTGAGGGGAAGCAAGTTATCACCTGCACTAACAGGTCCCTGAGGGGAAGCAAGTTATCACCTGCACTAACAGGTCCCTGAGGGGAAGCAAGTGATGTTATCACCTGCACTAACAGGTCCCTGAGGGGAAGCAAGTGATGTTATCACCTGCACTAACAGGTCCCTGAGGGGAAGCAAGTTATCACCTGCACTAACAGGTCCCTGAGGGGAAGCAAGTGATGTTATCACCTGCACTAACAGGTCCCTGAGGGGAAGCAAGTGATGTTATCACCTGCACTAACAGGTCCCTGAGGGGAAGCAAGTTATCACCTGCACTAACAGGTCCCTGAGGGGAAGCAAGTGATGTTATCACCTGCACTAACAGGTCCCTGAGGGGAAGCAAGTGATGTTATCACCTGCACTAACAGGTCCCTGAGGGGAAGCAAGTGATGTTATCACCTGCACTAACAGGTCCCTGAGGGGAAGCAAGTGATGTTATCACCTGCACTAACAGGTCCCTGAGGGGAAGCAAGTGATGTTATCACCTGCACTAACAGGTCCCTGAGGGGAAGCAAGTGATGTTATCACCTGCACTAACAGGTCCCTGAGGGGAAGCAAGTGATGTTATCACCTGCACTAACAGGTCCCTGAGGGGAAGCAAGTTATCACCTGCACTAACAGGTCCCTGAGGGGAAGCAAGTTATCACCTGCACTAACAGGTCCCTGAGGGGAAGCAAGTGATGTTATCACCTGCACTAACAGGTCCCTGAGGGGAAGCAAGTGATGTTATCACCTGCACTAACAGGTCCCTGAGGGGAAGCAAGTGATGTTATCACCTGCACTAACAGGTCCCTGAGGGGAAGCAAGTGATGTTATCACCTGCACTAACAGGTCCCTGAGGGGAAGCAAGTTATCACCTGCACTAACAGGTCCCTGAGGGGAAGCAAGTTATCACCTGCACTAACAGGTCCCTGAGAGGAAGCAAGTGATGATTCACTTGATTATTCTGTTGTCTTCGGTTCAATTTACCATTTTATAAAATCTATAATAATATGTAGTTTTATGTTCCATCGGGAACACTTTAACAGCTTCTGACATATAAATGAAATCGATGGCCATTCAAACAGTTTCGTTCCGGTTATTCCAGTAATAATTTTAAATTAAATCATGTTCAATTACTGGTAAATCGTTTCACCGATAAATTGGCATAATTAAAGTTTCCCTAAAACTACTAATTATCGGGACATCGTAAATATGACAAATTAATATTGCTCATTAACCTCGCAAATCAAAACTCTTCAAGCTTGCCGCATGCTAAATGGCAATTTGTTTGTTGTTGATTTCTATAAATGTTTGATAAACAGTGCGGTATTTTTTTCTATATTTTGTGAAACTGATGTAGCTAGCACCACTTGTTCTAATTATAAAAGCAAATTAAAGCTGTCAACTGGTCTACCACTTTTCTTAACTTTGTAGTAAAACACTATTTCATAGCGAGTAGCACGGAAGTTTATAGCTTCCTCTAAAAGTATATATGGGCGGATAAAATGATCTGGATGAGTTTTAAAACTTACGTTTCTTTTTCGGACAAGTTAGAAGTTTGTTTAGAAGACATGTAACTTACGTTTCTTTTTCGGACAAGTTGGAAGTTTGTTTAGAAGACATGTAACTTACGTTTCTTTTTCGGACAAGTTGGAAGTTTGTTTAGAAGACATGTAATAGGAGCAGGTGCTGGAAAGAGCAGCTTTCGGCCACTCCATCAGCCAGCTTACTTGGCACAGGTTTAGTAGTCCTTTGAACTTCCTGAAATGAAATATGATACTTAATTTGAATTTGGAATTTGCTTAATAACTAGACATAGTACCATTGTCAACATGAAAGATACATTTTATTACTCAACGCTCTTTTTGCAAGCTGTAAGTGTAAAACCATCTTTGCAAGTTTTGTATCTATTTGCCTTTCTCACTTGTATTAATTGTAAGAAGCAGTGTACTCTATCATTTTGTTTTATCTATGTTCATTGTTCCCCTGCACGACAAATTTCACAGAACTATTTCCTTTAACTTCACAAAACAGTGTCCTTTGTAATAAACGTCAGCGCTCTGCCTCTATACAGCGCTCTATAGGCCGCCAGGTTCTTACTCACGCGTTAGTAGAGTTTAGATAAGGGGAGTTAGGTTCTATGCAGATAACGATCCTTAAGTTCCTCTTTACTCTGAGAGAGAAGAACTGGATGGGATCAGAGAGGAGCTCAGGAGCGTCCCGTCTCATTACCACCTGGATAAGAAATTAGAGTTAGAAATAGAGAAACATTTAACGTAATCATCATCTAGTGGTAGTAAGTTATAAACTCCTCCAGGATACTGCTCAGGGACGGGATAAAAAAATAAGGGAAGGCGTTATTTTGATCCATCCCGCTGTTTTTCCCACTAAATAAATAATCCCAGTATAGTTTTAAAAATCCCATTTATTCACTCATATTCACTCATAATTATTCACTAAGTATTAACTCATATTATTCACTCACAATCAACACGGTTTGGTTTGATGAGTGAGAAACTATTCCGCGCGCTGGACCAGTGCTTAGTGACCAGGCTGAGTGACCAGGCCTCAAAGCCGTGTTTGACAAGGCATAATTACATCAAATTACGCGGCCAACATTCGATTATAACGTGATTTGACGCACAACATTGTAGAGAATGATAAGTACCTACCGGCCTGCACGACCTTGTAATCTCGTCGTAACGAGATTGGTCTGAATATAGGCCTCATGTGACACAACAACCTGGTCCTCCAGATTATAGATGCTCCTTTAATTAACCCTATATTTTGCATGAACATTACCTGTCACCTTAACTCTTCAGATTTGCGATTGGGGGAAGGTTTGGACATGAATCATCGATAAACACATTTCGAAACTATCAAAGCTATATCTAAAGTGTCAAACTTTCCGGTCAATTTTGTATCAGCTCCTAAAATATTAAGATCGAGATCCTAGGAAATTGTGCTACCTCTAGTTTAAGAGCCTAGGTTGTGTTGCCTCAGCTCTAGTTTGAGAGCCTAGTTTGTGCTGCCTCTAATTTTAAACTCAATTAACCTGCAAGCTTTGTAGGAGTCCCTCCATCTCATCGTTGGTAAATAAGAAAGGAATCTCGCCAGATAGCAGCGCACTGTTCAGTTTCTCCATTAGCTCCTCTTCGTGAGCAATGTTACTCTGTTTGGAGGGGGAGGGTTATAGATAACTGTTACACTACATTCTTTAATAATATAATGTTTATGCAATCCGAATAAACCCTAATTTCTCACGTTGATAAGAAGGACACATTGTCGTCCCTCACTGCCAGCCACTCTGAACGCAGTCCTAGCTTGCTCGAAGAAGTGCTGAGGTCTGGTAGACTTGACGGTAAAGAGCTCCATCCCCGAGATGAAAGAGGCCAGATTAACGAGAAGGTCCAGGTTATTGCCATGGGAACCCACGCACAACATGTTCCCCCTGAAATTGCACAATTGTATCACATAACCTGCTCTTTGCTTGCCACATTAATCAGCAGTATTTGCATCTCAATCTTTTAGATTAAGGGCAAAGTTCACAGCTTATCGTATCCAATGTCCTGGACAGTGGATTATATTGCGACAGTCTATCACAGTGCAAGTAGCGTAACGTTACCAAACGCCACTACAGCACTGGTCTAGTTATACATTTCAAAAGTCACTAGTTTATTTGAACTGAATTATCAACTAGTACTACATACTTAGTATAGGAGATGATTAATTCAACTGTTTTCCGAATTGGCAATCAATTCCGCGGAGTGGTTTTCCTACAATAGTTTATATTACTAAACTGTCATTGGCACAAAATCCATCTTAAATTAATGATATCATATTATCTGACTACTACACAGCTGTTGTGTTGCACACTTTTAAACGCTTCGTACGCTCAGGTAGGATAAATAGTTCAAATTAACTGAATATATAATATAATTCATAACAGTTTGCGGTCACGTTTTGAGTTATAAATCTAAGTTTGTAGACTTTTTGGGGTAATAAATGGTCAAGGTTCAACCATCTAAAGGTTTATTAGCTAGACAAATTTAACAATACAACAATATAATTATATATTGTTTTGAATTTAAATGATCGTTTAAAAACCATTTATGTTTATAAATATTTATGGCTTTATATTTAATAAAACTCAAACTTCTATTTATATCATTGTTGTTTAAATACAACAATATAAACATCTGATGAAATTCTGCACTATATCTTAACTCTAATTTAACTCATAATTTTAGCAGAATTACAGACTCCACCGTTTATTGTTTTCAATTTTAATGAGTAGCTCTTGTTCGTTACCTACTGGGCACAAATCACTTCAATTTGAATATTGTAGATTTTGTTTCGCAAAGCCTTCAAAAGTCACTTCAGTTTGAATATTGTAGATTTTGTTTCGCAAAGCCTTCAAAAGTCACTTCAGTTTGAATATTGTAGATTTTGTTTCGCAAAGCCGTCAAAAGTCACTTAAGTTTGAATATTGTAGATTTTGTTTCGCAAAGCCTTCAAAAGTCACTTCAGTTTGAATATTGTAGATTTTGTTTCGCAAAGCCTTCAAAACTACAATGTTTCTTAGTGATGAATGTATTTAATTTCGACTGATCATTTAATTTGAGATGTACCACTACCAGCGAAAACACTTCAAATTTGAACGGGTGCTTAAATATAGCTTTGATTTATGAGAAAACTTAACATCTAAAGTTATAATAATTCTTTAAAATGCCTTCCTTGCAAGAACTCCTCCCCTTCTTAACTAACCTGGTCATAGTGATGACACGATGTATTTTCAAGATGTGCTCTAAAGTGACGTCACTAAGAAGGAGGGAGTTGAGTTGCTTCTGAGCCTCGTCTGTCATCTGCTGACAATACCGGACCATCACTTGTCTGATGTCTTGTAGGTTCGACACCGGCTTCACTTGAACCAGGACTCCCGCCGAGTGGTTTCCGCTCGATACCCCTGAGGAACCTTAGTCGCTAGGTTGAGATATTCGAATTTTTTAATTCAGCTATAGCGAGAGGTTTAAAGCCAAGTTTTTAAGTTAAGCTTTCTCAAACGCAACCTACCTTGTCACATGACGCAACCTACCTTGTCTGTGGAGTTGTCTGGAGACGTCCTGGTACTCATCAAATGTGACAAAGTACGGTTTGGCGTGCTCGTACATGCTCAGTTCTTTGAAGTACTTCACCGTGATTTCAGCCAGCAACTTTGTTAAAGCTGAAAAGATTTCTCTATAAAACTGGGTTTGGACCTTGGAGGGTTGATGAAGTGCATTGGTCGATTCGCGCATTTACGACGCAGCCTATACTTTAAAATATTACGGGTGTGATTGTCGTGTCAACCACACCAACAAACAGTGGCCAGTGCTGCGACATTTGTGTGTGAGTTTCCAGTGTTACCATGGTAACAGTGAGTACCTGCATTTACGACGCTTTTACTATGCACATTTGTATACATTTAATTTCGTCAAGGAGAAGTCTTAAATCTTTTGCACAGTGCATACACGTTTAATTTCTAGATTCAGCCTTATTTTTGTTACTAATTACTAATTGCTAATTAATATAATAATCAAAGACCTAACACTCAAATATCAAATAGCCCCCCGCCCCCTGGCTACGTGCCTGCCAGCACAAGTGATTTTATGTGTAAAGTTCACAAGTGGGTGGAGTTGTAGTGTCGTAACAATACTGCACACGTGCACTCGAAATCCATTACGATTATGGCAGATTTCACATATTCATAAAACGAATGCCATTCAGTCATCTTTGCATTGCCAATATAATGTTATCATAGAATAATGTTGTCATGTCATCAATATTTTATAAAAGCTTACTCCACTTCGAGTTTTTCTGACAATCGTGTCGAGTTTATTGCAGTCGGCGTAAATTTTCAATCTTCTAGTTTATGTCATGAAAGTGAAACCTAGCTAGACGGCACGTAACGCAGCTTGTAATCGATTACTATAGTTTAAACTAGACGCTTTGCGTCTAAATAAGTCTCAGTTATTATATGCATTTTAAACTGTTTTGCTGTTGAACAGCAGTAGTTAACGGCTGCAGCTGTCTGTTATAGGTGTTAGGTCTACATAAAGTTTCCTTTGATTTGGGCACTTAAAGCCGACACGAATATCAGTCAACATATTATGATTGTTAATTATAGGCTCAATCATGGATAATATTAGGTTATTTTCCTACACTTTTCGGCCGTGACAGCAAACCTAACTTTTCGTTACGGTTACTTAGCTTGTCGTCAGGGTTACCTTGAGTGTCGTCAGGGCGACAGATAGCGTCACTAACGACCCGCTCAGCCTCGTGAAGCCACAGTAACTGCATCATTGTCGGACTGTTCCTCATTGAGTCTGATGTTCTCTGGATACCCTGATTAGTTTGAAGTTCGTTATGCAAGCTATAAATAATCTCAAAATAACATCAAAATAACCTCAAAATAACATTAACATAACCTCAAAATAACCTCAAAATAACCTCAAAATAACCTTTAAGTAACCTCTATCTAAGTCAGCAAGTCTTAATGCTAGTAGTGGATTACTGCACCTATTGTATATACTGTTATTGTGAGGAACCATAATGAAGCTATTATACAGAGAAGACGGTCGGTGGGTGGGTTGGGAGCAACTTTTATCACCTTTAAGTAACTTTAATTCTCTATTCTGTGTCCGACTCTAATAGACTATCGAGTATAGACTCATAGTTATAGACTATAGACGTTATGTGATCTGCATTATCGTAATCAAATATTGGTTATTTGGTAATTTAGTATTATTCGTAATATTGGTTATTTGTCGATTGATCAACAGGTCCCTAACAAAGAAACCCGGTATTAATTTCATTAATAACCAGAGGTCAACAAACCTTGGCTATATTGACTATAGTTGTCACGTTAAAGCAGTAGTGATAGCGCCCCGGAACTGTTAACAAACCTTGGCTATATTGACTATAGTTGTCACGTTAAAGCAGTAGTGATAGCGCCCCGGAACTGTTAACAAACCTTGGCTATATTGACTATAGTTGTCACGTTAAAGCAGTAGTGATAACGCCCCGGAACTGTTAACAAACCTTGGCTATATTGACTATAGTTGTCACGACTCACGTTAAAGCAGTAGTGATAGCGCCCCGGAACTGTTAACAAACCTTGGCTATATTGACTATAGTTGTCACGTTAACGCAGTAGTGATAACGCCCCGGAACTGTTAACAAACCTTGACTATATTGACTATAGTTGTCACGTTAAAGCAGTAGTGATAACGCCCCGGAACTGTTAACAAACCTTGGCTATATTGACTATAGTGGTCACGTTAAAGCAGTAGTGATAGCGCCCCGGAACTGTTAACAAACCTTGGCTATATTGACTATAGTTGTCACGTTAAAGCAGTAGTGATAGCGCCCCGGAACTGTTAACAAACCTTGGCTATATTGACTATAGTTGTCACGTTAAAGCAGTAGTGATAGCGCCCCGGAACTGTTAACAAACCTTGGCTATATTGACTATAGTGGTCACGTTAAAGCAGTAGTGATAGCGCCCCGGCACTGTGTTCTGCTGGAGGACTACTTGTAGCGAGGACAGCAGGTCACAGCTTGCCTTTACTATTGAGTTGTGGAGAGTCTGTTCTAGTCCGGAGCCTGCTTCTCGTCCTAACAGAGCCTGAGTGGGATCAGGTGAATGGCTGAGTGGGATCAGGTGAAGCAGCTGGCTAAATATAGAATATTATACCGTGTTATTATTATACTGGACGTACAGCAGTGAGCAGGGACCCTGGCGTATCGTACAGCAGTCTAGTCAGTATCAAAATTATAAATGTCAAAAACCGATCATTACTTTTATCTTTTAGTGCACCTATTGTACCTGTAATATTGAATCAATAGTCTGATAGAGAGTTTGAGGTGTTGGTGTCGGAACATTGAACACCATGAAGTGTCTGAGTAGTCGCGCTGCTACGCTCTTTTCTGTTCCTGGATTATTCAAATGTTATAGTCTCGCTTTTTATTAATTGATTGTTAAATACCAGCTAAGTTGCTATCCTAATATCAAAGTCCTCTTAATGCAAATGTAAACCATCAATAGTTTCAAGAGGACAGAGGAAAGATAACGGAAAGTTCTGGAACATTCTCTGATGACGTCATAGGAAACTGGTTGATGTTATGTCGCTATGTCGGCAAAGCAGCCGTAACAAGAGCGGGATCTCACTTAACAAGCCATACAGCTGAGAATACGCTAGTGTTGCAATCTTTGTAGACATAGAGACCGAACATTTAATCAAAAAAGAAATCTAAGATTTGTTATTTACACCTTCCCAGAACGTACCTTGAGAGGGATTCCGCATAGCTCCAATTACAGTCATATCCTTAATGATTTTCCATTTTCCTGCCTTTTCGTTGTCGTATATCCCGCCCATATCCAGCAGTGAACGCAGATACTACACAAAACAGGGTGTTGATTTTGAGACATTAAGATATGACGTCACAACATTGATTTTGAGACATGCTTTTTTAATTTGAGATATTTACGAGAACTTGAACGGGTTAGTGTCTCAGACACGCAGGAATGCATTTCTCTCAGTATTGTTTCTGACAATATTTGTTTTGTAAATCATGTTTTAATATTGTTTTTTTGGACCAAGATATGACGTCATAACACCAAGTTGTGACGTCCCACCAAGATATGACGTCATAACACCAAGTTGTGACGTCCCACCAAGATATGACGTCACAACATTTACCTCGTTAGTGATCTGAGTTCCACTTTCGTGTGTCTTCAGGACGTTCATGTCGTCCACAAACAGACAGAGTCGCTTGCCTTGAGGTGCTCCGTAGTTGTTGCCTTGACGGTGAACTATTGTGTGTTCTACTACCTGCAGTGCAAATAATTGTTAAATAATTTCTACTTTCACTTTCTACTTTCACTTTCTACTTTCACTTTCTACTTTCACTTTCTACTTTCACTCTCTACTTTCACTTGACGGTGAACTATTGTGTGTTCTGCTACCTGTAGGGCAAATTATTGTTAAATAATTTCTATTTTCACTTTCTACTTTCACTTTCTACTTTCACTTTCTACTTTCACTTTCTACTTTCACTTTCTACTTTCACTTGACGGTGAACTATTGTGTGTTCTACTACCTGCAGGGCAAATTATTGTTAAATAATTTCTATTTTCACTTCCTACTTTCACTTTCTACTTTCTACTTTCTACTTTCTACTTTCACTTTCTACTTTCACTTTCTACTTTCACTTTCTACTTTCACTTTCTACTTTCACTTTCTACTTTCACTTTCTACTTTCACTTGACGGTGAACTATTGTGTGTTCTACTACCTGCAGGGCAAATTATTGTTAAATAATTTCTACTTTCACTTTCTACTTTCACTTTCACTTTCTACTTTCACTTGACTATTGTGTGTTCTACTACCTGCAGTGCAAATAATTGTTAAATAAGTTGCTGTTTCGTAGTCCGTGCCCAGATGACAGGGAATTTCAATACATTGTAGACCCGGAGTCACTAATAAACCAGTTATCCGCTTTCGTCAACATGCAATTTCTACTTTCACTTTCTACTTTCACTTTCTTCTTTCACTTTCTACTTTCACTTTCTACTTTTGGTAACTTAACGTAAAACCTAAAAGATGCCCGGTCCTTTCACACAACGTACCTCTTGGAAGAGAGTAGGTTTAGTGTTTTCACAGTAGACCAGGGTTCTGGTGACAAAGTTTACTTTGTCTGGAGCTCTCAAGAACCTGAAAATTAGTTAAAACAAATTAGAAACAAGAAACAGTGTTTATTCTATTTCTAGGGTTTCTTGGGTTCGATTGATCATAGAAAAATATTCTTACTAAAATCCCAACATACGTAAGCAATATTGTGTCTTAAAGTTAATCTTAATATCAATATTGAAACAGTTTCGGGAGTTACGTTATGCCTTGCCTAGCAAACACTACAATTAGTTTTACTAAGTCAGATGCTGGTTGCGAAACTTCGGTACCAAAGCCCGATATTGATATTAATCAGTGCTCATATCACGCACATTACATCGCACGTGCAGGTAATTAGTTGGTGACTTTTGTTCGAGGCTCCATTTTCTGTAATAACTTTACAGAGTCTCCTTCTGAAGAAACTGAAAATTTAATCTTCATCACGAGTTGCTGGCCTCGACTTCAGTAGGACTTATTAATGATTTCATCAGTAGTTCACAGCTTGCAGAATATTCGTCTCGTTCAGTCAAGCAATCTTTTCAGCGCTTTCTTTACTGCAAGTACTACTTCATGCAATAAATACGACCCCCAGTCGGCGTGTCTCTACAGTCTCAAACAGAGCATTTTCGGGGAAAGTAACACTCATATAACCAGAGTTAAGGAGGTTAGTTACCTGTTGCTAAGGAGGCTAGTTACCTGTTGCTATAGAGGTTAGTTACCTGTTGACGATGTTTGTTTTGCCGGTAGCAGGAGGTTAGTTACCTGTTGCTAAGGAGGTTAGTTACCTGTTTGAAAAGAGGTTAGTTACCTGTTGCTAAGGAGGTTAGTTACCTGTCGCTAAGGAGGTTAGTTACCTGTTGACGATGTTGGTTTTGCCGGTAGCAGGAGGTCCAGTGAGCAGAATATTCTGGTTGGTGATACTGGCGAGATGCATCAAGTAGTAGGTTCGTGTGGTGTCTATATTCTCCACAAAATGATCAAGCTGTTCCACTATCGCTTCAGGGATTCTGCAGGAAAGTTTTGTTATAGGTTTGTAGAGTGTCTGTTATAAGTTTACAGAGTGTCTGTCAGAATTTGGCTTGAAATACCGATCGTAATACGATTGTTGACAGTTGTCGCGACTTATTAATATTATGTCATTAGCAGTGGTTAGGGTAAGAGAAGTCGGTCTAAGTTGGGGTTGTTAAAACATCCCCCTTTTCCTTTATTCAGCAGTTTCTAGTCAGAATAGTAGTCAATACAGAGCTGCCCCATTGTAATAGATAACGAGTTGACTTGGTAATCACAGCAACAAATGACCAGCTGTGATCGTTAGTAGCACCAGCTAAAAACACACTAGCTACTCCTCCTATAAATAGCAGCTCCTCCTCCGACTAACTAGTAACACACTATACTAGCAACTCAGACCATGACATAGCCGGTCATTGTCACTGACAGCTCAGACCATGACATAGCTGGTCATTGTCACTGACAGTCAGACAGTGACATAGCCGGTCATTGTGAGTGTAACAGCGCTGGTTTCACGGTTCAAATGATACAGACTATCTGAGCATGAGCAGTTGGTAACATTACGACACAGACAATAACAGAGTCTGAGAGTTCCAGCTGTAACCATGGATACCCCCCTCTGTGATGCAATCCAACAACCGTGTGATCCGCTATACTATGTAACTTAACAGTGTTGTAGTCTCGTTACCAGACTGCCTAACGTAACCACAGTAAACTTTTAAACTTTAACTACCCCTCGTAGAGGTGGTACCCCAACATATGGTGCAAGCTAAATACACTACTCCCCGCTTTATATCTCCCCTCACCTCGTTAACCGTTATCAGGCTGTCGCTTCTCAAATTTACCCCCCAAATTTTACCAACTAATTCGATTAGCAGATCATAGATAATGGTTGAAGCAGAGGATCTCCACTAGGGAGACTTGTTGGTCAGGGTTCTAGATCAGTTGGTCATTTGTCTTATATCCTGTATTCGTCATCATCACCACGTTACCTCGATGGTTCAGAGATAGCGCGATAACAAGGTGTGAGAGTGTTTAAAGTGAGCACTAGATATAAGGATAAGGAGCCACGTACTCCGATCCTTATTAAGGAGCCCCGTACTCCTTATTAAGGAGCCTTTACTCACAGGTTATACCAGCTGTCCCACTCTCCGGCCTCGTCCACGTAGTAGTCGTACACTGTGTTATCTGTGTACTCCGGCAGGCTGAAATTAAGTGTTATTAGGATAATGGTTAACTGTTTAAGCGTTTCAAATCAGGTTACTTTATTTGGGAAATTGACGTTTATAGTCCTTCAATTCCAGTCGCCACCTGCTTTATTCTCCTTCACTTTCTAGCAACTGGAGACTGCACTTAGTGCTAACCCAATTAGATAAAAACTTTAAAGCTAGTTTTGAGTGTTAGCGTGGTTGTTGTGGTGTTAAGTGTGTGCTAAAATACAAACCACAGTTTTAACTTGTGGTCAATAAAACCTCATTTTCAATAAATCTTCGAGATGACAAGTCACGTTTTGTAAAAGAATTGATTGTTCAAGAAAATTTTGTAAGTATTAAAAAAAAGAATATTTTATTTTTCAAATATTAACTTATTGAATATTCGTTATTAGATTGTCAACGCATTAATTCTACTAAATCCAACGAGGCCTCAAAGCCTGTTACAGTTTATAAATTTTTCTTGCCGCACTTATTGAATAATCTGTAAACGTGAATCTCGTCGTCGGGCACGACTTTATGCCCGTGTGAACATTTTTATCAAGCGTTTGTTCAGTTTATGCTCTTTCTGTTCCCCTTACCATCCTTACCATGTGTGCCAAAATACAAACCACGGTTATAACTTGTGGTCAATAAAACATCCAACTTACCATTCTTTTACAACTTACCAGACAGCTTACTAGTTTAGGTTTCAAAACATTTAAAGCATGTCATTTAGTCAGCCTTCCAGCTTATTTTTTTCTTTTATTTTTATATAAATTTTGAGAGAGGCTGGACCTAAGTGGCCCACAAGAGGATAGTATGAGGATGCTCTGCCTATTGAAATTCTAACTTCATATTCATTATCGCACATGATCTACTTTTATTTAGCCATTTGATCTGAAAGTTGCGTATACTAATCTCTAATATACTTACTAATGTTTTAGCCAATAAGCCAATAGCAATTTACTAAGGGTATAGAGCTCAGTGAAGCTGCATTCGTAATCGTGAAGTTAAGGTAAAATTAAACATTATTCATATAATATTATGAAGGAGCAGTATTCATCTGCTGTGAGCTCAACGTCAGCGTGAGTAATCTTTGATTTGGTCAGGATCGGTTAATATTATGAAGGAGCAGTATGTAATATCGGTTAATGCTGAGTCGCTATTTGTTAATGCTGAGTCGCTATTTGTTAATGAGTGCATGTTCCTAGCAACATTGCATTGGTAAGGTTGGGGCGTTCGGTTGCTTGATATCATTATCATTTATCAGTGATGATATGCATTCATTGGGTTAAATTCTTAAGATAAGCATTCACTTTACTTAGTTCAGCTTAGTAATTTTGGTCAACAAACTTATTATCCACGATTAATTCACAACCGTTGCAATCAGGGGTCTCTGGTTGCAATAATACGACGCGATATTGTAAAGAAGGGAACATTTTCCTTATCAAATTATTTATATTATTTGTAAGTAGAACTTACCAGGAAGTAAGAGATTTGACGATATCAGAGAAAGGCTGCTGCTTACCAGGAAGTAAGAGATTTGACGATATCAGAGAAAGGCTGCTGCTTACCAGGAAGTTAGAGATTTGACGATATCAGAGAAAGGCTGCTGCTTACCAGGAAGTAAGAGATTTGACGATATCAGAGAAAGGCTGCTGCTTACCAGGAAGTAAGAGATTTGACGATATCAGAGAAAGGCTGCTGCTTACCAGGAAGTAAGAGATTTGACGATATCAGAGAAAGGCTGCTGCTTACCAGGAAGTAAGAGATTTGACGATATCAGAGAAAGGCTGCTGCTTACCAGGAAGTAAGAGATTTGACGATATCAGAGAAAGGCTGCTGCTTACCAGGAAGTAAGAGATTTGACGATATCAGAGAAAGGCTGCTGCTTACCAGGAAGTAAGAGATTTGACGATATCAGAGAAAGGCTGCTGCTTACCAGGAAGTTAGAGATTTGACGATATCAGAGAAAGGCTGCTGCTTACCAGGAAGTAAGAGATTTGACGATATCAGAGAAAGGCTGCTGCTTACCAGGAAGTAAGAGATTTGACGATATCAGAGAAAGGCTGCTGCTTACCAGGAAGTAAGAGATTTGACGATATCAGAGAAAGGCTGCTGCTTACCAGGAAGTAAGAGATTTGACGATATCAGAGAAAGGCTGCTACTTACCAGGAAGTAAGAGATTTGACGATATCAGAGAAAGGCTGCTGCTTACCAGGAAGTAAGAGATTTGACGATATCAGAGAAAGGCTGCTGCTTACCAGGAAGTAAGAGATTTGACGATATCAGAGAAAGGCTGCTGCTTACCAGGAAGTAAGAGATTTGACGATATCAGAGAAAGGCTGCTGCTTACCAGGAAGTAAGAGATTTGACGATATCAGAGAAAGGCTGCTGCTTACCAGGAAGTAAGAGATTTGACGATATCAGAGAAAGGCTGCTGCTTACCAGGAAGTAAGAGATTTGACGATATCAGAGAAAGGCTGCTGCTTACCAGGAAGTAAGAGATTTGACGATATCAGAGAAAGGCTGCTGCTTACCAGGAAGTAAGAGATTTGACGATATCAGAGAAAGGCTGCTGCTTACCAGGAAGTTAGAGATTTGACGATATCAGAGAAAGCTGCTGCTTACCAGGAAGTTAGAGATTTGACGATATCAGAGAAAGGCTGCTGCTTACCAGGAAGTTAGAGATTTGACGATATCAGAGAAAGGCTGCTGCTTACCAGGAAGTAAGAGATTTGACGATATCAGAGAAAAGCTGCTGCTTACCAGGAAGTAAGAGATTTGACGATATCAGAGAAAGGCTGCTGCTTACCAGGAAGTAAGAGATTTGACGATATCAGAGAAAGGCTGCTGCTTACCAGGAAGTGAGAGATTTGACGATATCAGAGAAAGGCTGCTGCTTACCAGGAAGTAAGAGATTTGACGATATCAGAGAAAGGCTGCTGCTTACCAGGAAGTAAGAGATTTGACGATATCAGAGAAAGGCTGCTGCTTACCAGGAAGTAAGAGATTTGACGATATCAGAGAAAGGCTGCTGCTTACCAGGAAGTAAGAGATTTGACGATATCAGAGAAAGGCTGCTGCTTACCAGGAAGTAAGAGATTTGACGATATCAGAGAAAGGCTGCTGCTTACCAGGAAGTTAGAGATTTGACGATATCAGAGAAAGGCTGCTGCTTACCAGGAAGTTAGAGATTTGACGATATCAGAGAAAGGCTGCTGCTTACCAGGAAGTAAGAGATTTGACGATATCAGAGAAAGGCTGCTGCTTACCAGGAAGTAAGAGATTTGACGATATCAGAGAAAGGCTGCTGCTTACCAGGAAGTAAGAGATTTGACGATATCAGAGAAAGGCTGCTGCTTACCAGGAAGTAAGAGATTTGACGATATCAGAGAAAGGCTGCTGCTTACCAGGAAGTTAGAGATTTGACGATATCAGAGAAAGGCTGCTGCTTACCAGGAAGTAAGAGATTTGACGATATCAGAGAAAGGCTGCTGCTTACCAGGAAGTTAGAGATTTGACGATATCAGAGAAAGGCTGCTGCTTACCAGGAAGTAAGAGATTTGACGATATCAGAGAAAGGCTGCTGCTTACCAGGAAGTAAGAGATTTGACGATATCAGAGAAAGGCTGCTGCTTACCAGGAAGTTAGAGATTTGACGATATCAGAGAAAGGCTGCTGCTTACCAGGAAGTAAGAGATTTGACGATATCAGAGAAAGGCTGCTGCTTACCAGGAAGTAAGAGATTTGACGATATCAGAGAAAGGCTGCTGCTGGCGGGGAGGCAGAAGTCCTCCCAGTGACCAGACCAAGCAGAACAGTACGATACGTTCCATCAGTATCTCCGAGTTAGACTCTGCTTTTACCTGGGGACATTACATTACAGTACTAGTAGTAGTGACAGTGCCACTACTCACTTATGAACCTTTACTTGATACTTTAATAAATAAGAACTCGCTTTGTTGTTGATCGACTTATATGATTTGATGTTTTTGGTCCATGCAGTAGGCATTTTGTTATTTCAATAAGTGACGGATTAAAAAAGAAAGCTGTCTGCTACTAATTTACCTCTGCGAAGTTGTCTAGCATGGCGGTGAGAAGGTTGATGAAGGTCCTGAACAGACCAGTGTTGCAAACCTTCACTATCGGCGTCACTTCCTCCGTTACATACGAGAGTAGGGGTCCAGCTAACTTGCTGAACAGCAGTCTCAACACCTGGTAATGTCACGTGATATCACATGTTACAGTCTCAACACCTGGTAATGTCACGTGATATCACATGTTACAATCTCAACACCTGGTAATGTCACGTGATATCACATGTTACAGTCTCAACACCTGGTAATGTCACGTGATATCACATGTTACAGTCTCAACACCTGGTAATGTCACGTGATATCACATGTTACAGTCTCAACACCTGGTAATGTCACGTGATATCACATGTTACAGTCTCAACACCTGGTAATGTCACGTGATATCACATGTTACAGTCTCAACACCTGGTAATGTCACGTGATATCACATGTTACAGTCTCAACACCTGGTAATGTCACGTGATATCACATGTTACAGTCTCAACACCTGGTAATGTCACGTGATATCACATGTTACAGTCTCAACACCTGGATCAAGGGGAAGTTATCACGTGATCTATATAAGGTGGAACTGAATGGAGTAAAATTATCTCTATTTATTGGATTTAAATATTCTGTCAAATCCCAGGTCGAGATCTTTGCCAATCAATCAGAACAAACTGACAGAAACTTTCGATAGTTTTAATCTCCCTGCTCTGCCAACCAGGTAATCCTATTTCCGATCTGATATTTTAACTAACTTTAGGGTAGGCTGCTTACACAGAGAAAGAGCTGTTAGAACATAAGTGCCGTGTGGTCTTACTCAAATGTCTTCCAGTCTTTAACTGCTGCAGCCCGCAAAAATAACTCGAAAACGCAACTACTCAACGAGCGACGCCACTGCAAATGGGATGAAAATTGGTTTTATCCACAGCATTAAAACGAATCCTTGTGTTTTAATTGCTACTTTTTGTTGATGGGTGAAATTCAAAACCATTTTGTCAGATCAGAGTCTATGTAGCATCATAATTGATCAATGAGTAGTAAAGAAACCTTATTAATCAAGTGTATAGTTCAAGGAGGAGTTATCACGTGATTATATATTATAAGGTGGAAAAAAACTCCTGTTTCTTAGTTTAACACAGTAGGGGGCCAGGTAGGGGCCCAAGTAGTAACTGTACAGTGTACAACACATTGTTATACGTATACTCAAATAGGGGGCTCGGTTAAACCACTTTATCAGGGACCTCTTATCTCAGGATAGGTTACAAGCATTTGAGAACTCGTGTTTTTAGATACAACTGACAAACTGTATCGGAGTCAATGTGTTCGTCAAACTCACTTCAGAGGGCAATTCAAAAACACGGCACATTTTTAGTTTCGCTTCTTTAATCTTTACCGCGCATTTTTAGTTTCCCCCGAAAAGCCGGTATAGTATGGAGAGGTTATATTGAGCGTTATACTGCACCGTTTCAAGCGATGGTATTCTTGATTAATTTTACTTTTTTTAAAGTGTTAGCAAATTCTATCGATAGTGCAATGTGTACTCTTCCAAAAAGTCAGGCAATTTTTCTCAGATCATCATTGTTATCCTAGTCGAAGTTATTTGATCTATCATTCTTAATAATGATCTTGGCTAAATTCTATTACTTAACCTTTAGGATTATCATATTAAAATATTTTACGTCTTTATTAATATTTCATTCCTCACATCAATGCGAGTAAACAACTTAGATTATTATTATATACTAGATTATCTGTATTATCGATATACTACTTATCACTATATTGCTATAATCGATATACTACTTATCCTATATTTCTAATCGCTATAATTACTATATTGCTAGGATTACTGTATATCTACTTGATGATTCTGCTAAATGCTCGCCTATTACTCTACTAACAGCCTGTTAACTTTAAAATAAGTTTACTCCAGTAGTCCAGTGCCTCAGTTTCGTTATGTTAGAATTCTGTTTCATCTCACATAGTCGCTGAATGTGTCTGTGTTGGTAGCGCAAGTCTTTTTAAAATCTGTCGTGTGGCAAAATAAACTTACCTCTCCGCAGTAACCACCCGACTGTTATTTGTTTGACCCACATTTTTATACGTTACGTTGACTGACAGTCTCAGACATCGTCTGGTCCACATCATCTCACAATACCTCTGCTCATCTGACTCTTATTTTAAAGCTACGTATCCTATTAGTATTAACTTACGTGGGCATCTTGAGGCGTACGAGTAGCAAGCCAGGTGTTGCTAAGAGGCTCCCAACCCAGCACTTCCGGCTCCATGTACAGCATACCTGATAAAAATAGTTGATAAAAATAGTCAGAATACTATCCGTACGAGGCACAATTCTTGCTCGACGAATATTTGTTAAAAAAGCAGACAGTTTCAGCTATTTCAGCACGCAGTTTCAGTTATTTTAGTCTAACTTGAGCGCCATTATATTAAAATTACTACCATTAGCTAAGACAAATACGTGTTGAAATTTGTTTAACCGAGTTTTGACTTAGTCTACAATCGGGCTAGTATTAGTAGTAACTAGTAGGCTGTGAACACACACTGGCTGCACGAGCAGTTAGTCGGACTGCAGTTAGTCGCATTATTACTGTATTGTTTATTATTACTGTAAAGTTTAGAGCAATTCTAACCAGAGGGGAGAATAATAGCAGGCGAGACTCCTGCCAGACTATCAGTCTCGAACACCAGCTGCAAGTTTCCCTCCATGAACATCCTGTCTCCATTAGGTAGAGTCAGTTGTCTGCTCTGCTGCATCACTGAGTGGAGCATGTCCGCCCACGAGCTGATAAAGTCCTTGGTAATTCACTTTTAACCATATTTGCGACGGTTTTGTTATCTAAATTTCTTCAAGAGTCATATAGCAGTAGCGCATCAACCTTTATAAACGCAGTGATCTGGATATCAGGGTACCTGTGAAGAGGAGAGTCCATAACTAGCCAAGTGGACGTGTTCCTGAAGTTGTTGGCTTTCTTCCAAGCAGCTGTAAAGATCCCGTCCACCCACTCCCCATTGGTATTAATGTGGCCGAATATCTTGTCCAGTGTGTCCACCGAGAGCGGGTTAACTCTGACTATCTTGTGGATGTGAGCGGCTGGAGTCTGGGTTGACAGGGTGTTTATCAGGGTGGACAGCAGGGCCGACTTCCCCACTGCTGACGGACCTGGGAGACACAGCATTGAGAAGCCTATTTCTGGGACAATATTGGCAGCTTATTTTTTTAAATACGTAAATTAACTCGAATTTTGACTTTTGATCTAAGATAAAACAGCTAAACAGGGATATAAGATTTAGGACCCCAAATCAGATATGGATGACTTCTCAACATTAAAGTGAAGCTAGCTAGGTAGGTATACCTGCCACAATGAGAGTAGAGTAGGTCTGACTGAGGTAGTAAAGTTGCATTGCTTTGGAGACCCAGGGATTGTGTGTCTCGTATCCGGCTAACTCCGCTTGTTGCACAAAATGTGCTCTTATCTGAAAATAAGGTATAAAAATGAGGTCAATGCGAGTTAAAATGGTTTTTCGTGTTCTTATACGGCTAATTTGAGGTTTTCACATTTTTCACGGACTGCGCAACTGCCATCGTGTGTGTATCAGAGTCGACCTAAACGATCTTGGGCCTCGCAAAGTCACATTTTTGAAGATTATGTCAAATTTTGATATCTGGACTGGTTGGCCGTTGGAACATAATTGTTATCGATTTACAAAGAAAATGAGCGCAAAATATAGCTGATTGCTCCTTCGTGAATTAATCTACAGATGTTCTAAACCGTACTAATGTATCGTGAACACTTTGTAGATTTATAGTTCTCAACCGAACCAGTATTTTATAAACGGAGTTGCAATCTCCAATATTCACTTAACGTGACAGTATTTGTCAGCAAATATTCGAATATATAACACAACTACATTAAGCAGTTGTTTTATGTAGTTATGTTCGTTCTGTTCAATTGAAATCTAACAAAATAATTTCACTAATTCAGGAAATGAGGAAGTTTTTACAGCGCAATCCCGTTAAACAAGGCCGTTTAAATTCTCATTCCATGTTAACTTGAGCAATTCTTAAGCTGACTTCGCTGTTGACCACGTCAGCCTATAAGTCTTCGATATTTCGCAATTTTGTTATCAGATATTGAAAATAACAGTGCTATTTTACGTTTGCAGTCAGTAATTCATTTATTCACAGCATAAACACAAAGGACGCTTTCGCACTTTAAATTTACAGAAAAACATCAAAAGGAGTATTTTCTATGGGGAGAGTGTTAATGGCTCTTCGCTGTAATAGAACGTTCATAAAGCTCCTTTCATTGATTTTGAAAACAAGTTTTATGTTTGACCCCTTTAATTTGTTTAAACACACTTGCTATGATTAACTCGGGGTTGACCCCCCCCCCCCCCCCCACCTGTTAACTAGTTATTTAAAAAACAGTTTAATTTTAATTCTCGTCTAATTTTAACCAAAGTACTCACGTCGGGAGGAGGTGTACAGTCGGATTTAGGAATTGCAAAGTTGTCGCAAGTCCCGGAGAACACATCCCGCAGTATTGTCTCGAACATTTGCTGGTCCTGCGGAAGTGGTGTGTTTGACGACATATTCTACCATTTACCCCCGCGATACTGTTTTTTAATTGGCGACTCTAATGAATATGACTTACCGACTTAGAAAATTAAGCTATATTTACTTTCTTTTAGATATTTTATTAAATAATTTACATTTCTTACAACTTATTCCAAATTTTACCCACTTCTTTGACGAAACGAAGTCCGAAAGACTCGGTGAGAGTCTGTTTCACGAGAGCGTGCTCTAGTCTGATTTGAGGAGTAAGGTTTATTGGGGTAGGAGCTCGATTCCTCTTGTCACTCACTGAAATAGAGATCATTATTAGTAGAAGTAGCTGTAGTAGTAATCGGCTCTGTTAGTTGAACGGACTTATTGTCAATTTTAGATGTATCTGTCCGATTACAGTCGCGTTCTTGCCACCGCTTGGTGTCACTCTTATCTTTCCGATTGACCACCAACTCTCAAACCATGTCAACACCCATCATTGCTGCTGTTTCTAAATGTAACGAACTATCCTTTACCACCCTCTAGCTGGTAGCTCTACCACCACACTTGTCATGATAAGAACGTGTCTGCTATTCATGGTACAATCTACAGAACACACTGCTATTCATGTTGGTCTCGTGCGGTCCGCCAATCCAATTCATGAGCCAACAAAACCTATCGAGCTATAGGGGTAAATAAGAGAATTGCGATTGACTGCATTGTTGACTGACACAGTTTTGTTTCGGCACTTAATCATCTGATGTGCCACTCACCCCTGCAGTAAAAGTATTATTAATATCATTTCCATCAGAAATTTCGCAGAATTGATGGACCACCCTGAGCTGAGTATTGGTAAATTAGAGCGTAAGACATAATCTCAGCTCGTCTTAACAATATTGAATATCGTAAGATCGGTGATAACAAGATTTAGCACTAGCTTATCAATATTGCTATTGTTTATTAATTTGTCTAACTCTCCCGCTAGATCCATGTTAGCGTCCCCAGTGTGCTAAGATGACTGTGTTCTACCGAGAGAACGGCACCAACTCCGTGACCCTGGACTACGTGTTCGGGTGTTCACAGTGCCTCATGCTCATCACCTCCAGCCTCCTTAACCCCATCGTCTTCGTCTACCACTTCAGGAACCGGAAGAAGACCACCTCCCTTCTCCTCTTCTTCCTGGCACTCTCTGATTTCCTGAGTCTAATAACCGGTCTCCCAGCTGCCATCTACCACTTCCTCAAACCGGAGAGAGATTTCATCGCCCCTCCAACCATCCTGACCTTCGTCCTGACCATCCTCCAGCTCTTCTTCTACAGGATGTCCCTCTTCATCACCACGATGATGAGCGTTCAGAGACTAGTGGTGATAACCTTCCCAAGATACGTCATCAAACCAAGACTCATTTACACCGTCTTCTTTATATGGTTCCTGAATATGGTGGTCTGCTTCCTCATGTACATGACTGATGTTGGTGAGTAACCAAACACTAGTTAGCTGAAGACGATATGTATTTTGAAAGCTCCTGCTGATACAATCTTTTCGTATCTCTTATATGTTTTAAATAATCCCCCTCCATGACTAGTTAGCTAGTTGTTATCTGGACATCTTTGTTCTAGAATCAATCAATGGTTATTTTGACGGTTCGGATCCGACTTGAAGGAAGTTAGGTTATTTAAGGTATTTTACTGTATGTTTGATTTCAAACTTTAATTGTATTGCTGAAACTAATTAAAGATGTCTCTTCAGGCATTCCCCCGATAGTGTCTGGTGTCCAGAAGTACGAGCTATCGGAGACCAAGGGTTACTACTGTGTCTGGGACCCCATGGTGCAGTCACTGACCTGTCCTGTCGGCTGGGATGACGTCATCAACAACTTCCTGATAAATCTCTTTCTCTTCGCCCTCATCAACATTATCAGCTCCTGCATCACCATTGTCAAACTCCTGACAAGAAACACCAAAGTTCACGGGCGAAAGAGCGTGATAACCATAGTTCTTCTCTCCATCTCCTCCTCCTTTATGTACGCCCCCGCTCCAATAGGAGCCATGATGCTGAACGACTTCGAGGAGTACAACCCTCACAGCTCAGCGGGGACCTTCTCTCGGAAGATAGAGTACGAGATAACCTTCTTCCTAATAATCAGCTATCTGCCCCAGATAACCTCCGTCCTAAACCCCATCATCCTCCTGGTCAGGGGCTCTCAGTTACAGGAGTTCGTTAAACAGGTCCTGTGCGGGAACTTCAAGGCGATGCCTCGCCACGAGCGAAGCTCTGCAAGGACAAAAACAACTTTTCAGTCAGGCAAACGACTTGAGGATCCGGAAAATGTTATTACAATGAATAAAATGGCAGTTTCTGAGACAACTAGTACAAGCCATTAGTTGTGGATATTAGAACATGACAAACTTATTCGAGCTATTATTTCTCAGCTTGCTGTATAAATCTTATAAATTTAATCAGAATATGGTTATTGCCTATTATTGTTCGAAGTCAGATGATAAGTATTCGACCCGTGTAGAACGTTATACACCACGATTGATTTTTGTGACATTTCAATATTAAGCGACGATAAAGCTTGACTTTTGACACATTTCTAAGCCTCAATCTTAATTACATTCAAATTAATGCTGAGATGTGATGAAATTATTTTACGAGGGACACGACTCCCAATATTTTATCTCTGGGCGTTTTACTCTTTAAGCCGACAGCCAACAATATAACCCGAGGTTATGACTCCTCAACTTACACCTAAAGATCAAATTTTAACTTTTCGAATCAACTTGACGAGATAAAATCTCTCAGGATAAAAGATTGGTGATCTAAATAGTTGCGACTTACAATCGCCAATAAAGTGATAGAAATATTATCACCTCACTTGAATTCCTAGCTAAATCATAACAAATAACATACCGGGGGTAGCGATGTTAGAGCCGGTGGTATTGCTAGAAGCCCTGCCATAACAAATAACATACCGGGGGTAGCGATGTTAGAGCCGGTGGTATTACAAATAACATACCGGGGGTAGCGATGTTAGAGCCGGTGGTATTGCTAGAAGCCCTGCCATAACAAAAAAAAAATACCGGGGGTAGCGATGTTAGAGCCGGTGGTATTGCTAGAAGCCCTGCCATAACAAATAACATACCGGGGGTAGCGATGTTAGAGCCGGTGGTATTGCTAGAAGCCCTGCCATAACAAAAAACATACCGGGGGTAGCGATGTTAGAGCCGGTGGTATTGCTAGAAGCCCTGCCATAACAAAAAACATACCGGGGGTAGCGATGTTAGAGCCGGTGGTATTGCTAGAAGCCCTGCCATAACAAAAAACATACCGGGGGTAGCGATGTTAGAGCCGGTGGTATTGCTAGAAGCCCTGCCATAACAAAAAACATACCGGGGGTAGCGATGTTAGAGCCGGTGGTATTGCTAGAAGCCCTGCCATAACAAAAAACATACCGGGGGTAGCGATGTTAGAGCCGGTGGTATTGCTAGAAGCCCTGCCATAACAAAAAACATACCGGGGGTAGCGATGTTAGAGCCGGTGGTATTGCTAGAAGCCCTGCCATAACAAAAAACATACCGGGGGTAGCGATGTTAGAGCCGGTGGTATTGCTAGAAGCCCTGTCATAACAAAAAACATACCGGGGGTAGCGATGTTAGAGCCGGTGGTATTGCTAGAAGCCCTGCCATAACAAAAAACATACCGGGGGTAGCGATGTTAGAGCCGGTGGTATTGCTAGAAGCCCTGCCATAACAAAAAACATACCGGGGGTAGCGATGTTAGAGCCGGTGGTATTGCTAGAAGCCCTGCCATAACAAAAAACATACCGGGGGTAGCGATGTTAGAGCCGGTGGTATTGCTAGAAGCCCTGCCATAACAAAAAACATACCGGGGGTAGCGATGTTAGAGCCGGTGGTATTGCTAGAAGCCCTGCCATAACAAAAAACATACCGGGGGTAGCGATGTTAGAGCCGGTGGTATTGCTAGAAGCCCTGCCATAACAAAAAACATACCGGGGGTAGCGATGTTAGAGCCGGTGGTATTGCTAGAAGCCCTGCCATAACAAATAACATACCGGGGGTAGCGATGTTAGAGCCGGTGGTATTGCTAGAAGCCCTGCCAAATTGGTGTGATCTGTTGGACATTATAGTGTTCCTCTTACTGGCGCTGATCAGGAGACACTGGTGGATGTTGTTGAGAGACATGTGCGCTACTCCAGTGTGTCTCCTGGGAGGGGGTAAGTTACTACTAGTTACCATGGTTACACTAGGGAGCTGGGTTAATTGTGAGCAAATATAAGGGAATAAAATATGTACAGACTAAATTTATTTGGTTTGTAATTGTTAAAGGCAGAATGTAACATTGAACAAGAAATATCCGAGTTCATAGTGAAGAGATAAAAATGATAGATAAGATATAGATAGCGGTAGTTGGTGATCACTAACATCTGCAGGGACACAAGTTTGTGAACCATAATGAGTCTATCAGCGATAAGTTTGCCGCTCTTGAACCCCAGTACAGTACAAAGACTCCTGAGAGCAGCTGCGAAGTTTGGCTGGGGCACAGAGACAAGTCTGAACAGTCCTCGGAGTGTGGGAGGAAGGGTGTTCAGCTGGTACTTCTCCGTTGTCTGGGTCACGAAAACAGCGAAATTAGGGTTCAGAGGAATCTGGGGGAGATTTAGACGGTTAGTTTCTCAACCTACAACTCTAAATCTTAGGCAAGCAATGAGATGGTTGAAAGAAAATCCTGAAAAATAAATTTCCAAACGCAACATCACTAAGCTTTATTTGCTATCTCTCTGTTACCTCTTGTCCGGAGAATAGCGTACAGTTCTTGTTGTTCTGCTGCAAGTTACCCAGGATTAGGTGGAGACACTGAGCCAGCACCTGTAGGGTTGGGAGAGTAAGACAGCTGACCTCACTGAAACAGCCCCAGGACCCCTCCTGGGCCAGGCCTGTCAGGATCTTGCTGATGCAGCTGTAGGTGGTCCCGTTACTGCAGTGGAAGGTGAGGAGGAACCGAGCACACATTCCTCCTAAACTCTTAGCCATCTCGTGTTTTGTTACTGCAGACTCGGCTACCAGAGATACTCCTGAGAAGTTGTCATGGTTACTTACTAGTTACCGTGGTTACTAACTAGTTACCATGGTTACTAACTAGTTACCATGGTTACTAACTAGTGTTTTCTTACTGCAGACTCGGCTACCAGAGATACTCCTGAGAAGTTGTGCAAGGATTATCATACTCTGAATGCAAGATCGTATCAAGATATTTTCTTATTTCCCTGACGAAAGTCTATACATCTGTCAGACTTGAAATTTTACTTTGTGACAATACTTTTCAAAGTAAACTTACCACTAAACTGCTGGATAGTGTGGACGAAGAGAAGAGTGAATCTATCCCTGATGGGCGTGATTATCTGGTTCACATCACACCCCACATACTCACACCCGTACGTCATGGAGTACTCCGACACCATCATCTTTATACTGCTTTCATCCACGTAGTACCTGGGAAGGGGGTGAATTCAACTTTTGAAAACTATTGTATAAATACTAAAAGCATGGGTAAGTGGTACAAGTTGAAAAGATAAACTTAATCTAAATTATTTACCTGGGATTTCTGACCCACTCAAAGTCCAGGATGTCTCTAACTTTCTTCTTCTGAAAGTCCTCAGCTACTTCCCTAAGGTGAAGCGCCAAAGACATGATATTCTCCAGTTTCACCAACTGGGTAGGATCTTCTCTAACAGCTTGCTGTTGAGAAGTTGACAGTTTAAAAAATACATATTCGTTGGATATTTTGAGACTAAAAATTAAATTTGGGTATGTAAATGTAATGGGATGGTGTGATTCTTGTGATGCTATGATCTATGATCAAAGGACAAAGCCTGTTGTACTGTGTATATAATAACCGTTAAGTGATCACTTACTCTTATTACACTTTTTCGGCCTTGGGTTGGTTCTATGCCGTTATGCTGTGGGCACATCTGACCCATGAATATGACAGCATTTACTGCTCGCTTTAATTTGGACTGGTGCTGTGAAGTGAAAATAGTGTAATGATGTGAAAATGTTATTTATTTTTAACCAGACTGTTGAAAAACGGATAAGTGTTCATAATTAGTCGTATATTTATCTGAAGGTACCTTATTCAAGACAGTCGGAAGTCGGGCCACTATGTTAGAGTACTTCCGGCCCAGATTGTGGAGAGCTTTTCGGTCGAGTTTGTTCTCTGATATGGCGAGCTCACAGTCTCTAGTCCATTGTAGGTAGAAACCCAGCACAGCAACTTGGCACGGGAACTGAGTGTTTTGAAACAGTGAAAACATTATTATATACAATAATACCTTCGCTTTTGAGAACTACGCGTGGTAATTCCCGACAGTATAATATTATGCTATATATACTATATAAATATAATATGTACTTCATGACAATTATTATGAGGATATTACTATTATAATTATATGCACTGTTTCAATCGTCATGATGAGTTAACAATTATCTGATTTGCTGAAAAGTTGCAGTTCCAGAGTCATAAAACTAAATTGCGTTGCAATACCACCTGAAGGCACGAGGGAGGGAATTTACCCGTGCAGTGGATGCCCTGAGTGATGCTATAGAGACGAGCATGGACAAAAGATGGGATAGAAACCATAACGGTTTCATTAACGCTCTAGACACAGTACTGAAAAGACTGTGGTGGATCGCCCATGTACATCGCTCAGTCAGCAAGCACTCACCAATGCAGAAATTACAATTTTAATTTCAATATGCATCAAAAGAGTCCTTTTATGGTAGAAATTAAGAAAGAATTTCATTATTGTTACTATCCTCAAATTATATTCTTAATATTGTGATATCGCAGTTTTAATTGTTCATATTATCAATGAAGAGTGAAATCAAATTCAAATAAATAAATAAATTACACTCATTAAAGAAAGCCATAAAAGATAATCTCAAATATGAAATTATCTTTCAATTTGTTGGTGGGGATTTGTTGTAACCACGAATCCACGGGATTTCGTGTCCAGAGAGTATTATACAATCTTACTCATTACTCATTAATCGTCGTTATATCATGATTCCATCCAGTAGTCTAGGATTCAAACCGAATTCTAAGCTATAGGAATCTATGACTAGAGATACATAATCTCATTACCCCGATACCACGTGATCAGAGATTAACCAGATCTCATAGTCACGTGGTATCACTTTCACTTCAAGTCTCATACATGTAACAGGAGACTACAGTTTAACTTATGGACAGGAGTGACAGGGGAAAAGTTTACGATAAATGTTTTGACGAGGACGGATGTTTTGACGGTCAAGAACGAAAGAGAAAGACAAACAGAAAACAGGACGAGCTTTCATAAGACGATGATCGAAGACATTTAGATTCACTTTTTAGTGAGATACTATTTTTACACACTTTTATATAGTTGTCTCACTTGTCAGAAAATACACTTACAAACTAGTGCTTAGCACTTAAAACAAGGAGAAAAGGAGTAAATTAAGTAGGGCATGAAAAAGCAAGGATTTCTTATAGTGTAACTGGCTTACCACATTACATTCCTTACCGTTAATGTAAATTCTTCCACAGTGCAGCCATTTTTGATGTCCCTATCAACCTCATAGACTTTATCAGATATGGTATCCTTGGTAACTTCCAGAAGATTCTCAAGCCAAGTCTCCACATTCTCTTTCATCGTAACCTCCCTGTTAAAGTCGATCACCTCACCCTCAGCACTCTTGGCTCCGATAGCTGTGATGGTGGGGCCTCCCGACCAAAGGGGGCTCTCGCTAAAGCTGGTGAAATCGTCCTGACTAGACTGCAGAGGGTCCCGTTCAGCTCCTGTTCGTTCCACTGACACTTCACTGATAACGTTGAGGGCGCTGGATTCTCCTCCGTCAATTGTATCTTCCGAGGGAGCCAGCAGAACAGAGTCAATGTTCTGGAATATCGCTCTGACGACGGGAAAACAGCGTTAAAACAAACATGATAAGATAAATTGAACTCTATTAATAGCATTTATATCGAATGATATCATACCCAGGATGCACTACATGAAGAATTCGTTGTAACTTTGTTTGAAAGGATAGGATCAGGGGTGAAAATGAAAGTATGCCTCTTAGTGATGCTATAGTAGCATCACTACATGCTACACCACCTGAAGTGTTTGCTGACTTCCTCCACGTTGTTATGACTACTAAGAATAGCGAGCAGCACAGTGTCCGACACGTAGTAGAAGCGGGGGAATAGCTTCCTCTTCTCGTCCAGATACTCTGTCAAGCTGCGCTGACAGAACTCTAGTTGCTCAGAGAGGTGAGTTAGAGTTCCCGTTTTAGGGGGCTCTCCACCGTGACAACACTGACAAATAATCAGTTTAATTATTGGATAGCTCCTCTCAAGCATACGCATACGTTATCAAAGTGAGACAAATGTTTTATCTCATTGACTTGTAAACTTTTGAACGGAATAACTTACTTGGATGACATTTTTGATTTCATGGGTCTTTTTCATCAGCTTGGTCCAAGTTTTGTCGATCGAGGCGAACCGTTTTGCCTCCTGCGGCAAATCCTTCTTGGTAGTAGGCAGAGAAAACACTGACTCGAGATGAACCCAATGGTTCTGAACAGTCAGCCACTGCTCAATGACCTCTGACACGCTGAGCAACTTAGCGGCCCAGGATGCGGCCTCGTCCTTTAGAGGCCCTATGTATTTAGAGGTTAGCATGGAGGCAAGGGAAGCTTGGCTGTCTTCCAGCATTTCCAGTAGATTCACTGTGTACCTGGTAGGTGCAGTCTTTAGTAAAACAAAACATGGATAACTTAACACCAGTCACCAACCTCAATTCGAATATGAGGAGCTGGTATAAGGAACAAAATTGAGGAAGAAGAGAAAGAGAAAATAATGAGTATGGAATCCAGTAAGGATGGTTAAGTTGAAGCCTCACCTAGCATCAAGCATAAGGTAGCCCCTGTTTTTGAACTGCGAAAAGTGCAAGCTCTGTTCTGCCCACTCCTCCTCAGTGCTCCTCAACTTCTGCTCGAGATCGAGCTCCTTGCTAGCACAACTTACTATGTCACTTATCTCTGACTTGTACCTGAGATTCAATCATTCAGTTTGGAGAGAAGAAATCAGATAATTTTGTAGATCTCCCTTTCGGTATAAGAAAATAACAAGAAAAATTATGTTTTCAAATAATAACAAGTAAAGATGAGAATGTAGTACTTGATGAGATCACAGTCCAGCAGATGACATAGTTTCATTTGAGATGCCTCGAGTTGGAAGTTGGATCCAGTTACTTGCATGACCTGCAGCCAGTGTCGGCTCCTGATTCATGAAATTGGTTAAGTCACCATAGATTAATCTTATGATCAATTTTCCTCATAGTTTGTTATAAAAGTTCTTCTAACCATGTTTTTTACTCATTTACCTGATTTGTTTAGAGTTGAGCTGTTGAAGGACCGGGAACAGATCAAGATAAGCCTCCAAGCTTGTAAATAGAGTGTGGTAAGCTCCCCACTCCTTCACACGTTCTGGCAGGTTCCTGCAATCCATGTGAAGGACGTTCATCTGAAATAAACATTATATTAAACCTTTTCTGCACTGTAATTGTTGTCCGATAAAACCCAAGTTGGCTGAAATGCAATAAAAACTTTGCGCGGCGTTTCTGTCAAGGAAAGTGATAACGCTTAAAATTTGCATACAATTTTGTTTGTTTCTATAGCAACCAAAATTTCTGATAAGCCGCGCAAACTGTTTTCCCTCCCACATGGCAAGATACCGAAAGCGGAAAATCGCAATCAAAATGTAAACATACTTCGGTTTTAGATTGCTCCAGATTAACATCCTGCCAAAGCGTATCTTTGAATGTCTCATCAAACTCTATGAATTTCTGATAAAGATCATACAAAGTTTGAAGCAAGCTCAATTCCTCCCCTGTCTTTTCGAGATCAGGGTAAGCTGTCAGTGGTAGTCCGTACATCTTCTGGACGGCTTGTAAAGTGTGCTGCTTACTGTCGAATGTGTTGTATGATTTCCAGAATTTTACTAGCCTGTTCATGGCCTCATCTGGAGAGATATTGCTGACACCAGGACCTGAAAATATGCCAGTTTGGTCTCCTGAACTAGAAGGATAGATGGACATGGTTAAAATCGCACCCAAGAAAGCACATGAATATATTTTCATCCAACACACTTTACTATAAAGGAACAGAAATACGATAGAATAAGTTTACTGGAATCATGTTCAAATTAGAGACAGTTCATATAGCAGGAAAACAACTAAACAACAATACCTTGGGATTCAAAGCTGGTTCTAAGTTGAATGACCTCCACAATGAACGACTGCACCTGCTTCTCTAGCTCCTGCTCGAACTGCAGCTTCTGCTCGATCATCAGGGTTTGTCTGACACTGTCTGCCAGATCCATCAGCATCTTCCACTCGTCGCGGAGTGTCGCCACTAACTCTACCTCGTTACGAGGCAGTTGGACCTGGTAATTTGTAAAGGTGAAATAACAGCAGGGAACTTTGTAATTATTGCAATTATTAACATGTTTAATGCTAAAATCAATAACTAGAGACTGTGGAGACTAATAAGTCACCACAGCAAACCTACACAGGCCGAGCCAATTTCACCTCCAGCCATTAAACTAGTGAGTATTTCCACAAATCATATCAAGACACACCTCGAAGTCGGTGAGCTGTTGGTAGGTGATCTCGACAGGAAGGTAGGTATCATCAATAGTGTTCTCGAGGTCTCCTAACTCAGCCAGCAAGTCCAGAGTTTCGCTGAGACTGCTGAGACACTCTACTGATACCGTCAGTCGCTCTCTTATGTGGTCTCTATACTTTATGATATCATCCAGGTCTCTCTGAAGGTTTTTAGTTAGTTTTTTAGTTAGTTATTTATTTAATATGTACACAAATTAATCCAAAAGTGGGAAGGAAGTTTGGAATATTTGATAGATAAAATCTCAATAAAATCTCAATAAGTACTCTATAAGTAAAACAACTGAAACCTTAGCATTGTAGTGGAGCTGGGAAGCGTATTTGTATTTCCAAGTTCGTATCATGGCGTGGATAGAGTTCTTAACAGGTGTTGTGTCGAGCACGGTAACCTTCATCTTCTTCGCACTGTCTATAGATAGCACCTTGTGCTCCTCTTCCAATAGAGCTTGAACCTGGTAGAAAAATTATTGTGATAATGCTAAATGAATTTCGTTGATCAGTGGTTTCTATTTTAGCAGGATTTTATGTACTACAGTTTATAGATCTCTATCATAACATGTTTCAACAGTCCTACAGATAGTAAAACTACTTGACTGACCTTGTTAGCACACTGGATAAGACAGCTGTTCCCCTCCATGAACTCCTTGTACTCTCCGTGAAGGTCATCCCTCCAGAACCTCTTGAACTCCATGAAGACGGAGAAGAAGTGAGTGATGTCCTCCTCCGCCTGTAGAGCAGCTTGTTTTATCAGCTTGATGTCAGACTGGAGCTCCTCATCCTCCGAGGTCCAGCCTCGCATCATGTCTCTATCTCCAGGGGTCAGCCATGTTGCTCGCTCGATACTCTCCGTTATTATTGACAGTGTACTGTCCAGCGACTCCTAGTGGTACAAGGTGGTGAAAAATATAATTATAGGACAGAATTCATAATTGTATATGATATGGTCGGCTGGAGTCCGGATAGCTGCAGTTTAAGCCACCAAAAGTTGTGTTATTCTCACCTGCATTGAAGCGAGGGAGGGAGTGAGTACAATCTCCGGAACACAAAGCTCTATTCTAGATTTGAAGAGAGGAGTTCCTTCTGTCAGGGATCGGGCCAGGTTACTCACTGATCTCCTTATTATACTCATGTACGCCTTGTTTATTCGCTGAGGGGGGAACACAGTGTTAGAATACAGTGTTATATATTATATGGGAGAACAATGAGCCGAGACAGATGTTATACGGTCATAATCATCGGAAGTAAATGAGATGTAATTCATTCATTTGTAATAATTTGTCATTCTATTTCTAGAAAGAAAAGTCAACATGGTAACTTTACAATTGTAACGTTGTAACCTAGCAACTACTAACCATGTGGAACTCTGCTAAAACAGAAGCAACAAGTGCCTCGTCAGGAGTCTTCTTGACGTACCCACTCCGATCTGCTGCGTTTATAGCGGACATGACCCCGTTAAACAGACCTGCTTGTACCTGACAATAGAAACGTTAAACAGACCTGTTTGTACCTGAGATATTATCAATCTGATTCATGTGCTTCCTTCTCTGATCACAACTGTATTACAGTAAGTGTAAATCTGCATCGTCAAAGTGTTTTAAAGTGTAAATCTTACCATATTATAGCTTTCTTTTCAGCGTGTTAGCAAATATCAACTAACCTGTGTGATCATATGGGTGAGCTCCCCGAACCTCTCTCCGACCACCTCGCTCTGAACCTTAACAAAGTCCTCACAACTTCTACTGTTACTATTCACGCTCTCGTAGAACAGCAGGGCCGGGATGTCACTCAGGTGAACCTCCACTTGTGTCTCCAGTATGTCCTGCACCAGCTTGTTAGTGTGGGACAGCTCCTGGGTTGCAATAGTCATCTTGTGGAGGAACGCGTCAATGTTAACGTTATTCCAGGTCAAGGTGACTAGTCCTGGTTGGATTGTGAGTTGAAGGTGGTGCAGCTGAGAGGAGAGGACTGGTTTCACTGCTGGGGAGATCGAGCAGATCACCCGTCCCATGTCTTTCACGTTCTGGTTTAAACGTTGTACGTACGTTTTGATACGTTGCTCCTGAAATTAAACAGCTAGTAACCTAGTAACTACACTAGTAACCTAGCAACTACACTCGTAACCTAGCAACTACACTGGTTTAAACGTTGTACGTACGTTTTGATACGTTGCTCCTGAAATTAAACAGCTAGTAACCTAGTAACTACACTAGTAACCTAGCAACTACACTCGTAACCTAGCAACTACACTGGTAACCTAGCAACTACACTGGTTTAAATGTTATACGTACGTTTTGATACGTTGCTCCATAAATTAAACCCTCTGATTTAACTGCGTGTGATTTACCTTAATAAATAAAATCATATTTAATAAACAAATGTTTGGATTTGAATTAATATATAGATGAGTAAAATACCACAAAAAGAAGCAGATGTACCTGTTTGAGCACTTCTTTAGCCCCCTCAGGAACATTACAGCTCAGTCTCAACAGCCACTTGGTCTCCTGAATCAGCTCCAGTATCTTCTGGTCCATGTTAACGTGCAGTACCCCCTCCGGATCCCGCACAAGAAGGGTAGCTCGTAGCGCAGAGCGTATAGGCTCCACTGTGGTGACCCAGTTGGAGAGCCACAGTGTCTCGAACTTGTAGAACGTGGTGGCTAGTCTGTTGTACAGCTTTATTATCCGACCCGAGTCCTGTAATACAAAGCTAGTAACCTAGCAACTACACTAGTAACCTAGTAACTACACTAGTAACCTAGTAACTACACTAGTAACCTAGTAACTACACTAGTAACCTAGTAACTACACTAGTTACCTAGTAACTACACTAGTAACCTAGCAACTACACTAGTAACCTAGCAACTACACTGGTATCCTAGTAACTACACTACTAACCTAATAACTACATTAGTAACCTAGCAACTACACTAGTAAACTAGCAACTACACTAGTAACCTAGTAACTACACTAATAACCTAGCAACTACACTAGTAACCTAGTAACTACACTAGTAACCTAGCAACTACACTAGTAACCTAGCAACTACACTAGTAACCTAGCAACTACACTGGTATCCTAGTAACTACACTAGTAACCTAGCAACTACACTAGTAACCTAGTAACTACACTAGTAATCTAGTAACTACACTAGTAACCTAGTAACTACACTAGTAACCTAGCAACTACACTGGTATCCTAGTAACTACACTAGTAACCTAGTAACTACACTAGTAACCTAGTAACTACACTACTAACCTAGTAACTACACTAGTTACCTAGTAACTACACTAGTAACCTTGTAACTAACCTGAGTCCTGCAATCCCAGGGTGTGTTAGAAATTCACGTGAAGTCGCGGATAGATAAACATGGACTAGGTCTAAATTAATGAAAAGAACGCATTTCAAGAGATAAGATAAGAGATAAGAAACTTACACGGTTGCTCATGAGAATCTTGTTCTCTCTGAATATCTTCATCGGATCCTCAATCTGGTGAATGAGTTGTCTGATCCAGAGCAGTGCACTAGCTACAGTTGGAGCGTTGTGGGTAATAGGAGGAGTCTCCTTGCTTTCCTCGTACATCTCCTTTATACGATCTAAATCATCCTCAAAGTTCAAGAAAAGATCTGCTTGGAGATCTTGGAGTGTTTGCCGCAGGTTCCCTTTGTCTTTTGACACTTTCAAAGCGCTGAACCTAGACGATAATTAGCTTTTAAGACCTTACCTTTAACGCTTTAAGATAAGATTACCTATATGTATAAAATATAATTATGTATATTGTATAATGTATATTAACTGACGTGCAGTGCCAAAACAAAACAGTGCCAATTTGGCACAGTGCCAAAACAAAACTATCAAAGAAAATCAAACCTCTGGATGACTGCGAGACCGTTTTTAATAGAAGTCTTCTCCGTAATGGTAGACTTAATATAAGCACACAAGGCTATCTCCAGCCGACTCATAGAGTGAACAAACTTCTGGTACGTCTCCGGGAACTTGTCCTTGTGTTTTCCTTCTGAAGACAACATCACCTCCAAGGAACTGCAGTCTGCTATCAAACTCTGGTATGTTTGATTCAGAACTCTTCTGATGAACGTCGCAATGTGTACATCTGCGATGAATATTACATTACAAATTTGATAGTTCTGGAAATTAAAATGGCACCCTTTTTTGATCGATTACATTTAATATTTATAATCAAATTGATTTTGATCACCATTACACAACTGTCATTAACTTAGTTTTTACCTTCTTCAACTGTCTTGTCAGTAGAGGGTCCAATATCGAGAGTATTTATAGATCTCATTCCATCACTATCGGACTCTAAAGAGGGTGTTATCTCTCTCGTGGAGCCTTCTGAACTGGATGCCGGCTGGGAAGCTTCATCTGAAGAAATAGTCACATTAAACTGACTATTAGCTTGAGGGGCACAAGCTAACGAACATAGAATACTTAAGTTCCGGCGTTCAACTGATATCTCACTACTGTAGCAAACCGTTCTTACTCTACGTTTAACTATAGGATAAGTCTAGACTCACTAAAACTAAACAATTGAGAGGTATGTCCCGATATCAGAAACAGAAAAGAGAGAAGTGTGTCTCAACAATTTGGTTGTATCAGAAGTGTGTCTGATACAACAGTGAGGAGCGTGCGCACACTCCTTACTCGTGTATCAGACACACTTCTGAGTAAAGGTGAGAAGTGTCTCACTGGACACTGACAATGTTTAAGTTAATCCGAATAGAATTGAAAAAGGGTGTCTCAACAATCTTAATTAAAAATCTACAATTTGTGAAATATACGTAATAAAGAAGAACCCCTCTGACACTCTTTCGAGCCCTTAAATACTCTGCCGCACCGCGTGAGTTTCTCACGCGTGAAAAAGATAAATCTCTAATCGCTACATCAATTTCCCACGGAGTGCTTTTAAAACTACTGATAAGCTAAACAAACACTAAGATAAGCCCTATTCCTATTGTACTCTGCGGTCACGTGATAGGATCGATGGTCACGTGACCTCAGTTATCCCTTACATGGCACAAGTAGCTCTTAACTGGGCTGCAATCCTTGACAGTTGACAGGCCTATAATTCCTTAATTTTAAATGAACGATATCTTATCGTACAATAACATAATGATAGCGTAAAGAGAATGCTTCCCGGAATCAGCAAAGTGAGCAACACAAGATGCTGTTGGAATGCGGAGAATTCATCCTACATCGCGTCGGTAGTCTTTAAATGGACTGTTAAATGTATTGTTAAATGCAAACAGGGCTATCAGTAAAACCTAAAGAACTACTCGACCCTGATGGACTATTAAAATCGAATAGAACTATATCAAATATATGTATATTTATATAAGTACAAACTGTTCTAAAAACCTAACTAAATCCTCAACCCTGATAGATCACCTCAAGTCCTACCTCACAACACTACAAGAAGAAATACCCACCTTCCTCAACAAGACAGTCCATGTTGCTATCCGAGGGAGGCATTGATATCTCCTCTACAGTATTAGAAGAACAGAGGTGATGTCTGGTGATGAGGGGCGAGACCCCGCATTTACCAATATCTGAGACACTTTTAGCCAGATCTTCCAGCTGACTTAGCGTCGTTATAACCTGACAACGGGATATGATTACTAGTTTGATGTGGGGTAAGATGAAAAATGGAGGAACTATAAAATGCTGCAATTACCACTATAACAATGCAACGACCGATTAAATTTCCCTGATTGGTGAATTACGTACCTCAATAAGCTCACGGCTCCTTTCGATCAGTTTATCGAGACTTCCCAAAATAGCCTGATCATCCGTGATGGGTATACCAAAGTTTTGAGTGTTCAGTTGAAACAAGGAGCTCTGGCTAGCTCCAGTCTTCCTATCACCTGGTTTTACTTTTGAGGGTTAGAGATTAGCGAGGATCAGCAATGGCAATTTAGCAATCTGGACATTATCAATCGTGCAGATCATGTGCATGATTGGAGAAAACAAAATTGTAAATGATCCAAAATCAGGACAACCTGCAGGAGAAAGAATCTGGACGTTCTCTTTTACAATCTTCCAGCGATCAAGTTTATTTTGATGGAATGGGTGATTTGGTGATCTGACCGGACGTACTGAATATTTTGTAAGAAAAATGAAATGTTTTTGGATTGTCAGTGATATTGAGTGATGTACATAAGGACTTTGATGAATACTGTAATCTCGTTAAGTCTCAATGCAATGATTATAAATGAAATGAGATGATATGGCCGAAAGAATCATGAATTATTTTACAAATTGTACAAATCATATAAATACTTCTAGAATTATAGGAACTCACGTCGTCTCTCGTTGATATTGCTAAGAGATACCGCTACTATATTACGTATTATGTAACTATGGTAACTAGTAGTGTAACTATGGTAACTAGTAGTAACTCACGTCTTTTCTCGTTGATGTTGCTATCCCTGCTGTCAGTGCAGTCTGATCTGGCAACTGAGGAGGCTCCCCGTCTGGAGCCGCACATCGTGTTCTTGTTGGAGGCTCCTAACATGTCTCTCAGATTCTTTAAACACTCCTGCGAGTTGTTACTAAGTTAGCAGGGAGGAGTTGCTTCTCCGATTATAAGACCACGGTCTTCTTACTTTTATTTAGAATAATTTAAATTGACTTCACTTCAGAACTAAGTATCGTGAAAAACAATGACGTCACTAGACATTAGACAGCTTTCAGATAACGGAAGATAACAAACATTATATACTAAGAGATACTGCTACATTATGTAACTATGGTAACTAGTAGTGTAACTATGTTAACTAGTAGTAACCTTATAGAACTTGTGAAGAGCGAGGCACTCCACGAGCGCGTTGTGGAGGTGTTTAAGAGACTCCCTCTCTGCAGGCTTCTCAACCTGCCCCCACACCTCTCCAGCCTCGTAACCTTGTCTCACAAACAAGTTAGCTTTACACAGGGTCACCAGCTGGTTAGATACCTTGCTCATTATTACTCCTAGGAAACCTGACCGTGCGTAGTGACGTGACGCTGCTTCAGCCTGGGTAAGGAGAGGGTGAGTGGGTTTATAATAATGTAGTGCTAGTTACAAAACTGAATCTGTTATCACGTTTATAAATTAATCAAATTAATAATTATCAACTACATAATAACTTGATGTTTAGTAGTGTAGTTTTTAAAAGAATACTACTACTCGTATATAGATGAGCATGCTCTAGAAGTATAGTTTCCAGTACTGACTTGTTTAAAACCCATCATGAGATGGTGAAGGCAGGTGTTCATTACTTCTGATATCCTGTTCTCCTCACACAGCGGCTCAATGTGTCTCTTTAGTCCCTCTAGGTACTTGTACTTATCTTTAGCTTCGTTAGCTGTATCTGTGATGATGATATCCACTGACCTCCACTTCTTGAGGTATTTGCTCTTGTTTGCTATCAGAGTCGTGATAACTGCTTTACTCTCTTTTGTTTTCAGTTGCTCTATGATGGAGGTTAGGAGAAGGTTTCTTCTCTTCCAGCGGTGTATTTCCACTATTGGTCCAGTGCAGCTCTCCAACATGTGAGCTCGGCTGCGAGTAAACATTTTATTCTATAGTGTTTATTGGTACATTTTAAAATTACAAAGAAGTAACTCAATATCAAGATTTGTAGTCTCAATCACAGTTCAACAACAATCCTTTTCACAGTTCAACAACAATCAGAGTTCAACAACAGACCATATCATGATTTGTAGTCTAGTGAATAAACATACTACCTTACTCCATTATAATCACAGTTCAACAACAGACCTGTCCTCGAAAGCATCAGACAGTACAGTTTCAATGGTTGAGCTCCAGCTCTGAATGAGTCTCTCACACTCTGCTAGATAAGCAGGAGCAGTGTTCTCAAGTCTGCGGGATATAGTGTCCTCGCACTCAGGGGCTGTTTCTAGCACTACTTTACCAGTGGGGGTGGGGGAGTCTACCATACTGTACACACACTTGTCCACACAGGATAGCAGCTGCTGTACCTGAGCATAGATATGGTTCAGAGATAGAATAGTAACTAACTTTAGCTTTTAATATTTAGTGGAGTTTTATCGGCATTAAATAGAGTCTCGAGCATGATTAGAGAGATTGATATCAACAATTAATAGAAGTTTTAAAATTTAAAATAGCGAGGTATAGCAGATGATAATATCTAGAATCTAGATAACATCTCGATAAGATAATAATAATAATAATAACTAGAAATTTATAAATCGCTTTATAGCCAAAGAGAACTCAAAATCTAAAGCGACTCATGAACAATGAACATGTACATAAGAACTTAGCATTTTATGAAATATGGGTTTTTAATTTTTATGAAGAAGTTATTTTATGAAACCTATATGAATACTTTTTCAAAAAGATGAGTCTTAAGTCTCTTTTTAAACAAGGCAATATCGGTCAATGTTTTCAATTTATAAGGAAGACCTACCTGTTAACTAGTAGTGTAACTATGGTAACTAGATAACATCTAGATAAGACCTACCTGTTAACTAGTAGTGTAACTATGGTAACTAGATAACATCTAGATAAGACCTACCTGTTAACTAGTAGTGTAACTATGGTAACTAGATAACATCTAGATAAGACCTACCTGTTAACTAGTAGTGTAACTATGGTAACTAGATAACATCTAGATAAGACCTACCTGTTAACTAGTAGTGTAACTATGGTAACTAGATAACATCTAGATAAGACCTACCTGTTAACTAGTAGTGTAACTATGGTAACTAGATAACATCTAGATAAGACCTACCTGTTAACTAGTAGTGTAACTATGGTAACTAGATAACATCTAGATAAGACCTACCTGTTAACTAGTAGTGTAACTATGGTAACTAGATAACATCTAGATAAGACCTACCTGTTCACTAGTAGTGTAACTATGGTAACTAGATAACATCTAGATAAGACCTACCTGTTAACTAGTAGTGTAACTATGGTAACTAGATAACATCTAGATAAGACCTACCTGTTCACTAGTAGTGTAACTATGGTAACTAGATAACATCTAGATAAGACCTACCTGTTAACTAGTAGTGTAACTATGGTAACTAGATAACATCTAGATAAGACCTACCTGTTAACTAGTAGTGTAACTATGGTAACTAGATAACATCTAGATAAGACCTACCTGTTAACTAGTAGTGTAACTATGGTAACTAGATAACATCTAGATAAGACCTACCTGTTCACTAGTAGTGTAACTATGGTAACTAGATAACATCTAGATAAGATCTACCTGTTCACTAGTAGTGTAACTATGGTAACTAGATAACATCTAGATAAGATCTACATGTTCACTAGTAGTGTAACTATGGTAACTAGATAACATCTAGATAAGATCTACCTGTTAACTAGTAGTGTAACTATGGTAACTAGATAACATCTAGATAAGACCTACCTGTTCGCTGGAGCACTGACCCCAGTCTCTCTTAGACTTTAACACAGGGGCTACAACTTCAGAGAGAAATGTGGTAAAAGACTGAATAGCAGAATCTTTAACCGTCCCAGCAAACACACTGAAAATCAGGATAGCAAAATAATGCTCAGATAAATAAAAAGCTTGACATTAACAAGTATAGCGCAATTTGATCAACTAGAAATTCAGCATCAATCAACTAAGTGCTGAACTCATGCTACAACCCCCCCCCCCCCCCCACCGGCCCCCCGCTATACACTTAAAACACTGACTTGTTGGGGATAGTCTCCACTTCTAACTTGACATCATTACAAAGTCTAAAGAAGTAAAGGAGAATGTGACCCTCTAACTTCAGCCTCTCAGGAAGTGTAGTGTAGATTGAGAGGGTTCTGTTTGACAGGGTCACTTTGTCTACAACGGAACTGTGGACAAACAGTCGGTTCGTACCACCTGCATCTGCAATTAAAACACATAGTAATCTAGATTCTAGAAGAATTAAGACATTGTACGATAGAAGGATTAAGAAGTTTTCGCGGATTTTTTAGTCATACAATATTCAGTGAATATTGTATGACTAAAAAATCCACAAATAAATTCGCCGCAGAAATGAATGGTTTTACAGTATTTACAGATGTGTCCACAGAAATGATTGAGAAAGTACTAACTTAAGAAGCCATTGATAGCCTCTACGGTAGGGTCAGCACTGATAAAGTCCTCCAGAAGAGTGGGACTGTCGTAGGTACCAATCTGGTAGACATCCTGAATCTTGTTGGCAAACCACCATAACCGGTCATCCATTCAGGTACTTTTACTATTGTACTATCTAACTGATTGTAGGATTATTATTACTCTGGTATGTGATCAACAGTTATAGTGGCAATGCGTAAACGAATAAAATAACTGGTTCTATTAGAGTCAAGTCAATCATAACTGCATTTCAATTTATCGATATCATTGTTTTTCTCATTTAGTAACTAAACTGTCTTTCAATAACAAAGAAATGATCAAATACAACAACATCATAACGCAATCACAAAATGACATTCTTAAATTCAACAAATATGCAAAAACAATCATCTTAAAAATACATAAAATCAGACAATTATTACACTCAATTTTACAAGCATTATAGAAAAATTGTGAAAACTGATAAGAAAACGGTTTGATTTATATTTAATACGCATTATATTATAGAAAACAATCGGGAAAACCAATAAAAATCATTTGGAAACGATAACGATAACAAAATTAAAATAACTAATAACTATATTACGAAATGGTTACAGAATACAAATCAACAAGCAAGTTATAACTTATTAATTTATTTGTTCAATGGGAGAAACCGTGATGTCCAGTCTCCGCTAGATAATTTACATTATCTACAGTGTAAACCTTGAAGTCGATATTTTCCGGTTCCAGTCTTGGCATTTCTCCGCTGCAGAGAATATGGAACGCATCACAAGCTTTTCCCCCAAACTCATTGCCCCAGATATACACGTTAGACACAGTCTTATTAGAGTGTAATGCAATCGCAAGAGAAGATAACCCAACTTCTGTGATTTTGTTATTGGGAACCCACAGCTTTTGTAACGATATGTTTCTACAGGCAAGAACTTCGCTGATAGCGATCAGTCCATTGTCACCAATCGTATTCGAACACAAGGAAAGTTCCTCGAGTGTCGAGTTCACTTTTAAAAGATCTGCGAATGATTGGGCACCATCTGCAGTTATCTTATTACTTGAAACATCAAGGTGTCTCAAGCTGGAGTTATCTCTCAACGAGAACGCTAAAGAGTTTGCCCCAGAATCAGATATTCCACACTTAGATAATTTGAGAGCGCCGAGTGTAGCGGTTATGGACAGTAATTTGCTAAAGTGATCAGTCAGTGTAAGTTCATCAGTGTATGGGACTGTTCTGCTCACGTCTAAGTATTCAACAGAGGTATTCGATATCAAAACAGTGGATAAGGGGATCAAACTCTGTGAATTCTGATCCGTATTGGCAATATCAAGAGATAAGAGAGAATTGTTGATCTGTAACGCTTCAGCAAGAACAGCAGCACCAACAGGACCGAACTTATTTCCAGCCAGGACTAGCTTCTGTAAACAAGTATTTTTGTTCAGACCTTCACTTATTGAGAAGCACCCATCAACGTATATATCACACATAGTTAAATCCAGCTCAATTAAGGTGTCATTTGTTTCCAGAGCTTTGCCAATATTTTCGCAAGCAACCTCAGATAGATGATTGTAAGCTAAATTTAGGCTGGTCACATAAGTGTCAGTTTGAAGTTCGATAAATATGGGAATAAAGTCACGATCTTTTAGCTTTTTCTTTTGAAACATTTTCAGATTCCCTTTCAGATCAAGGCATGTCCCCGTAGATGAATGTCCTTCTAAAATGTCGATAAGTTTGTCTTGAAAATAACACTGATAGTCAGCACATGCCTGGTAGTAGATTCTTCTTAATCGATTGCACTCAGGTGATTCTTTGCTGTTGTCGACAATATCGTCCATTAATTCCTGGGAAGTAAATGTACGTGGTCGTGATTGTTTTAAATTTTATTAAGATTACATATTTTACCATTTAAAAAATGCTTTTATCCATTAGATGTGAATATCCCACGTAAGTATGATGTATTCTGGAATGATAAGCATATAAATTAAAAGCCGTGACAGTTTTCGTGCAATTTAAGTGAATAAGATAGTATCGACTAAATTAAATTGTATTTCTTGATTTCCGAACACAACGAAAACTGAACTTCATAAAATAAATAGAAAATTCTGAACATCAATGATAGAAGATATTTTTAAGCTTTTTGGGAAATCCTTGCAAAAAGAGAATAAAATGAATATTAAAGAATAGTGCAGCTAAATCAACTGAAAATGAAGATCAAAATTTTCAAAATATTTTTACACTATACATCCCTTATAATATTAATCAACCATCATCTCCAAAATCTTGATTACAAATAATTGTTTAAATGAACTGTAAAATTTACAGAGTAAATGAACTGTAAATGAACTTAATATTGAATTATTATTTGCCTATCAATAGCGATGAGAGAGTTCAGTGAGAAAACAGATAATGTCCAGTTTCAGCGAGGTATGTTATTCCATCAACAACATAAGGTACAACATCAGTGTTGTGTTGAAGAAGCCTTGGTTTACCTCCCTCCATAAGCTGTTCAAAAGCATTGCACGCTGTGTTTTTCAATTCATTCCCCCAGAGGTAAATGTTGGAGAGAGTGATGTTTGACCTCAAGGCAGCTGCCAGTGCACAAAGTCCCATTTCTGTAATGCCATTGTTGTTGATCCACAGTGTTGTAAGATTGCAATTGTTAGTTGCGATGGCCTCACTAAGTGCAGCAAGTCCATTGTTTCCTATTCTGTTTGATGCAAAGGATAGTTGTTTAAGCGGGGTGTTCAACTTCAAAAGGCTGGAAAAAGCACGAGCACCATCTTCTGAAATCTTATTGCAGGCCAAATTCAAATACATCAGAGTTTTATTGTCCTTTAAACTTTCTGCCAGTTGCGTAGCTCCGAAATCTTTCATTCCATGTTTACAAAGATGAAGTTCAGTGAGACTGTAATTCACATGAAGCATTTTTGCAAAATGAATCGTGGTTTCCTCTTGCTCACTGGTCACTAAGGGGTTACCGACATTGAGCTTCTTTACAGTTGTGTTGTCTAACAATACTGTGGTCAATGCAATGAGGCTCTCATCTGTTTGGTCAGTATCCGATATATCAAGTTCAGTGAGGGAGCTATTAACTTGAAGTGTAGCTGATAACAGTATTCCGCCCTGTCTCCCAATCTTGTTTCCCTTCAGGGACAAACTGCGAAGGTTGTCGTTCATCTGAATCCCAGTGCATATAGCTTCTGTACCCTTTGCCTCAATGTCACACATGCCGAGATTCAAGTGTTCAAGAAATTTATTGTCTTGCAGAGCTTTTCCAATTGCAATTGCTCCAGTATTTGCAATATTGTTGTATGATAAATTTATATCAGTTATGAAGAAATCTTCACTAAGCTCACGGGCAAGTGCAATGGCATCATCTTGGTCAAGTCTTTTATTTCTAAATTCTGGCAAATTTCCGCTCAAATCTAAGACGTATCCATCAAGAGATGACTCATTGTCTTTATCTATGAGATTCATAAAACGTATTACTCTGGAGATAGGTTCCCGATTTACAGCCTTACATGCTTCCTTGTAAATTTCTATCAATGTCTCGACATCTTTCTCTTTTTCAGAGTCACTTCCACTTCCACTCATGATGTGTTTCTCTTAGCTTAGTACCAGCTGAATATTATAATCATTATATCAGCTGATTAGATTAAGTTGAATAAGATATAGATCCACCTTTGATAAGTATAAAAGTATGTCTATAACGAATCTTAAAATTGTAGAAAATCGAATGGCCATGGAATAAAGTAAATACATTTATTTGAAACATCTGGTAAATCAAGGTACAATCCGGTTTTCACTCTTTCGACACAACTAAACCAGCAAATAATTGGAGATTATGTGCAATACGATGCTTGATGATAAGGCAAAGTAATTAATTTCATAGTTCGGTTCATAGCTTAAAAGTTGTCAAAAATCCAAAATAGTTTGTGAATACAGATCATGTTGAGTAAATTGAACAAAGGTAAACCAAATGCTAGATAATTGGTAAATCAAGAGGTTAATCAAATGTCGAATTGATACGAATTTGATACAAAATAAAGATGTTTCCCTTAAAGCTGACTATACTTTAAAGGTTATCTATGATGACTAAAATCTGTTCAAACAATATGCACAGATAATTTCAACAATTATATACTAATCAATTATATACAACACTGTTCAATGTTAAACATATTTAAACCCAACTATGTCAATAACTCAGATCCAAAGAAAACACGAATGTGAGAGACGGAGACTCAAAAACAGTTCAGCGACTTAAATACGCTACGGGGAAGTATTTACGAAAATTCTATTGTCTATGTGCTATGGTAGCGCTCGATTTTTTTCACAAATTTTAGAGTGCTCGGCATGGCACCGCGAAATTTTTTTCTATCGCTATAAAGTATCAATGATTTTTATCACGTGGTGACCCCCACTGTCGCTTCACTGTAGAGTTTCGACGATACAGGGGAGCCGCGCACTCGTGCGCGGCGGGTCATACAACGTATGACAATCAATGAACAAACCTGTTTTGGCACAAGAACAAAGAAAAGTGTTAAATGGAATAATTGAGCAATATTTTAACACTTTTTGGACCAAAATATTTCTTTTTAAACCCATAAAAAGCCAAATCATTTTTGCGCGCAAAATCACGTAATTTTTCGAAAATTTTACTGTGTAAAAAATACCAGTCGCATCTAACGATGAGCTTTACCATTTCATATTTACTTTTGCCTAACTAATAACTATTTACAAAGCATGCTTGGAAGTCGGAAGACTTCGCCGCTTCATATCATACGTTGTATGACCCGCCGCGCAAGAGTGCGCGGCTCCCCTGTATCGTAGAAACTCTATAGTGAAACGACCGTGGGGGTCATGACGTGATGCAAGCCGCTTCGACTCGTACTCGCCGCGAGAACTATCACATATCATTTTTGTTTTTGCTTCTTGCTTTTCACATAGCCATGTGTCTACGCGGTCGCGCGCTACTGCAAGCGAGAGGGCTCTGGTTAGAGCAATTTTGCTTCGTAGATTGTTATCATTCATTGTAGACCCGCCGCGCACGAGTGCGCGGCTGTATCGTACTAGTCACGATACATTTAGTGAAACGACAACGGGTCACGACGACACGACGTGATACAAATAGATTGTTGCTCTGCAAAGCGAACAATGTCAACCCTTTTGAAGGGCCGGATTGACATCGTCAATCAAAAGTTGTGCGTGTCCTTATCACCTACCTTTTCGAGATCCTGCATTACACATGAAAGAAGCAAGCAATAGATTGACCATTGTTAATGGTCTAGCCCGGCGCGCGCTACCGGCTACTTCCAACTTCGAAGAAATTAAGACAAGTAACATCCGTCAAGCAATAAACTATGAAATAGCAAGCTAGGTAACCAAACTATAGCTTTCGTGTAGTACTACTTGCTTTATCCAGAGCCCTAGCGCAATTGCAGTAGTGCGCCCCGCCTCTAACCTCTTTACTTGTGAAACAAGCGCGCCCGCAAAGGCGCACATGGTTAGGTGAAGCGTATTACGTGACGCTCTTGTTTCACAATATCCGAAATCGGTGCGGCTGGCGCGGGCTTTAAATTTGATTAGACTATAATGATTTGCTACCCGTATATCTAGTCCGAGTCCGGTAACACTGCACGGATCACTAAAGGGTGGTAACACCATAAAGCCGTTATATATATATATATATACAATTTTATTTATTGCTCGTCAGTGTATCCATTGAGGGATTGTCACACGTTGTAGACCTGCCGCCCACGAGTGCTTGGCTAGGCTGTATCGTTGTATGTTGTAGGTTTATAACTTACCAAGACGTGCCGAGTTGGACTCGTCGACGGTCTTGGAACAAATATGAAATATTTTACGAGCATCACCCATTGACTGTATCGTGGTTTTCTAAATGCGATAATGCATTGGTGATGTTAAGATGAAAGAGAAAGTGTTGAGATGAAAGATGAACTGTTGAAATTGAGATGAAAGAGAAAGAGGCTCCACTCATTTACTTCAATGTCTTGACAATAACATTCAAGTTAATTTAAACAACTGGCTCTGAATCCTTGCTAAATAATTTGGGAAGGTGTAGGGGCTATATATACCTGTAGACATCATTTTCAGCGCTCCTACTAAATCGCTCGCCCAAATTTTAAGAAAATTCTTGTGAAAAGGCCCTTTAGGCATGAAAGTGATCTAGATCGGTGTATTTTTGGACGCTGATTCCGAATCACCCCCCATGATGTAGGGTTAAAATGCTTCCCTGGAGAGTTATGGGCAAAAAACCGTTTTGGTCACGTGACAGGCTAGTAAAACGTGAATTCGATTATTTAGGGCTCGGGTTAGGGTTGTGGTTAAGATTATGGATAGCTTCGGGGTTATGGTAAGGGTTAGGGTTGGGATTAGGGTTTAGTAGAGGCTCTTACGGGCAAAATGACGTGTTTTCTGCTACGAGTTTAGAGACCTTACCGCTAATTGGACACAATAGTATGATGTCTAAGGATCGATAATATGTTAAGAAGTATAAATTTGGCATTATTAGTCACGTGCTATACCAATGCGCGTTTTAAACTTTGACAGTCTATTACTCTAAGGCAAACAGAGTAATTATATTTATATTTTGTCAGCAATAAGATCACATTATTTTCTATTTGGTGTGAAAATATGAGCTAGAACGGACATAATCTCGCTGAGTTATAGCTGTTTGAAATTTATGATGAACGCGCGGGTGCCAATTGATAACAACTAAATGCTTTTGCGCGTAGTGCGCGTCGAAAATTTGGCAAAAACGCTTGCGGAGTGACAATATTCAAACTTCGATAAAGTATATAAAGTGGGTACTTCTCGGAAATGAAAAATTTAGGCAAACACGATGTGACTATTTTTGGGCTGATTTAATACAACTGCAAAAAATTATTCAAACTTAAAGCAAAAAAGTCAAAATTTTTACCACTTTTTTGGATTTTTACCCCCAAAAAAATAGAGGGATTTTTAAAATTTTTATATCATCTTGTGCGGCTGTGTTTTAGCTATCTCCATGCAAGTTTCGCCGACATGGCAACAAAATTAACTTGTTCAAAATATCAAAAAACATGGTTTTTTGGCCTATTTTTTGCCCAAAAATCGGTTTTTTTGCAATTTTACCCCCAAAAAGTCAGTCCAATCATTTTAAAACCACTTTTAATCGATTTTACGGTCAAAAATACGTCTAGTAAGGTGTATCTGGGGTCCATAGCGTATCGAGCAGACAATGCCCGTAAGAGCCTCTACTAGTTTATGTAAAACCGTTTTGTACGGCTGCAAAACCAAAAAAACCAAAGTCACGTGAAATTTTTAGGCGAGCGATTTAGTAAGAGCCGATTATTTCAGTCCCAAAATATACCCTAATAGTACAGACAGATCCGTCTGAAAAAATCGATCTGCCGACACACAAAGCTTACAAAGGATTTTTGACGTTTTTGAGTCCTAATAGATGTTCTTTATGGCTGACCAACTTTTCCAAACTTTTCCACGTGTCTTAAGGCCACTTTTTGCCACTTTACCACTTTTTACCACCTTTCTTGTTTGTCGAATATCTTTAGTTGTGAACATCGTAAAAGGTTGCGGATCAATCGAGTGTGTTCATATTACAATGAAGAAAAACTCTTGTTATAACAATTTTTACGTCAGATAATCAGTTAATTGGATAATTATCAATTAGCTAATTAGCAAAATTCTAAAAATTTTTTATTGGCTCAAAATGATCGGAATAGCTTAAAACACGGAGAAAAGTAGTTTTTAGAAAAACTTTGAAAATTTTTCACTTACATTTTTTTTCGAGACTTGGAAAAATTTCGAAAATTCAAAATATTTTTTTCCGCCAAAAGTGATCAAATTGCATGAAACGCGGAGAAAAATGCTTTTCAAAAAAACTTAGTGAATTTTTCGTTTCAAGAATACTGAAATCACCAATATTTGTAGTTGGAGTTCAGGTAAATCGCGGCAGATTTTAGTAATGAGAAATTACTAAGTGGAAAGGTCTGAAACTGAAAAACGTTAACCATACGATATAAGAGTTTCATGACTAATTACAATACAGCCTTATCGATTTTCACAGAAACTGCACCAATGGCACAGTCAAGATCGAAAGACGAAACGATAGCCTGCTGTACTATCATTTTATTGATTTCAATGATGAATCAGTGGGGTTAAGATAATCACATTTGTAATAAATAAAACCTCTCTGTACCGTCAATTGTGCTAATCTAAACCGGCCTACCTGGATTACCAGACCTCTTCTTTTCCTCAACAATCAAACCAAGTTGTTCATATAGCATTTGGTGGGCGATGTAAGTACTTATCGAGCTGTATTCAATCACAATACGACACAATACGTGTATATTATATGGCTCTTAATGAGGTTTATGAAACGCTTAATACCGTGAGAAACCCGGTATAGAGACGTTTTACAGTTTATCACGAAAACGTATACTTGGCCTCATGGCTCATTTACAGTTCGAAGAAGGCAAGAACAGACCAAGGAAACTAAGGAACAGCCAGATCCAGGAAGCAAGTTTAAATACACCTTCCAACATCTACTGTGACTTGTTTTGTATTGTACTGCATACCGCTTCATTTGCTATGCGGTATAAAATCACCCCCATATGTCAGGGTCGGCTAAAAGTAAAATCAACAAGGGTAACATACGGGCAAGGATAAGATTTAGATACGAGCGTCGGGCAAGGGGTAGTAAAGAACCGGTAATAATTCATTCAGTAAAATGTTCCACGAGAGTCAGGATATTTTGGAAATTGCTAATAGAGACAGATCCTGATCAGGAAGGATTGTTAATGTTATTGAGGATGTTGATTTGAAATCTGGACGTTGTGAAGTAAAAATACAGGTTCTTCCCGCAGGATATTCGGGGCCCATTATGATCAGCTCGGGACAGATCGAAGAGCATTGAAAAGAGCGAGTTGACATTTTAAGCTTTCTGGTCTTTTCTTGCCTTCTTTGAGCTGTCAAAGAGTTATGAGGCCAAGTATACGTTTTCGTGATAAACTGTAAAACGTCTCTATACCGGGTTTCTCACGGTATTAAGCGTTTCATAAACCTCATTAAGAGCCATATAATATACACGTATTGTGTCGTATTGTGATTGAATACAGCTCGATATGTACTTAAATCGCCCACCAAATGCGATATGAACAACTTGGCTTCATTGTTGAGGAAAAGAAGAGGTCTGGTAATCCAGGTAGGCCGGTTTAGATTAGCACAATTGATGGTACAGAGAGGTTTTATTTATTACAAATGTGATTATCTTAACCCCACTGATTCATCATTGAAATCAATAAAATGATAGTACAGCAGGCTATCGTTTCGTCTTTCGATCTTGACTGTGCCATTGGTGCAGTTTCTGTGAAAATCGATAAGGCTGTATTGTAATTAGTCATGAAACTCTTATATCGTATGGTTAACGTTTTTCAGTTTCAGACCTTTCCACTTAGTAATTTCTCATTACTAAAATCTGCCGCGATTTACCTGAACTCCAACTACAAATATTGGTGATTTCATTATTCTTGAAACGAAAAATTCACTAAGTTTTTTTGAAAAGCATTTTTCTCCGCGTTTCATGCAATTTGATTACTTTTGGCGGAAAAAAATATTTTGAATTTTCGAAATTTTTCCAAGTCTCGAAAAAAAATGTAAGTGAAAAATTTTCAAAGTTTTTCTAAAAACTACTTTTCTCCGTGTTTTAAGCTATTCCGATCATTTTGAGCCAATAAAAAATTTTTAGAATTTTGCTAATTAGCTAATTGATAATTATCCAATTAACTGATTATCTGACGTAAAAATTGTTATAACAAGAGTTTTTCTTCATTGTAATATGAACACACTCGATTGATCCGCAACCTTTTACGATGTTCACAACTAAAGATATTCGACAAACAAGAAAGGTGGTAAAAAGTGGTAAAGTGGCAAAAAGTGGCCTTAAGACACGTGGAAAAGTTTGGAAAAGTTGGTCAGCCATAAAGGACATCTATTAGGACTCAAAAACGTCAAAAATCCTTTGTAAGCTTTGTGTGTCGGCAGATCGATTTTTTCAGACGGATCTGTCTGTACTATAATCATAAACGCCATAAAACCTTTTCATACGTTGTATGTCCCGCCGCGCACGAGTGCGCGGCTCCCCTGTATCGTAGAAACTCTACACTAGTGAAACGACGATAGGGGTCACGACGTGATACAAATAAAACCCACTGAAAATGGGCTCTTACTAAATCGCTCGCCCAAAAATTTCACGTGACTTTGGTTTTTTTGGTTTTGCAGCCGTACAAAACGGTTTTACATAAACCCTAATCCCAACCCTAACCCTTACCATAACCCCGAAGCTATCCATAATCTTAACTACAACCCTAGGCCTAACTCTAACCCGAGCCCTAAATAATCGAATTCACGTTTTATTAGCCTGTCACGTGACCAAAACGGTTTTTTGCCCATAACTCTCCAGGGAAGCATTTTAACCCTACATCATGGGGGGTGATTCGGAATCAGCGTCCAAAAATACACCGATTTAGATCACTTTCATGCCTAAAGGGCCTTTTCACAAGAATTTTCTTAAAATTTGGGCGAGCGATTTAGTAGGAGCGGAAATAATCACAAGACCTTCGCACTTCGACGTTTCAACTCTTACAATTTTTTAATTCAGCAATGCGTAACAGCTTTTATTAATTGTAAAATGAATCCCTCTCTGCTTTCATGCACGCAATACGACATCATCCAATTTAATTGGGCTGCGGTACCGCACACGAAAAATTATTCTTGCTAGTGCTACCACAAGATCGTCAATCAATATTCAATGGTGAATGGTACTGGTAGTGCCAGTGGGAATACTTCCTATGAAGTGAAAAGCGAGTAATTGTCAATGATTTAAAAAAAAATGCTTCAATTGATATGATAAATTACAATTTTACAATTTTAATTTCATTCTTTAATGTTTAAAATTAAACAAATAAGTTAATTTGGGCTTTATTTATTAACCTCTGAGCACGCCTGGTAAAACAAATTGCGAATAAAAGTGAAACATTGTGTCACAGATAAAATCACGACCTGCAAACTGCTTGACACACGAGAGAGGTATTAACGGGTGATACTCGTAAAATATTTGTTTCAAATATTAAGTCCAACTCGGCGCGGGTCCTGGTAGGTTATAAACCTACAACTACAAGAGAGGTATACAACGTATGACAACACACAGCAGCAGTTATCGCCACAGGGTCAGCAGCTAACCCCGTTATACTGGAGACCATAAAAAAGAAGGGAAATAAGTTCACCTGCTCCTATGGTGAGGAGAAAACTGCACTTACGGAAGCCCTGAAATGGATGACAGAGAACCAGAAGTATGATGACACCATCATATGCTCTGATAGCCAGGCATTACTGACTAGCATCGATAGCCTGAACCCAGACACACAGGATATCAGGAAAACTCTGGAATCACTCCATGGGACAACGTACCTGCACTGGATTCCCGGCCACTCCAACATTCCTGGGAACGCTGACCAAGCAGCAAAGGAAGCAGCACAACTCCCGGACCTGGGCCAAGGACAGTCTACAATCTCATACGGAGTAGCCAGAGCAGTAGCAAAGGCTCACATCAAGGATAGCGACCCCCAACACCACCTGGTCTCCCAGACTTACAAGGGATACAACAGAAAAAGAGCGGACAGTAAAATAGAGAGCAGGAAAGACGGAGCGCTGCTAGCACAACTCAGAGCAGGCCATTGCCTTCACCTGTCCCACTACAAAAATAGGATCGACTCTACAAAGAGTGCAACTTGTCCCCGTTGCGGAGAAGAAGAAGAAACAGTACCACACTGGATTCGGTGCCCTGCAACGATCAGGACGAGAGAAGAAATCTTCGGAAAATCTGACTTAAACTTGGACATACTAGCCCATCACCACCGCGCCTAGCCCATCACCACCACCACCACAACACACAGCATAATGGGGCGGGTTTTCAAAATTCCGCCGAATTTACCCGTCCATAATTCTCCTAGCCGTTGATAAAATATCTGATGCATTTCAGTATTTGAAGTATGTACAATGTAGTAGTAGTGCCTCAAATCTGTCGAGAAATCGCGCACCCAGCAGTCATGAATAGTCTCTGCAATGAGGCGACTGTGTAAGTACTGGACAATGCTCTCAACGCATCGGTCACACTCACAGTGACTTTTCAAATGAAAGTAACTTCGGGAGTCCATCAGCAGTATCCGGGACCAGTTTGTCGGTATCCTCACACTCAGCTGTTAGCTGTATCAGGAACTGGTTCTGTTTCCGGTTAGTTATCTTGGAGAAGAAAATTCCGTAACAAAGATAAACGACAAGTCCCACGGCGGCGTATATGGATAGTTGCTGCAAAGCAACAGGTTTCAGGTGAAGCAGCAGGAGCAGGTTGATTAAGATTGAGAATCCCTGGACAAACGGCTTAAAGGGACTTTTAAAAGAGAGGGAATCCTCCCCTTCTTTTAGAGGGATGTTGAGCCGGATCAAAGAGAGGCTAGTAAGTATCATGAGAAACAGGACACACTCCATACAGATTATCAAGGTGGTTTGGGTGAAGTAAGTTAGGAGACATGAAAGGAGTATAGCTGATAGGAAGAACACAGTCTGGCAGATGATGAAGTGTCTCTTTCGTGAGGTGCTAATGTTGAAGCGACCTTGTGGCAGAGGTATTAGCCGTGTTTTCTCCGACTTAGTCACCGGTAACTCCCGGTCGCTGGTGTCGTAGGAGAGGATCATCACAGCTACTGCTGTCAGCATGAACACCATCAGTGTGCCGCCCGAGATCTGCAAAGTTCTATGTTAGTATCAGTTAGCATCAGTGTGCCGCCCGAGATCTGGAGAGTTCTATGTTAGTAGAGTTGATCTGTACATTTCAAAATAGCACCCTCAACCCTGCGAATTAACGTCAGCCGGAAGGGATCACTTTCCTGAAATACCTTAACTCAAACTACTGCATTACAACGATTCAGAACACAATTTTAATTTACCATATGACTCAGAGTATCAAAATCGTAAACAATGCTGGTCCCAATACCCAGGATCCCGCACACAAGCACATTCCACATGGGAACCTGGGTCCTCTTGTTAACAACGCTAAGAAAAGAGAAGACCAGACCATCTTCAGCTACTGAATACACCACTCGGACCACTGTTGTCAGGTTGCAGAGTCCGCAGGCAAATACAGTGAATATCAGACCAACTGTTAGGATGTACTCTGCTGCTTTGAAACCTGGACAAAATGTTATGTTTAGTAACCTAGATATTAGTATTACAAGTAAAGCTTGTCATGATGCAGTGATCAAAGCTGGGTGTTAACCTTAGTTATAGGAACATACTTCTATTTAGATAATAGACATACTTGTTTTAAGAGTTAAGAGTCAACATTAAGTTTTACCTCTGTTTCGAAGTGAACCAATAAGCCCCGTGTTCCCACTAAGTTCATACCAAGGCACAAAGAAAGCAATTGAAAATGCAGTGAGCACATAAAGCACCAGCACCATCAAGAAGGAACCAATAGTAGCCCTGGGCAGATCCCTCTTAGGATTAACCGCCTCCTCCCCCAGGGTTACAACTGCTTCCAGTCCTACAAAGGCGAAGAATGCAATCCCAGCACCGGACAAGATGCCCGAGAAGCCGAAGGGAGCAAATCCCGTTCTTCCGTCTTCCGGGTTAACGACTTTGTATAGATTCTCTACACTGCCTTTAGCAAGAGCTACTCCACAGAAGGTAAAGAGAGTGAGCACGGACACACCCGCTATTGCTATGTTGATATAAGCAACAATCTTAATCCCATACAAGTTGATAACAGTGAAACAGACCATAGTTCCGATAGCTATCAGTTCTGTGTTGAGGAACCAGGCGGGGAAGTACTCCCCCTCCCAAGCATGGACAGTCCCGTTAAAGATAAAGAGGTCGATGTTGTCAGCTAACCCCAGGGTTAACATGGGGGACTGAATGATCAACTCTCCGATCAGGAAGAAACCGATTATTGCTGCAGCACATTCTCCAAGTGAGAAGTAAGTGTAAACGTAAGCTGAACCGGAGCACGAATACCTGAAATTAGAAATGTTAAACAGTAGGCAGTTAAACAAGTTATACAGTGGGCAGTTAAACATGTTAAACAGTGGGCAGGGGTCTCGTTACCTGGGGACCCCAGTAAGTGTCTTGGAAACCATGTCAAATTAGGGAAACTATTAATAGTATTATCACACGGTCAGACAAACCTAGAAGCAAGATCCGAGTAGCAGATTACAGACAAGCCAGCAGCTAGTCCAGATAGAAGATAGCTGATACAGGTGGCAGGTCCTGCCACTGACTGTATAATCGAAGGTGTTATCACAAATATCCCTGAAATCGTGATTTGAACGGTGTTACCATGACAACTAGACAATTAACGGTGAAAATAGAATTGTAATTGTTAGCAGCTAAAGTTTCTGTTTTGTGAGTAAATAATTGTTTTCACAAACAAATTTCCCAATGATAGAACTAGAAGTGGGTACCTGCACCGAGCACGTGAGCATCCCTCTGATGGAGCCCCCCCCTCAGCACTAACCTGCACCGAGCATGTGAGCCCCCCCCCCTCAGCACTAACCTGCACCGAGCATGTGAGCCCCCCCCCCCCTCAGCACTAACCTGCACCGGGCATGTGAGCATCCCTCTGATGGAGCCCCCCCCCCTCAGCACTAACCTGCACCGAGCATGTGAGCCCCCCTCTGATGGAGCCCCCCCCCTCAGCACTAACCTGCACCGAGCATGTGAGCATCCCTCTGATGGAGCCCCCCCCCTCAGCACTAACCTGCACCGAGCATGTGAGCCCCCCTCTGATGGAGCCCCCCCCCTCAGCACTAACCTGCACCGAGCATGTGAGCCCCCCTCTGATGGAGCCCCCCCCCCCCCTCAGCACTAACCTGCACCGAGCATGTGAGCCCCCCTCTGATGGAGCCCCCCCCCTCAGCACTAACCTGCACCGAGCATGTGAGCATCCCTCTGATGGAGCCCCCCCCCTCAGCACTAACCTGCACCGAGCATGTGAGCCCCCCTCTGATGGAGCCCCCCCCCCCCCCTTCAGCACTAACCTGCACCGAGCATGTGAGCCCCCCTCTGATGGAGCCCCCCCCCCTCAGCACTAACCTGCACCGAGCATGTGAGCCCCCCTCTGATGGAGCCCCCCCCCCCTCAGCACTAACCTGCACCGAGCATGTGAGCATCCCTCTGATGGAGCCCCCCCCCTCAGCACTAACCTGCACCGAGCATGTGAGCCCCCTCTGATGGAGCCCCCCCCCTCAGCACTAACCTGCACCGAGCATGTGAGCCCCCCTCTGATGGAGCCCACCCTCAGTACTAACCTGCACCGAGCATGTGAGCCCCCCTCTGATGGAGCCCACCCTCAGTACTAACCTGCACCGAGCATGTGAGCCCCCCTTTGATGGAGCCCCCCCCCCTCAGCACTAACCTGCACCGAGCATGTGAGCCCCCCTCTGATGGAGCCCCCCCCCCCTCAGCACTAACCTGCACCGAGCATGTGAGCCCCCCTCTGATGGAGCCCCCCCCCTCATCACTAACCTGCACCGAGCATGTGAGCCCCCCTCTGATGGAGCCCCCCCCCCCCTCAGCACTAACCTGCACCGAGCATGTGAGCCCCCCTCTGATGGAGCCCCCCCCCCTCAGCACTAACCTGCACCGAGCATGTGAGCCCCCCTCTGATGGAGCCCCCCCCCCCCCTCAGCACTAACCTGCACCGAGCATGTGAGCCCCCTCTGATGGAGCCCCCCCCCCCCCCCCCCTCAGCACTAACCTGCACCGAGCATGTGAGCCCCCCTCTGATGGAGCCCACCCTCAGTACTAACCTGCACCGAGCATGTGAGCCCCCCTCTGATGGAGCCCCCCCCCCCCCCTCAGCACTAACCTGCACCGAGCATGTGAGCCCCCCTCAGCACTAACCTGCACCGAGCATGTGAGCCCCCCTCTGATGGAGCCCCCCCCCCCTCAGCACTAACCTGCACCGAGCATGTGAGCCCCCTCTGATGGTGCCCCCCCCCCCCCCTCAGCACTAACCTGCACCGAGCATGTGAGCCCCCCTCTGATGGAGCCCCCCCCTCCGCACTAACCTGCACCGAGCATGTGAGCGAGACCCTGTACCATGAGAGGGAACAAAGTCAGGCACCTCTTGAGCTCTGTCTTTTCTCCTGTGTCCGCTGTTTTTACTTGGAACAGTCTCTCCAGAACACCAGGTGGTCGGAAGTTGTAACCCATTCTCCTGCTCTAGAGAGAGGTTTATTGAACTACACTTGTAGCACTAGCATATTAATTAATCAGTCCCATTCCCAGCCAATTGTAAGCGCGGCACCCGAATAACCCTGTTTTGCCTAACAATTAGCCAGTAAAAACGGTTTTGACTTTTGATCAGTTACTTCACAGGAAAATTACATTTAACCATCATACTGTGGGGCAAAAATAAAAAAGCACATAATTATACAAGATGTTCAAAACTGTTTTAGATCAACTGAGAATGTAAAGGACACAAAGCACTCAGGATGAAGAAAGGAGTCCGAGTAGTTTTTACTACTTGTTGTAGTAGTTCAACAGTAAAAAACACTACTAAAACACTGTAAAAGGCTTCTGAGTAAAGAAAATCTGTTCGCCTGGACGATACAATGCAAATGTGCGAGTAACTTTAAATCTGTCAAATATCTCTGGTTATCCTAAGTAACAGAGACACAGCAGTGAACAGTACTGTGTTAACCAATGTTAGATGGACAAATAAAAATCGGCTGGCTTCGTTTCAAATGATACGCGAGAGTTAAGTAGGAAGAAGAATGCAGTACGTAGCTAAGACTAAGAGTAAGCGTTCCATATTCTGAGAAAGTTTTAGTTTCCTAGATTCCTAGTATAACAAGTATAGTGAGCTGGGGTTTGGAGAATGCTAAAATCACGTCTCTCCAATTAGTCGAGTAGCTTTCTCGGAAATCAGCAAATTATACAGGAATTAGTGGGAAATTGTCATGAAGACGGGTGAAGCAAGCCTGAGAGTGAGAGCACACCATCAACTATCCCATACATTCTTTGGAATAATATTCGGTCTTTCGGGGAACCTAATAAAACAATAATTGATAACTGTTTCAAAGCCCTTAAGGGTGGCCCTCGGGTCTTTAAAATAAAAAAGTTTTATAAATGATTGCTTTATTAAATTCCCCGAAAGATGGTGAAAATGTCAGAATTAATGATTTAATTCTGATATATCATTCGTTTCCTTATTTGTGTACCGATTGCTGATCATTATTAGTTCCAAAATATTCGTAGTACAATTTTCATATCCAATTTTGTTCGAGCACGAGCCGGCCAACAAAGGATACTCAGAAATTTGATGTTCAGTTGATTTATAAAATAAATTATTTAGTAAAACAATAGTATAGTATCATGTATAGCAACAACAAATAAGGTCAGCATTCAATATCTGTAAAAGTATTTAAAGAAAGTTAATCCGTCAAGGTGATATTTGTCTTTTAATTGAATGTTAATTAATTACTATCTCGTAGTAACGTGTGAGAGTTCATCAGCTTACAACAATTCACATTAATTAAACCCACAAAATGATGTCAATATTCTATCTGGTAAGTGTCTGACAGCTCAGTAACCATGGTAACAGCAGCTCAGGTGAACTGCTGATCGAAGAAGGAAGTTTGACTGAAGCCAGGGTTCGAAGGGGGTAGGGACATGTTTCCAGAGGAAATGGGAGCCATGGAAACGGGCAGGGACATTGGGGGTCGCTGTGCCATCATCTGAAGGAAGGGGAGTTAGCTTAGTTAAGATACGTTCTGACTGAGATTGGTGCACTAATGTCATAAGTTTATTTTACTACCTTAGACACGCCTCCACGTTAAAAACACCATAAATCAGAGATAAGAACAAAGGTAGGAATCTAAAAGAGAAATTACCGGTCTGTGCAGGAACTGATGAGGGGGAGGCTGGTTCATCATGCCAGGGTTCATCATGTTTCCTCCTCCTTCCATACCGGCACCAGCCAGGTTAGGGTTAGCTAAGTGTTGCTGAAGATAAGGAGGGGGAGCCTGTGCTCCGGGACCGGTGGGAGGCTGACCGTTACCATGGTTACCAGGAGGCTGAGCTGTCTGGAACACCATGCCTGGGTGACCCTGAAGCCGGACCTTCTGCTGCTGACTCTCCATCAGCTGTCTCTTCTGTTCCTCAGTCATCCTCTGGGGTATCATCATTCTCTGTCCGGAGTACTGGGTCCTCACCATACCACCTAGGAGATTAGGTAACCATGGTAACGGTAGTAGTTTCATCACAAGCATTATTATATATCTACAGGGTGTACAAAAAAGGTAACAAAATGACTTCAGTTAAAAACTCGACAACTAGGACGTGCCCATGTTAAAGTGAGTATCAATCATGACGTGTTCCGCCCTCGTTTCCCCTTTTTAGGAAAATACCGCACTCGTTTCCCCTTTTTAGGAAAATACCGCCCTCGTTTCCCCTTTTTAGGAAAATACCGCCCTCGTTTCCGCTGCCTTCCTGTCCTATACCCGCTATTTAGTCAGTGGGCGTAGTGAGCTGTTAATCAGATCCTGCTGCTGGAAGTCAGGTGACAGCAGGTCAGGGTGCTGCAAACCACTAATAGGGTGCCCTAGACAGTCTAATTAGGTTCCTACTTCCTAATCAACAGGCGACACCCGCGATGAAATGCTCATTACACGACCCCCAAATAAGGTGGTTATTCAAGCTCAGCATTGCCTACAGTAACCATAGTAACCATAGTAACATTGCATGATCTTTAGTTCAGGGACCAACCACAAGCCAATAAAGAGAGTAGGAGTGTTGTCTAGACTTACCAGGGTTATCTATAAAGTTAGCAGGAGTGTTGTCGAATATCTGCTGTTGCCCGGTAACAGTCGGGGTGAATTGAGGCTTGCTACCAGCTCCCTGATCAAACGGGAACTGACCGGGAACTTGCTGCGACAAATTGGAAGTTAGTTGAACGGGCTTCAAGCTGAGTTTTTATTGTCAAAATCAAAATTATCCGAACAAGAATAAATTCTTTTGAAATTAAGGAAGCAAGAAAGTGTACCCACTTCGTGAGGATTGAAGTTAGGTACCGGGCCTTGCTGGGTAATAGTACCCACTTCGTGAGGGTTGAAGTTAGGTACAGGACCCTGTTGGGTAATAGTCACGTTTGGGGCTGGTGCTCCCATAATCCCAGAGAAGTGGGCAGCTTGCATCGGTCTGATCATTCTTGGTTGTCCGGCCTAGAGGGATTTGGTTCGAAGATTTGAGGTGTTTTCCAGAAATATCACTTAACTTTTCAGCAAATCAGGACCTCATGTTACTTAGCATTGGATTCAAAGAATTGAACTAAAACTGCTAAAGTAAACGATTATCAACCATCATTAGAGGAGGGCGAGTCTGAAAGTTGAGGAACTGCTGCGGAGGAACCCCCTGGGGCTCTACTTTAGGTTTAGGGGCGTTGGGAATGGTGACTTGTTCGTGCTCCAGAGAGGGAAGCTCGTGGGCGTGTCCTCGCAAACTCACAATTAACCGTTCCTGAATTAACAACTTGGTGAGAAACACGTCTCTCACGTGACATATCATGAAGCAAAAAGTAAATTATGGTGGACACAAAGCACGTGTTGCTGCGCATAAAGCACGTGTTGCTGCGCACAAAGCACATGTTGCTGCGCACAAAGCACGTGCTACTGCGCACAAAGCACGTGCTACTGCGCACAAAGCATGTGTTGCTGCGCACAAAGCACGTGCTACTGCGCACAAAGCAGGTGTTGCTGCGCACAAAGCACGTGCTACTGCGCACAAAGCACGTGTTGCTGCACACAAAGCACGTGTTCCTGGCTGTGAAAAGTACAAACCTCCATTTTGTCGGGTTGTCTGTCGTATCTGACACCGCCCAGTTCCTGCCAAGGTACAACATTGCATCCTCCTTTAGCGCCTTCAACCAGTTCCCATGGGGACACACTGTGTTTACTGACTGGCACGTACCCTTCAGGCTTTAACTCTGAAACAAAGACACTAGTTGGTACTTCGCAAGTACATCTTCATAGATTCAACATTAGACACACGTCAACTGTCAACTGTGTGCACTTGTTCAACAGTTCTTGTAACAGAAATATGTTAACATGTACGTCATATTGTGTGGAGCTCCTCAATCAATCATGTTCCATGCTAAATACTTCCAGGATTGTCAGTTAAGTTTTGAGTCAGTGCCGAAATTGCAACCACAAACTTGTCAAAAAGTGGCTTGACAAGTGACGACTCTGCTTAACGACGTAACCATATTAACTGAAAAGCCTGGAAGTATTTACCACGCGAGAAAGTTGACGGCTGAGTTCAGAGCTGCGGTGAAAATGTCGTAGATCTTAGGGATTTAAACATTTCACTTAGCATCACACACTTAGGGTACCGAATAAATTGTTGAGCTTCAAACATAGCTGTCAGAATTGACGGGGTTGATGACGCGAAGATAACTTAACCAATCAAATATTTGAAATGTCGCCTGGCTGCTCGAATATCAAATCGGTTCTAAACAAACATTATAATACCTTCTCCTTGGCTTCTCCAATATTTAAATTAAATACCTCCTCTGTAAATCTCCGTACAGAGATTTAAAACTCAGCATGGTGTTATAATACTAAATTAGAAGAATAATATAATAAGTCTCTGCAACAAGTTTATATAAGTCTCTCATTTAAACACCAGACATTACATCGTCAATTTAAATAAAAAATATTTTTAAGAGGTCAATTTTAAAAATATGGCTTGACCTATTAAAAATTCAGATAAATGATTCAGATTCTAGCTACCGATTGGCTCGATTTCTGAGACAGGCGCTAAATTTACGGGTGGTGGGAGTTACTAGTTACTCTAGTTACTAGTTAGTTAGTTACCCTAGTTACTAGTTAGTCAAGCTATTAAGGGCATATTATACTAAGTTATCTTCAGTAGAATAGCTGTAACATTCGTTATTCAAATATTCATACAATTAGTATTCTTTGAAATGAAATGAAATGCATCCGCTGATATGTTAACCAATATTATGAAAATAAAATTTGCCGATGGCAAAGGGGCTGGCCTAGCGAAAAAAAGTAACACTCTTTTTAGTGACAGGAAGCGGTTTAAAGTGACAATTTTACTGATTACATCCATTTCCTCAAATTGTTTGCTCTCGAATAAAATTGTAGTGTTGGAAGCATTTTTTTAAATGACACTAATGGCACTGGGGGAGGAGGGCACTGGGGGAGGAGGGCACTGGGGGAGGAGGGCACTGGGGGAGGAGGGCACTGGGGGAGGAGGGCACTGGGGGAGGAGGGCACTGGGGGAGGAGGGCACTGGGGGAGAGGGCACTGGGGGAGGAGGGCACTGGGGGAGGAGGGCACTGGGGGAGGAGGGCACTGGGGGAGGAGGGCACTGGGGGAGAGGGCACTGGGGGAGGGGGGCACTGGGGGAGGAGGGCACTGGGGGAGGAGGGCACTGGGGGAGGAGGGCACTGGGGGAAGAGGGCACTGGGGGAGGAGGGCACTGGGGGAGGAGGGCACTGGGGGAGGAGGGCACTGGGGGAGGAGGGCACTGGGGGAGGAGGGCATTGGGAGAGGAGGGCACTGGAAGAGGAGGGCACTGGGGGAGGAGGGCACTGGAGGAGGGGGGCACTGAGGGAGGAGGGCACTGGGGGAGGAGGGCACTGGGGAGGAGGGCACTGGGGAGGAGGGCACTGGGGAGGAGGGCACTGGGTAGGAGGGCACTGGGGGAGGAGGGCACTGGGGGAGGGGGGCACTGGGGGAGGGGGGCACTGGGGGAAGGAGGGCACTGGGTAGGAGGGCACTGGGGAGGAGGGCACTGGGGAGGAGGGCACTGGGGGAAGAGGGCACTGGGGAGGAGGGCACTGGGGAGGATGGCACTGGGGAGGAGGGCACTGGGGGAGGAGGGCACTGGGGGAGGAGGGCACTGGGGGAGGGGGGCACTGGGGGAAGGAGGGCACTGGGTAGGAGGGCACTGGGGAGGAGGGCACTGGGGAGGAGGGCACTGGGGGAAGAGGGCACTGGGGAGGAGGGCACTGGGGAGGATGGCACTGGGGAGGAGGGCACTGGGGGAGGAGGGCACTGGGGGAGGAGGGCACTGGGGGAGGAGGGCAATGGGGGAAGAGGGCACGGGGGGAGGAGGGCACTGGGGGAGGATGGCACTGGGAGAGGAGGGCACTAGGGGAGGAGGGCACTGGGGGAGGAGGGCACTGGGGGAGGAGGGCACTGGGAGAGGAGGGCACTGGGAGAGGAGGGCACTGGGGGATGAGGGCACTGGGGGAGGGGACACTGGGGAGGAGGGCACTGGGGAGGAGGGCACTGGGGAGGAGGGCACTGGGGAAGAGGGCACTGGGGGAGGAGGGCACTGGGCAGTGCTTATTACCTGGATAGAGCGTCTCGAACTGCGGGGTTGGTCTCTGGGACCACTCTTCGTTAACGCTGGTGTGTTCGACTACTGTTATCTCCTGTTTGTACAGCGGGATCTTTAACAGCTGTCGTACCTGGTGCGGGTAACATTAGCAGGTATATCAACTATTTGAAATTCATTTATCAACTATTTTAAATTACACACCAACATACTTGAAATGTTGTGGACCGATATCTAAAAATGTTGCAAAATGCATTTTAATCTTCAGTTAAACGGCCACAGGCCACAGCAAAGTCGCGTCACTTTTTGCAGCGCACTCACTTAAATTCGTTTGACACATGAAAACGCCCTTAAACCTTATAGTTAAGACAAATATGGAAGAATTGTCGAAAGACCGCTAAATTTGGTTGTGCACGTTATTTCACTTAAATTAAAATTTATGAATAACTAAATATTGTCGTTATCAGATTTGACAAATGCGTTATTTCTTATAACCCAGACTGTGACTGGTGGCACTAATACTCTAACTCTCTAATACTCTTTATATGAGAATAACGTAAGATGCTAAAATAAGATATTGCTACAAGTCCTCCCTGCTACTAGTAGAGTACTATAGAGTACAATTAGTGTCAAGAAGAAGTTAGTTCTACGGTTTATAGTTTAATGTTTACTACACAGATATGAAGTAGATTACGTAACCTATAAAATTACAAATGCTGTACTTTCTAATGTAACGTTTCGTTATGTACTTTGTAAACGAGAAAGTATAATTTACAATAAACATAAATTAATTAAAAAGAACTGTAAAGCTGAGAAAATCGACGCACCTGCATATTGACGGGGTTATCAATATCGTGATCTCATTGCAGATCCTCTTGAAGAACATGGTCCTCGCGTTAACGTCCTCAGTGTTATAGCAACACGTCTCTAGAGGCTCCATCACAGTGGACAACATGTCCAGTACGGAGAAGAAGAGGATGCCCTCTCCCAGACGCGTACTGTCCACAGCGGGGTGCCGGACTAGACGTAGCAGCAGGATACCCCAGTCTAATCTCTGAGGGGAGGGAGGTTGTTAGTGTACTGTCCACAGCGGGGTGCCGGACTAGACGCAGCAGCAGGATACCCCAGTCTAATCTCTGAGGGGAGGGAGGTTGTTAGTGTACTGTCCACAGCGGGGTGCCGGACTAGACGCAGCAGCAGGATACCCCAGTCTAATCTCTGAGGGGAGGGAGGTTATTAGTGTACTGTCCACAGCGGGGTGCCGGACTAGACGTAGCAGCAGGATACCCCAGTCTAATCTCTGAGGGGAGGGGGGTTGTTAGTGTAGTGTCCACAGCGGGGTGCCGGACTAGACGTAGCAGCAGGATACCCCAGTCTAATCTCTGAGGGGAGGGAGGTTGTTAGTGTACTGTCCACAGCGGGGTGCCGGACTAGACGTAGCAGCAGGATACCCCAGTCTAATCTCTGAGGGGAGGGAGGTTGTTAGTGTACTGTCCACAGCGGGGTGCCGGACTAGACGTAGCAGCAGGATACCCCAGTCTAATCTCTGAGGGGAGGGAGGTTGTTAGTGTACTGTCCACAGCGGGGTGCCGGACTAGACGTAGCAGCAGGATACCCCAGTCTAATCTCTGAGGGGAGGGAGGTTGTTAGTGTACTGTCCACAGCGGGGTGCCGGACTAGACGTAACAGCAGGATACCCCAGTCTAATCTCTGAGGGGAGGGAGGTTGTTAGTGTACTGTCCACAGCGGGGTGCCGGACTAGACGTAGCAGCAGGATACCCCAGTCTAATCTCTGAGGGGAGGGAGTTTGTTAGTGTACTGTCCACAGCGGGGTGCCGGACTAGACGCAGCAGCAGGATACCCCAGTCTAATCTCTGAGGGGAGGGAGGTTGTTAGTGTACTGTCCACAGCGGGGTGCCGGACTAGACGTAGCAGCAGGATACCCCAGTCTAATCTCTGAGGGGAGGGAGGTTGTTAGTGTACTGTCCACAGCGGGGTGCCGGACTAGACGCAGCAGCAGGATACCCCAGTCTAATCTCTGAGGGGAGGGAGGTTGTTAGTGGACTGTCCACAGCGGGGTGCCGGACTAGACGTAGCAGCAGGATACCCCAGTCTAATCTCTGAGGGGAGGGAGGTTGTTAGTGTACTGTCCACAGCGGGGTGCCGGACTAGACGTAGCAGCAGGATACCCCAGTCTAATCTCTGAGGGGAGGGAGGTTGTTAGTGTACTGTCCACAGCGGGGTGCCGGACTAGACGTAGCAGCAGGATACCCCAGTCTAATCTCTGAGGGGAGGGGGGTTGTTAGTGTACTGTCCACAGCGGGGTGCCGGACTAGACGTAGCAGCAGGATACCCCAGTCTAATCTCTGAGGGGAGGGAGGTTGTTAGTGTACTGTCCACAGCGGGGTGCCGGACTAGACGTAGCAGCAGGATACCCCAGTCTAATCTCTGAGGGGAGGGAGGTTGTTAGTGTACTGTCCACAGCGGGGTGCCGGACTAGACGTAGCAGCAGGATACCCCAGTCTAATCTCTGAGGGGAGGGAGGTTGTTAGTGTACTGTCCACAGCGGGGTGCCGGACTAGACGTAGCAGCAGGATACCCCAGTCTAATCTCTGAGGGGAGGGAGGTTGTTAGTGTACTGTACACAGCGGGGTGCCGGACTAGACGTAGCAGCAGGATACCCCAGTCTAATCTCTGAGGGGGGGGAGGTTGTTAGTGTACTGTCCACAGCGGGGTGCCGGACTAGACGTAGCAGCAGGATACCCCAGTCTAATCTCTGAGGGGAGGGAGGTTGTTAGTGTACTGTCCACAGCGGGGTGCCGGACTAGACGTAGCAGCAGGATACCCCAGTCTAATCTCTGAGGGGAGGGAGGTTGTTAGTGTACTGTCCACAGCGGGGTGCCGGACTAGACGTAACAGCAGGATACCCCAGTCTAATCTCTGAGGGGAGGGAGGTTGTTAGTGTACTGTCCACAGCGGGGTGCCGGACTAGACGTAGCAGCAGGATACCCCAGTCTAATCTCTGAGGGGAGGGAGTTTGTTAGTGTACTGTCCACAGCGGGGTGCCGGACTAGACGCAGCAGCAGGATACCCCAGTCTAATCTCTGAGGGGAGGGAGGTTGTTAGTGTACTGTCCACAGCGGGGTGCCGGACTAGACGTAGCAGCAGGATACCCCAGTCTAATCTCTGAGGGGAGGGAGGTTGTTAGTGTACTGTCCACAGCGGGGTGCCGGACTAGACGCAGCAGCAGGATACCCCAGTCTAATCTCTGAGGGGAGGGAGGTTGTTAGTGGACTGTCCACAGCGGGGTGCCGGACTAGACGTAGCAGCAGGATACCCCAGTCTAATCTCTGAGGGGAGGGAGGTTGTTAGTGTACTGTCCACAGCGGGGTGCCGGACTAGACGTAGCAGCAGGATACCCCAGTCTAAACTCTGAGGGGAGGGAGGTTGTTAGTGTACTGTCCACAGCGGGGTGCCGGACTAGACGTAGCAGCAGGATTCCCCAGTCTAATCTCTGAGGGGAGGGAGGTTGTTAGTGTACTGTCCACAGCGGGGTGCCGGACTAGACGTAGCAGCAGGATACCCCAGTCTAATCTCTGAGGGGAGGGAGGTTGTTAGTGTACTGTCCACAGCGGGGTGCCGGACTAGATGCAGCAGCAGGATACCCCAGTCTAATCTCTGAGGGGAGGGAGGTTGTTAGTGTACTGTCCACAGCGGGGTGCCGGACTAGACGCAGCAGCAGGATACCCCAGTCTAATCTCTGAGGGGAGGGAGGTTGTTAGTGTACTGTCCACAGCGGGGTGCCGGACTAGACGCAGCAGCAGGATACCCCAGTCTAATCTCTGAGGGGAGGGAGGTTGTTAGTGTACTGTCCACAGCGGGGTGCCGGACTAGACGTAGCAGCAGGATACCCCAGTCTAATCTCTGAGGGGAGGGAGGTTGTTAGTGTACTGTACACAGCGGGGTGCCGGACTAGACGCAGCAGCAGGATACCCCAGTCTAATCTCTGAGGGGAGGGAGGTTGTTAGTGTACTGTCCACAGCGGGGTGCCGGACTAGACGTAGCAGCAGGATACCCCAGTCTAATCTCTGAGGGGAGGGAGGTTGTTAGTGTACTGTCCACAGCGGGGTGCCGGACTAGACGTAGCAGCAGGATACCCCAGTCTAATCTCTGAGGGGAGGGAGGTTGTTAGTGTACTGTCCACAGCGGGGTGCCGGACTAGACGTAGCAGCAGGATACCCCAGTCTAATCTCTGAGGGGGGGAGGTTGTTAGTGTACTGTCCACAGCGGGGTGCCGGACTAGACGTAGCAGCAGGATACCCCAGTCTAATCTCTGAGGGGAGGGAGGTTGTTAGTGTACTGTCCACAGCGGGGTGCCGGACTAGACGCAGCAGCAGGATACCCCAGTCTAATCTCTGAGGGGAGGGAGACTCACCAAACAATTATTACGTAACAACCCTCAAAGTGTTTAATGATGTAATTGTACTATATTGGGGGGGGGGGGGGGGGCGGGGGAATACCCTCGCAAGCTAAACTAATCCCAGTCATCCTGCCCATATGATCGTAAAGCTTTCTATGAGGGTAATTCTGTAAGTTTGCATCTTTAATTGTCAGGAAACTTGGCGTAACAATTTTGTTTTCTCTAGGGAGGAAGCTTGTCAGAAAGGTCCAAGAGTATACAAATTTAACCCTGTCACGTGTAACCTCCTCATTGTAGCCCTGCCTACATGCCCAACAGAATAGTAGTAAAAGCAGACAGCAGCTAAACTAGAGCTTCGTTTATTTTTCGAGTGATCTTTAGATTTTAGTAACGATCGCTTGAAGTTTTGGCTTTAAAGTTAATTAGGTAGACCGATTGGGTTTATACTTTTCCCAAGCTATCCTGTCTAGGAAGCTTCCAAAGTGGGTGAAGTTGTCCAGTAGCCAGTTGTTCATATCATATCAGCGGTGTTTTTTCTCTCTAAATTTGATGCAAAAGTTGAGGGGTAAGGTGGGCAAGGCGAAAGTAACGTGATCTTACCAGGTTACTGTAACGATGGTTACGTGATCTTACCAGGTTACTGTAACCATGGTTACGTGATCTTACTAGGTTATTGTAACGATGGTTACGTGATCTTACTAGGTTATTGTTAGCGGTGATCTGGTGGAAGTGAGCTCCCACAAGAGAAAGTCTGAAGTGTAAAGCCACGTTCAGTTGCTCCACTTGTTTCTCTTCCAAATTCTCGATATCTTTCACTTCGTCAACAAAACGCTTCAACTGAGTTAGGAACCGGGTTAAGTATCAATCAGAGCATTTTTAATTCAAATCATAAACAGAACAGGGGGGGGGGAGGGGGTGGTGGTGCTGCTAG